GCAGGCAATGACTAGTCTATATGCCCTCGGAGGCAGTCATGAAATCAGTGCATGCACCGCTCAATAGCTAGCGCGTGGTCCTAACGGAGATAAAATTCACCAATGAACGGCTTGTACGAATGGATGCACATTATAATCCGGGGTGCTAGCCTCAAGAATATTCGATTCCTTCGGGACATAATGCGACCCGATGTCCCGAAGAGCCTGATATTAGTACTGCAGCGACTCCACGACACTGCAGACCGGTGAGGAGAATACGCTTCGGATGACAAATGCGCTCTACATGGACGCGCGAAGGCCGTGATTTTGCTTTGGCGTCTCCTCGACTGTTGCTTTGAAATTGCTGCCAGTGGATTCGATGTCGTAAAGGCTTGTTGACACGATCGGACAACGGTGGGGCCATCGCTTGTCGATGAAACGGGGGCAAAAAGCATGGCCTAGGCCCGACATGCCGACATGTGGATTAGTCGTGCCCGTCACCTGGCTGCACGGACGAGGTTTCCCTTTAGCTGGGCACATCGCGACCATGACTGCAGTATTGGTTGAGAAACGGTATCCGAGCGTGTTTAGTGTGAGCTCCCGAACACACGAGGCTGTTTGTTGTTTGTTCGACTTGCCGGGCGTCAACCTTGCTAAGATTCATCTAATCCATTGATCTACAAAGTGGCAGTACGCATCCGCGATATTGCCATATGTTACATGTAACTCACAGCGCTTGTAAATGAAACGTTTCCCGCAGCCGTTGGAGCGCATGCAGCACAGAATGTCTGGCACCCCTCCCCTTCCGCACGCTTCGGACTAAGTATCGGTCCGTCGGCTCATGTGGGCGCACGTGGCTGCGAGTCCTGTGTCTGACGCATAGAAAACTTCTCAGTAGAAAGCTTCTCGGTGCTGAAAAAGTTCCGTAGTCAGTGTCGGTTGTCATAAGAGGCTGGAGGTTGTGCAAGCAGAGGGCGTAAGATGTGTAGTAGCCATCGATTACGCCGCGATACGGATCTTACTTAAGTACCTAGGAGTGAAGGACGAGGAACAACACCATGACCATGTCGCTATGCACCGAGCCAAGCCACCACATCATCTGAAGCACTCGATTGTCAAGTTGTAAAGCTCCGCCTCAATAGCTGGAGCCTCATCGCAAGATACTTAGAGAAGCTTGCTGTTGGGCTTCATCTCAATAGTGAGGCGTTACGTTGGAATCAGCACTAGCAACAGCCACAAGCGTGGATGCTGATGCGAGTATGCTTACTGCGCATTTAGTAGTGACGATGGAGAGTTTGAAAGAGGAGTAATCAAGTCAATGGTGTCCGATGCACGACAAGATCATGTCATTTCTTAGCATGATATCTAGTCCGTCAGATGCTCCGGAACCGTCATAGTGCCGAGCCTCGCGCTATGTAGACATTTCTGTAATGGCATAACAGCGCAAGTACAATCTATTTACAGGTTCGTAGCGGTCATAGCGTCGAAGCAATCTCATGGGGTATCGTAAGAAACTAAACCACGTTCCTAGTTGTCCACTCCGATGTGGACATTCTTCTCAAGTCCGACGGCTGAAGTGAGCACTTCCTTCTCCTTCTCACCTTTCAGGTTTGGCAGCTCCTCCATAGCCTCCTTGATGATGGACAAAGCTGACTCGATCTCCTCCTCAGTGATGACCAGCGGCGGCGCAAGGCGGATAATGTTCTGGTGTGTGGGTTTCGCCTGTCCGTCAGAGTCAGCACCGTCAATCTCTTTCATATGCATAATCTTGAGGGCTCTTCCTACCAGTAATCCCTTCTCTTTACAGAGCATGCAGAGATCCCACGCGCTATGTCCGTTCGTCTTGCTTTCGTCAATCACAATGGCGTTCAACAGACCCTTGCCGCGAATGATCTTGATCATGGGGTTGTTGATGTTCTTGAGACCCTCTCGGAACTTGTTGCCCAATGTTTCGGCGCGCTCAACCATGTTCTCTTCTTGAATAAGCTCAAGAGCCCGGATCGCGACAGCAGATCCAAGTGGGTTACCGCCATATGTTGAACCGTGAGTACCAGGCTCGATAGTAAGCATTACCTCCTTGGAGCCGAGAACGCACGAGACGGGGTACATGCCACCTGAGATAGCCTTGCCCAACAAGACCAAGTCAGGCTTGATGCCACTCCATTCATGGCAGAGCATCTTGCCTGTCCGCGCGATACCTGTTTGGATCTCGTCGCAAATAAGCAGGACGTTGTGCTTGTCGCAAAGTGCCCTGATTTCCCGAAGGTAATTGTCGTCTGGCACGACGATACCGGCTTCACCCTGGATGGGCTCGACCAGGAAGGCAGCCAGGTTCTTTCCATGCTTCTCAAATGCCTCTCGCGCATCGTCGATGTTGTTGTAGCGTATTGGCTTGCCAGTGGCGGGGCATACACTTCCAATACCTGGTAGGTAGGGGCCGTAGTTGTCGCGAGATTCGGGGTCGGTGGACATGGTAATTGCGGCAAACTACTATAGTGTTAGTTGAGGGTTGAAAGACCAGCGAGAATGCATACTGTCCGTCCGTGGAAGTTCTCCTCTACAGAGAAAACCAACGCCTCGTTCTGCGGGACACCCTTGACTTTGTATGCCCATTTGCGTGCGACCTTGACAGCCGTCTCGACCGCTTCGGCACCAGTGTTCATGGGCAGGATCATGTCGAAGCCGAACAACTTGGTGGCATACTCAGCGAAGCGCGGGAAGACATCGTTGTAGAAGGCGCGACTGCTGAGGGTTAATCGCGAAGCTTGCTCAGTGAGAGCCTTGACAAGCTCGGGGTGGCAGTGGCCCTGGTTGACGGCACTGTAGGCTGAGAGGAAGTCGAGATAGTGCTTGCCCTCAGGGTCCCAGACACTGCATCCGCTTGCTCTTGAGAATACTGGACTGTGTTATTCGTGTCTCCAGAAGAACACGTGTTGAGTGCATACCAATGGGAAGGGGGTGGTAGTTGTGCGCTGCGAAGTCGGCCTCTGATTTGATGGCCGCCTGCGACGACGACGCATGGTACTTGGAGGGATCTGGGGTGCCTGTAGGGTGGAAAGAGCGGGCTGTTGGCTTCAGGGCGGTGCCATTTCCATTCGCTGCAGCAGTGTCGTTGTGAATCGCGCCTGGAGCCATGATGGAGGACAGTGTTGATGCTAACGTGGGGTAGTGGGGAAGACTATCGTGGTTGCTCAGGAGTGTGAGTTGAGGATGCAAGAGACAAGAGCAGGCGCGGCGGGCTTCTTATTTTCAGCCTTGGTTGAGGGTTGTGCCGTGTATCGCCTCCAACTGTACTTAGGAGACAGCCTTCGTAAGAGCAACTGGTGTTATCGCCTCAAGATGCCTTTAGAGGAATGCGACCAACGAGCGCCTCGGTTGCGGGCGGGTTATGCATATAGCGCCGCTGCCATTGGCTCATGACCGCCGGAGGAACATGGTGCGCTCGTTTGCTGCGAGCGGCGACGGGAAAGAATCACGAGAATGCGCAAACAGGGAGGAATCAAAGTTTGGTGATGAGGTTGCACCGACGTGATAGACATGGCGCGTCGCTGCCGGTAAAACTTACCTCTTCTTCGTGTCTTGACGCGTTGCGCCATTTTCCCGCCTGCTCGAGCAATCACAGCATCGCAAACTCCGACAGCACCACCATAAGGTCGGCTCCGATAGCCTGTATTCGTCATGTACTGCCATGACTTTGTGCGACTTTCCGTGATACCACACACGAAAAGTCGTGTGCACAGCTACCATACAGTGTCTTACGTCCCCGCTCTGTTAGTTTATCGCGCCCCTGGAGGCTTGCAGCGGTGGGGGCTGCCGAAGACGGAACTGCCCAGGTGGTGTCGCTCGCAGCCACACCTAGAAATGCTCTAGGCCAACAGCAACCATCTCAGACAGCAGCCCTGCTAACAAACATCTTCCATCGCATGTCTCAACGTACACTCGGCCGCACACTATCCGTACTTGCTACAGTCCGTCCATCGCGAATTGCAATCCCCTCAACTGTCTCACCATACACCACCATGTCCACCTCCATCAAATTTCCAGCTAACAAAGCCTCGCCAATACACTGGATCCTCGACTGGGATGGCACCATCACCAAAAAAGACACATTAGATGCCCTCGTCAACATATCCGCCGCCGCCAATCCTGATTTCCCCACCCAGGACCGCTGGAACGATGTCTCGAAAGCTTACATGAACGATTACACAGCTACACTATCCCAAGTCGCGCCGGACGGCAAGCTACCAACCACAATATCGGGGGAGAAGCGCCTTCTTGCCCAAATGAAACCCGTAGAACAGCGTAGTCTCCACCGCGTATCTTCATCCCGTGTCTTCGCCGGCTTGACGAAGGAAGCTATAGACGCTGGGGCAAAACAGGCTATCGACTCACGTGCGGTAGAAGTACGGAATGGTTTCCTCGGATTCTCCAAGCATATTCGTCATGACCGCGTGGACGATGGTTTGACGCTTCTCAGTGTCAATTGGTCGCGCCACTTCATTCAGTCCTGCCTTAGTGCCTCGGGTACGGTTGATCTACCTAGCAACTCTATCTTCTCCAATGAACTTGAAAACATAGAGTCTGGAGACCCATCTACGGGTGCCATCGTCCCAGCTGCCCCCGATTGTGAAAGCCTCGTCATGTCTAGCGGAGACAAACTCGAGGGAATGGAGCGGATGCAGGAGCTGAAGGGCCGAAAGGTGTATGTAGGCGATAGCTGGACAGATATCGAATGTTTACTGGCAGCTGATCTGGGTATTTGCATTCGAGACAGCCCCATGGGAAGTTCACAGGCAAAACTTGCAGAAGCATTGACAAGATTAGGCATATCATGTCTGCGATTAAAGGACTATAAAGACGCTGACGAGTGGGGTGTTGTATGGGCAAGTGACTTTGCGGAGATTTATGACTGGGTTGAGAGTAAGCCAACCTAGTACTTCATTACAAATGAATACTATTAGTGTACATAGGACCGTATGAGTTAACGCCGGACGCGCACGCTATGTGATAAGAACATGGTCTCAAGCCTCTGTCTCAACACCCCCTCCACTCCTCTCGTGGTGATGGAACATGTTTCCCACTTTCTTCTTTCCACGGTCGCCGACATGCTTCATCCAGGCTAATGTTCGTGGACCCTTCCACTGCATCATGCCCCTGTTCTTACGATGTAGCTGGTGCATATTCTCCTTGTAATCTTTCATCTTGCTGACAGGACCACTCTTGCCCTCCATGCTCAGCTTCGAGTCGATTCTTTTGCCACCGTCTTGGAGAAAGTCTGGGATGAATTTCTTACTACCGCTCTCGTCCTCACCGTCGTCTTCCGAATCCGAACTGTCCGAAGATGAGCTGTCGCTTTCGGTGTCCTTGTTGTCGTTGATTCCAGGTTTATCGCCATCTGAATCATCCCAATCGGACCACTCCTGATCATTGGTGACATCAAGAACCTCCATGACATTGGTAATGTGCTTGTCGCCTTTTGCAAGTTTCTCGTGGTATCCTGATAAGCCAGACCAAAACGTCAATGTTACTTCGATCTCGCCCAGCTTCTCACCATACGAATCAAGCACGTTATTTTCTGCGCGCTCCAAGTCACCTTTCCAGATAGTGACGCGTACTGTCTGCTCCTCGTTATCGGAAATATCCTTGAGCCATAGGATACCAAAGCCTGGGGTGTGGTCTCTGAAAGTAGCATCCTGTCTAAACTCGAAGACAAGAGGCGCACAGTAGCGTGCCCGCACAGGGAGTCGAATGCATCTATCCTTCCTCGAAGTCCAGATAGTCTGTCCCTCTTCTGAGTGGACCTTACCATTCCGTCCTCGCGAGTGAAGCTTTGCGCGTTCTAATGGCGTGCGGACTTTGAGTCGAAGGGGCTTTAGGTCCTCCGGCACGTCAATAGCTTTTACAGAGGGTTTGATATCCACAGTTCCGTAGTCCCAGCCCAGCATATTTCTTGGTAATTGTACTTGCACACTTCGGAAGACCATGGAGATTCTTATGCGGCCATATCCTACACCTCCAGCAAGGGGAAACATGTGATTGATCTGGCTGCGCTTGTGAAATACTCTTTCCAGAGGCAGGTAGACAATACCGAGCAAGGCGTCGTCTTCGTGTATACGAGCATCACGAACGGCAATGTGTACTTCGGTATTGCGAACATCTCGAACGAAGCGCTCGCAGCCAGCGTTGAAGAACGGCTTCGAGTTCTTCGGCTTGGTGCGCGTTTTGAAGATTTTCTTGTGATTGAGAATGATGGTGCAATATGCGGAGGGTAAGCTGTCGCCTTCCTCTTCTTCATCTGTTGCCTCTGCGTTCGCAGAATCTTTTTGTTTGTTTAGCGTTTCCAATTCCAAGCCAGTAATCTGGTGGATCTGGATGCTGAGGATACCTGACGGATAGTCTTCAGAAGGTGGGGACGCGATGATGAGTTGATCTTGGCGGTTCTTGAACTCTTCAGACTTTTGCTGTTCCACTTCGTTTCGGTGATCCTCGCTCGCCTCCCGAAGTTTGTCCTCTGCCTCCTTGTACATCTTCTTTTTCAACTGGTCTATGTTCTCAACATCGGGGTCTTCGTCTTGCATAGCAAGCTGGTCATCGGTGATTCTGGTTTTCGAGAAATAACCCAAGCTCCAGCTCAGTTTCCCAGGCATGTCATTTCCGCTCTTGAGCGCTCTGAAACCATCTTCTCTGTCGTGCATTCTTCCATTCGTCTCATCACTCTTCATCAACTCTTTGAGGTCCACCTCTATACGTCCCAGGTCGTCGTCAGCAGTGGAACGGTCGGAATCCCACAACTGCAGCCTTAGCTTTTCATCTACGTTCAACTGGTCAAAGGTGACACAGATAAAGCAGTGTTCGTCCCAGTGGGGATTCATGTTTTGCTGGAGAACACGCGTCGACCAAAGCGGCTTTCCGAACTTGGCCCATCCCACGCTCACATAAGGGTCTGCAGAACCACCAAAAGGACCTATCTTGGTATCGCCCTCTTTGAAGTCGAATGCGTATTTGATACGCACCATGATAACACCCTGTGCGACTGTATCCTTCTTGAAGTCGTCGCCCATCATCATATCTTTGAGGTCCAAGGTAAGAGATTTGGGTGCGACATACTCGGCCAGTGCTGCATCCATGGATGATTGCACGAAGCTTGAGATTAGAGGCACGTCCATGAGATTTGGTCCTTTCTTGATGAGTGGTACACACGATAGCGTCACTTTGGGCTGGCCCATGAAGGCCATGGTACAGATTGAAAAGAATGGAGGATCAGGACAGAGCTGCAGACGGAAGCGCATAACGCCAACTACACCAGCGAGATCGACCCAGACAGCTAAAATGTGTAAGTAAATGAGTGCCATCTGGGATCGCAAAACTTACGTATCTTGATATTGCCTGGCATGTAAAATGCCAATAATAAATGAGCATGTTTGGCGCGTGACTTGATACCCTTTCCTGTGGATGGTCTGTATGCGAAGGCAAGTTCCACATTTACGAAATCTCCATCTTCAGCCTCCATTGTGTCCTGTTGTGGTTGGTCATCTTGGCCTTGGCCGTTATCATCGCTATCCTCGACAGTCCGGTCGCCCTTCTCTTGGTCAGGAGACTTCAAGTTTCCATCGGAGCCTACAGATCTGGCAGCCCCGCCTGTAGGAAGCCATCGGACACCAAGGATGCGAAGGGCCTCGCTACCTTGACCAAGGTCTTCAACAGCGACCATACGAACCATACTGGGGAGAGAAGCTTGCATGACATCCTGCAAAAGTTAGCTTGTATACTGAGTGTGCTGTGGATTCTGTACCTCGAGTGTATCTGAAATGCTGGTAAACAGATCCGGGTTGATCAATGGCCATATGGACGCAAGTAACGAGTTCAACCACTGCGTACTTTCAGCAGTCTGAGTCTTGGCCAGTTTCTGACCTCTTTGTCTTTCCGCCTGCCAGACCTCAGCATCCCACACATTCTTGATCTTGTTCTCTGACCACTGCCGCATGAAGAGTATGATGGCCGCGGAGACGACTGCCATAGTGCTGAGTTCAGTGGCCTTCCACAACTGTCTTCCCCAGCCGGTCGCGTGGCGCGTAGGCCAGAACAGTGTGTTCACCAACATCAAGCTGATTGCAGCTGCTCCCACACCAACAGTTACAGCCTGCATATAGACGGTTGTGATCTCGCTTCGTGTCCTATCGAAGGACGGAGGCGGGAACAATGCCTGCATACCAATATGTGAATCCTGTGATTCCTGCCACTCATCATTGAGATGCTCGTCACTCTTATTGATGGCGTCCTTGCCGGTCATCGTGCGTGGATCTGACCCTACGGGTGGTGGATTCTTTGCAGTGCTCTTCAGCTCTCGGTCTGTGTAGTCGTGGATTTGAATAGGTAGATGGGTAATGGGATCCGTGACTTCTCGATCTGCACCATCGGCTTTGAACTTCTTCATATCCTTCCGGGCCTGCTTAGGGTCTGACGAGGACATGCCGTCCTCTGTTGTGTCCTGCAATCCATCGTCGCTGTCCTGGTCTTTCGCTAGATTCTGATCCTTCTTCTCGGGCGTGTTCTTTCCGGCGTGATCGTCTGCAATTGGCTCGTCTAGCTCGATGTTCTTGTTTCTGACTGGATATGGTCCATTGCCGTCGTTATCCAACTCTACGTCTTTACCATGTCTGAAGACGTTGACGGCGTCCCCCAGCCGATCTCGTGTGCTTGGTTCGTTACTCGCGCCATCTGCATGGCCGTATGCTTCTTCTCTACGCTGCTTCTCTTCGCGGTATTTTTGGACTGTGGGTATTGGATTATGCGCATTGTGCGGCCGTCGGTAGTTTCTACGCTGGGCGTCCACGTCCTCGACGCCGGACATGATGGAGCAGTGAGTAGTGACTTGCGTCGGTGCTGGTCAAGGTCGTTCGTAGCGAGGGGCTGACCTGTGCAATTAGTGGTTGGCGGCGGGGTAAAGTCGTGAATTCATTAGCCGTGAGAGATCGTAAGTCTTGGGAAGCTTCGTGAAACCTGTCGCATTGGGAGGAAACAGGAAAAGCGCAAAGACAGGGACTGTTATGTTCTATTCACGATTGACGTAGGTACAAGCAAGGGAGCGTCGCATGACCTGTCCTTGAAGCTCCACTTGGCACGCTGCACGCGAATCATTTACAGCTGCAGGGCCGAAGATCCGTGATGAATAGCAGGCCCCGTGCATGATCGAATGCTTTCCTGCGATGACGTCGTGTGTGCCCGCAGTTGTGCGTGTGTCAGGCCACTGCGAAAGGCAGCTTTTGACGGCTTGGCATGATAATTGCGGGGATGCCGACATCCGGGCGATCGAGGCAGCAGGCAGTTCACCGAGCGACCCACTCACGCCACGTCAGCCACCACATTAGCCACCGCTTCAGCCTCACTTCCAATTTGTAGCGTTCTCAAAGGCATGTACCAAGTCCTAGTTCCAGGAATTGCAGATATGGAAGCTCACGCTTGCTTCCGGGCAAAAACTCGATTGTACTCGCACCCGGGGGTATCATTCCAGCTTCTACCATCCTACTTTGATCGGGTCCCAATCAATTGCTCCATATCCGCACTTGCTTGTCGGCACCACCACTCCCAACCCTTTCACCATCTGGACTCCAATCCAACGCAAACACCTGGTCTTTGTGCCCAGGCAGATCCTCCTTTAGTTTGCCAGTCCTCATGTCCCACACCTTCAGCGTCGTGTCCTTACTGCAGCTTGCTAACAGTCGGCTGTCCGCAGAGAAGCAGGTCATGTATACCGGGCCGACGTGTGCCCTGAGCGTGTTGAGGAATTTTCCATCTCGTGCTGACCAGAGTTTCACGTGGTTGTCCCATGCCGCTGACGCTAGGAGTGCACCATCTGGTGAGAAGGTGACCTGGTTGATCTGCTTTTGGTGACCTGTCATTCTTGTAACTGGCTTCTTGCTGGTCAGAGGCGTCCACAATATGATTGTACAGTCCTCTGAAGCAGTCGCTAAGCGTTCCACTATTTCTCCGTTGATGGTAGCAGCTTTCTCGAAGCGCGCCTTGGCTTTGGCGAGCTTCTCCTCAGGGCTAGAAGGTACTTTGCGTGTATGGTCGTGATACGATGTACGCAAGACAAAGTCTGTTGAAAGTGCAAGATGATTGACCCAATGCGCGTGTCCTGATAGGGTATCGACAAGGGTGCCCTTCGCAGCATCCCAAACCTTGATGGTCTTGTCGTGAGACGAGGTGTATATCCGTCCAGTACCACCCCACTTGACGCATGTCACACTGCCCTTGTGACCAGATAGAGCATAGTCGATTCGGCCGCCTACCGCATCCCACACTCTTACTGTGCCGTCTTTTGACGAAGACGCAACTCGTGGCCGGCCAGCCTCTTGTAGGTGGTAGGGCTCCCAGGAGAGTGACGTGATGAAGCTGGTATGACCTTTGAGGGCAGGTCCGATCTGCTTTCCGGTGTTTGGATCCCATATCCGCACCTCGTTGTCGTAGCCACCGGAAGCAAGCAGAGAGCCGTCGGGCGAGTAGCTGACTGCTAGAACCCATCTTGTGTGCCCCTTCATCGTGTGCACTGGTGTTCCCGTGTCACAGTCCCATACCCGCACCGTCTTGTCTCCGCTACCACTCGCCATTCTGCTCGAGCTAATTGGCGAGAAGTTGACTGTTAGAATGTTGTCACCGTGGCCCGAAACTGCTGCTGAGCAACGTGAAACAGCTTTGACTCGAAAGACTGCTTGCGGCGCATATTGGAGTACTATCTCATTTTCCGCCGACGCTTTTCCAGGCTTGACCAATGCGTTGTATAAATCGTCCTTGTCGGCAAGCGCCTCCGTCGCGCCATCGGGGAAGAAGCGGTACGGTATCTGATCATCGGCTTGATCCTTCAGGTTGTTGAGCAAGAGCTCAAGATTCTTGGTCGACGCTTGCGATAACGGTACAGTGAGCACTGGGATACTGCCACTTTCGCCTGTGGCTTGGTCGACGAAGCGCACTCGTACAGTGCCATCGGGTATCGTAGTGTCAATGTCTTGTTGTTGGCGTGCAATCTCGGCTTGCTCCCGTTTCTGACGTTTTGACGGGGGTGGGTACTGGGTCGCCATCTTTCAAATACTTTACAGTACGAAACCGGAGTTAATAGGCAAAGGGTTGAAGCTGTCTTCTGCTTGCATGCCCTCACTGCTATAGGATTGGGAAAATAATTTCTAGGTGTTATCGATAATGGATGCGCTAGTAGTACTGTAGTGGGGCAGCGCGCTAAGCTGTTTCCCTGTGGGCGACGCGCTTGCCTTCTCTTGTTCCGCCTTTCGTCTCAGCTCTAGCAGCGACACCTTTCAATCACTGAAAATCATGATTCGCGTAAATGCTCAACGGCTAATCTCACAGCACTAACAATCATGTTCCACCGACCAAGGTCCTCGACCTCACAGAGCACCTCTGCGTCCACGTCTTACGGATATGGTGACTATAATACCATCACTACGTCCCGTCCAGGTACCCGCAGAAACACAGGTAGGCCCTCGACTGCACGACCAAGAACCGGTGCCTCTACTATCGCTAGAGTCGAGGCTCAGAATGTTGTCTGTGCTATTGCCGAATCTCGGGGGATTTCACCTACCGTCGGTCTGGCCTTCGTGAACCTTGACACAGCAGAAGCAGTGCTCTGTCAAATCTGCGACAGCCAGACTTTCGTCCGAACTGTCCATAAACTGAAGGTCTATGGCCCTTCCGAGATTCTGATCGTCTCTACTGCAGCGAGTCCTAGGTCGAAGCTCTACTCTATCATTGAAGAGAATCTTGAGGATATCGGCAGCAAGTTGACTCTACTTGATCGGCGCTATTGGGCTGAGTCGACTGGATACGAGTATATTCAATCTCTAGCTTTCAAAGAGGATGTTGAAGCTATCAAGGTCTCCGTCACTGGCAACTACTACGCAGTGTGTTGCATGGCAGCAGTGAGTGTCCTTCGCACCCGTTTGCGCATACTATGGCTAATTTCACAGGCGCTCAAGTACATTGATCTGGGTATGGGTCTGGTCTTCTCCCTTCACTCGCTCCGGATGAGATATGAACCATCAGAAGGGTCGATGATGATCGATGTGTCCACTATCTACTCGCTCGAACTGGTCCAAAATCTCCGTGATCCGAAGTCAAAAGATTGTTTGTTCGGCCTTCTTAACGAAACGTCGACTCCTATGGGCGCACGGCTCCTCCGGAGTAATATTTTACAGCCACTTACTGATCCAGAAGTACTCAACACGCGATACGCTGCAGTGGACGATCTGACCAAAAAGGAAGAGCTATTCTTTGCAACACAGGCAGCGCTGAAAAATTTCCTCGATGCTGACCGCATACTGACCGCGCTAATCATCACACCAAGCAAGCCAACTCTTCAGACAACGGAGCAGTCTATCAATCACATCATCATGCTCAAGCAGTTCATAAACTCCGTACGACCTGTCTTCGAAGCCCTTACTGGAACTCAGTCTGTAATGCTGAATAACATTCGCGAGATTTGTGCACCAGAGAACGTCGCGCCTGTGCAAGAGTTGATCGATCACGTCATCAACGAAGACACCACGTACGCAAGGCAGCCTCTCGAACTGAGGAATCAGCGCACATATGCCATAAAATCAGGGGTCAATGGTCTACTTGACGTTGCGCGTACTACTTATAAGGAAGCCACCGAAGATGCGTATCAACACTCAAATGAGCTCAGTCGTAAAATACAATCTGTTCTTACGGCAAACACACTCGCTGACTTCAAGAAGAGGAGCACGATATTCGACTCGACCTCAAATATGACACAGCGCGCCAGTTCTACATGAGAATTGCAACGTCCGAGTTGGAAGGCAAAGTACTACCTCCAGTATTCACCAACGTGATTCGTCGCAAGAAGAATATCGAGTGCCAGACACTAGAGCTCATGAAGCGTAACCAGAAAGCACGTGGTTATGTATAGTTGATATGGGTTTTACTAACGGCGCTAAGATTGCTGTTTCGCACCAAGAAGTCATTCTCATGAGTACAGCTAAAGCTACGAACACCATGCAGTATGGTTACTGATATTCACTAGGCGATGAAGCAGTTGAGGCTCTTGTCGACAAGGTCCGTAGTCATATGTCCATCATGTTCAAAATCTGCGAAGCAGTAGCGATGCTAGATATGGTATATATGATTGCGCAATCTATGGTGTCGATGAAGCTCATGGGTAGTAGGTTACGGCATTCGCGCATTTGGTTACAGTAAACAAATATAGTAAGCAAACTCAAGTCTATAGTGCCTAATGCACATTGTACTAACATGTTCTCAGCTCAGCCACGACTTACTGATACGCTAGCTATCGAAGCGGGACGACACCCGGTCAAGGAGAAGATCATGCAGAGTAAATTCGTCCCAAACGATGTTTACGCCACGCAACAGACAAGGTTTCAGATAGTCACTGGTTGCAATATGAGTGGAAAAAGCACCTACATAAGATCGGTCGCCCTAATGACTATCATGGCTCAGATCGGCTCTTAGTATCCACCCTTCGAATTTCATGGTATATCTCTACGTGCTAACCGGATCCAGCGTCCCTGCCAATTACGGCTCGTTTCCCATTCTGCACCAGTTATTTGCTATATTGGGCATGGATGATAATATCGAAACCAATGTATCTACATTTGCCGCAGAGATGAAAGAGATCGCTTTCATCCTACGTAATGTTGACCGGCGTAGCTTGTGGGTGATCAGACTCCATTTGTGTATCGACAGTACTGATAACATAAAGGGTCTTGGTTGATGAATTGGGTCGTGGTACCAGCACTAGAGATGGCTTAGCTATCGCCTTAGCCATCGCGGAAGCCCTTGTTTCGAGCCGAGTACGTATGTCTATCTTGTCTCTGCATCTTGCTAATATGTCAATAGGCTCTGGTATGGTTTGCGACTCACTTCAAGGACCTTGCAATAATCATGGGTGGTCGTGTCGGAGTCCAGAACCTGCATTTGGCGGTAGAAGTGAGATCATTTCTGTCTTGTCTAGACCAAATCACTTACCCTTTCAGATGGAAGACCCACAGAGCATGACAATGCTTTACAAAACGACTCAGGGGATTGTGCAGGAGGTACATTATGGTCTAACGCTTGCGCGCGTCGTCCCACTTCCACCTGGGATTGTGGAGCATGCCACCTTAGTTGCGCAGAAGGTCGAGCGACATATGCTGCAAAGGAAGAAAGCATCCGGGACTGTGCTCAGAGAAAAGCGGCGTAAACTCGTCCTAAATCTCAAAGAACATCTCATTCAAGCGCACACAGGGGTGTTAGAAGGTGAAGTTCTTACTGCTTGGCTCAAGGAACTGCAAAATGAGTTTGTCAGTCGTATGACTGCCCTCGCAGCCGAAGCTGCAAGCACAGATCAGGAAAGCCAGGATGAAGATGAAGAGATGATGAACAGGAACGACGAGGACGAAGACGAACGACCTGACACGTACGCCAGCCCGTCAGTCATTTCGATCGACTCGGGTGTGAGCTCAACACAATCTAATTCTACCATTCGAGCCATGTCAGAAGCCTCTACCTTGAGAGCGGTCTCTAGCAATGAGCGCTAGCAGTGTAAATTGTTCACTTTTACAAGCTGTACGATATACATGTATCAGGCGAAACGCCCATCTTGTGAGCGTCACGAATTATCTAGTATGTCGATTGTTGGCATTTCGCCGCAGTATCTGCTCAGATACGTGAATCAATTACGGTGCGCTTTTTATCTTCTTCTCTTATCCATTCTTCGAAACACCCATATGATCGATTGTGCTTGTATGACTGTGCTGATGGCGGGTAAATATTCCAGCCTTCCATCAGGCAGTGGCCGAAAAACATATCCATTACAGAATTCAGGAACACGCCAAAGAGATAAAGTCATCATTTATCATTCCAACGAGGAGATTCCCAGCGGAATGAGAAATGATCGTTCCGAGTCGATCTTGCCGATATCGTCCAGCCCCACTTAGCATGAAGCATTGAGGTTTCAAGGTTGCGATTGGAGCGCCCTGCAAAGTGCGGGGGCTTATCGTTCCTACTTCCACCTCGTTCTCCACTCGGAACGGAGAACCTACATTTGAACCTCGCTACGCAAGATAAGCGATCATATACATACCCTCACCACATCAGCAATGTTGTCGCTTGTCAGAGCACGCTAGATGCATACATGCGGTACACCCGACCCAACATCCTAGTATTCGGAACTCGGGTGCACTGCTGCTCGTCATCATCCAAAGGGCGTCCTCAGCCTGCCGAGTTAGCTTCATATGGCGTTGTCTTGACTGCACACACACACCTGCAAGAACATTAGTTATAGCCGTCGTCTGCACTATCTTTGCGTTATCCGTCCATCGACAGCGCCATGCCTCGACCGAAGAAGCCCGGTGTTGAGCCGAAGAAAAGATCGCGAAACGGCTGCTGGTAGTAACCCAGGTCTCTAGAACTTGCTCATTCGTGCTCACTCAACACAGGCCATGTAAAGCTCGAAAGGTAAAATGGTAAGAAGTGTTGCTTCGACGCCTCATGATGTGCTGTTAATAACTGCTGGTAGTGGCGAAGAGAAACCACGATGTACCAACTGCGAACGCCAGGGGGAAACATGCGATTACAGTATTAGACTGAATTGGGGAGGCCGCTCAAAGAAAGACAGAAGGGGTACCGGGTCCGATGCTTCGAGCGCAGCGTCCGGCAGTCCGTATGAGTCGACCTTTACGTTTGAAGATAATGTTTTCTCGTCCAACCCCGAGACATACACGCGGCCACACCATGCGCGATCAAGGTCCCAAATCTCCCCACCCAGGTCGTCGACACAAGCTTTTGATCCAGACTTGACGCGGAATATGCCGCAAGCTTCCAACCGTAATGACGCTGCAAACGATGGCCTTTACTTCCAAAGCGACATACTAGCCTCTACGCCCTATACTCACACACAATTTCACGCATCTATCTCAGATGCTACCAACTCCGGTGATATTGGCTTTACTCCCAATGATACTACGATGCCACCGCCACTCTCAGGTTCAGTAGATTCCGTGAGCAAACGCCAGAAGTATGATTTTCCTGCAGATTTGGATACAGGCTCGCCATTACCTTATAGTCCATATCCAGTCATGCCTCTGACACCATTGTCAGTCGGTTCTGAAGGGAACGTTGTGCAGAAATCATTGACACCACAAAACTCCGCACAGTCACCGCCCGATTTACGTCGTGTGTCAGTCCAGTCCCTGATCAATGATCTTCCGAAGAAGAGGCCAGGTCCATCCAACGTGGGGGACGAGCGGGGTCGACAGTATCCAATTGCTGATTCTGCTTTCACAACCTACGGCTATGACCTGGGACTCCCTGACACCGATACTCCGAGGAATAACGACTTTTCGGCCATTGCTATATTCAGTCCACAGAGTGACACAATGGGCTTTGGTGACGACACACCATATGGTAGTGCAGAGCCCTACGGCAAGGATATGGCCTTCGAGAGTGGAGGATATTACGCAAAGCCGGTTCCGATCAGGATTTCAAAATCTCTTGAGCCGCTACCGCCTTTGCTTATGGAGAACCAGATGAATCTCTTGTACTTCCATCATTTTATCAACCATACAGCGCGTGTCCTTGTAAACCATGACTGCGAGCGAAACCCATTTCGCGAAATCCTACCAGAGAGTAAGTGCGTAGCAATTTCCAAAAATTACCACTAACGTCAGCAGTGGCTGTACAAGACGAGAACATAATGAATCTTCTCCTCGCATACAGTGCGGCACACCGCGCACGTATGCTTAGCCATCCAGAGCCTTCAAATCGCATCGCAGTCTGGGTACAAGATGTGTTTCCTAGACTGCGTGAAGCGCTCAACAACGACCCAAAAGCTATAACAGACAGTACTCTAGCAGCAGTCATAATGATGGCAAGTCTAGAGATCATATGTTCTGGTACATTCGAAGTACCCGTATCCTGGCAAAACCATCTAACCATGGCACGCCAAATGATCATCCAGCGCGGTGGACCGAAGGGAATGGGTCGGCATGATCGTGTAGCGTACTTCCTTTCCCGGTGGTTCGCATACCTCGACGTTCTCGGTTCATTGAGTGGGAACAAGAACGACACGCCCCTCGGTTCGTCCTATTGGTCCAGTGAAAACGCCTCAGCAGACGAAGACTTCGAAATCGATTGTCTGATGGGCTTCACAATACGTTGCATAGGATCTCTAGCCCGTGTTTCCGAACTAGCGAAGCGTTGTGAACCCCGGCGCATTGACGAAGAAGGCAACGTTAGAGAAGGCTGGACTCCCAGCCCCGAGGTTGTCGAAGAAGCAGTCAAGATCCGCCAAGCGCTCGAAGATGGGGTACTGGATCGCAACATCCGTAAAGGATGTAACCACCGCTCCAGTACTTCGTCTGAATCTGAAGGTGCGTGGGACGCAACCGAGATATATGCGACGAACGAACTGTATCATTGGGCCGGATTGATTCACTTGTATCGTCGTGTTCTGGGTAAGCCGGCCATGGATCACGAAGTTCAGCAAGCGGTTCGAGAGATTGTAGGTTTGTTGTACAAAATCCGGAGGGGAAGTACAGCAGAAGCTTGTTTGATCTTCCCAATGTTTGCTGCTGGATGCGACGCACATGATGAAGGACAGAGAGAGAAGATCTTGGACCGGTTGAGGAATGTAGAGGGCTTTGGACTGAACCATGTAAGTTGTGTGCTGAATGATAAAAGGGCCTCACCCGCTTACTTTGTGTTAGGTGCCCAAGGTCAGTACGCTTATGAGGCGTGTCTGGGATACAGGCAAGCCGTGGGAGTCGCTTGTTTCTGGCGAGTTTTTCGGCTGAAGGACTATACGTATGGACAAGTGCCGTCTTGTGACCCACGATGAGATTACTGATGACACGAGTCAGCTTCTCGTTACCTGGAATGTTGGAAGAGATTCTGTCCCAGAGCCATGTACCGGGCGCTTTTCGGATGGCCGAGCGCTCTGCTTTGAGACGTCATCTACCGGATATCGACATCCCTCCTTCAAAGCCGAGCACCGTATACGAGGAAAAAACCGAACAGGTATAGACATAACAAGCTTTACCTTGCAGCCTACATTATCTTCTAGTAAGAAAACCTATTAAGATTAACTGTATTGTAGTCTTCTAGGTTTTTAATCTATATCTATATAGCTCTCTGTATGCTCTTTTGTAGTAGGAAGGGGTACTCTTAAAAAGGAAGTTTGTTTTTTCTCTTTGATACAGTGGAGTGCCCATATCAGAGAGACAGGCAGTTATGGAAATCGACGCGATAGGGGTATGACGAAGAACAAGCTTCAAAGGAAGCTGTGCAGAGATTGGACTGGTGTGATGTTACAGCAAGAAGATGGCGTAGCTCATGCGCATGTAAAGGAAAGCAGATTGAATGATGAGACGTCGTTGGAGGCGGATGAAATATATCCATAAGGTACTGCTGGGGTATCGTCGGTCCAACTGATATACATGTAAACCACACCATAATGTACAAGTGCCACTTCAAAACCCCTCAAAACCCCTCACCCAGCACATCGGTATCCACCCATCAGCGACCCCTCACCAAGGCCACCAACCACCCCGGGCAACCCTGCTCATAGCCCTTGTACCCTTGCCAACCTCATCCACGCCTTCCTTGAACTCCTCAGTAACCGCATCAACCGCCTGCCCAAACTCCTCCTTCTCCTTCTCAAAAGCTTCGGTGGCCTGTCCCCACTTCTCTTGCGCAATGAGACGCTGTTTTTCTATTGCCTGCCGAAGCTCCTCCTGCAAATCGCGTATCTCGGCCTTGGTGTCGTGTGTCTCTTCGATAGCTTCGAGTTTATACCAAAGGTAGTACGACAATTGGTATGTAAAGAGGGCGCCGAGGAAGCATTTTAGGAGGGGCGAGCCAAAGGTGCCGTAGTATGCGCCCTGCAACAAGTTCGTTAGTTTCGAGGAGCAACGGTGGGTGTTGACGAGCTGTTAGGAGTATGACGTACTACCCGCGACGGCTCTTTTGGCGGAGGAGCCGAGTTTGGGTTTGGCGGCGAACTGGGTGGATGAGGCGGTGGTGCTTCGGCTGCATATGTTCTTCGTGATGTTCGTCCTATGCTTCTAGGTATCCTTCTGGGTATCGTCGCGCTTTTACCCCATATCGTCCGTGTTGCTCTGAGGTGATTCATCTTGCCGCAAAGGTAACAGCTTTTATCCCCGCTTCTGAAGCACCTTCGGTCGCTGCTAGAATGAACCCCAGTAGATGGCGAGACTGAGCGTTTGAGAGAGCGAAGAAGACGAGTGTGATGGTCCTGCGAATATGCGACACCAGGTATTGCGCTAAGGTTGGTGGAGCGGGGATATGTAGAAGCACCGGTGCGATGGCAATTCAAGAAAGTCGACAGACTAGAAACGGTATAAACCTCCGTTCATTATCTCCGCGCGCGTACCCAACTAATGCCGGTACCCTAGCGCTGTGCACGGTCCACGCGATGCACTTTCCAAAGGAACACGTTCACCAAACAACTTGAACCCTTGTTCCGTTCTCTCTCTCTCTCTCTTCTTCGTGCACAAGACACTACACGCTCTTCAGTTCCCGGAACCGCTTAAACGCCCCATATATCCATCTGGCATACACAAACCAAAATGGTACGGCACCCTCTCGAAACGCATTGAACCAAACCCCCTGGTCGCATACAACACACGGGATACTAACGTAGCCTCCAGGCGCAAACACCACAGCAACGTCAGGCAAACATGCGTTTCGCCAAGGCGCAAGAGAAGAAGATGGGCCAACCCGTGTCAACAGAGCCTGTAGTGAAGAAGCGGGCACCACAGAAGAGCCCTATCAGCAGGTTCTGGATCAGTACGTACCCATGGCCCTCAATCTGAATTCTGAGGACTAACATGTTTGTAGTCGTTCTTGCTTTCATACTAGTCGGCGGTCTTCTTTTCGAGGTCCTCAAGCTCTTCTTTTAAAAGGAACGAGTAATGTGATGTAATTCATTACTTATCGAACGGACGAATACAAACTCAGCCTTGACTTATAGTTGGCAATGTCAAGATTTGGGGGCTGGACATTCAAGGCACACGAACGGTGACCACGGTGGAGAGAAGCTTTGAAGAGCTTGGAGGGGTAGCAGGTCTAGAGACCACTTTCTTGCGTCAATTACATAGGGCAAACGGCGTTATAGAGGCAGCATTGCGGTATTGGGAGAGCTTGGAAAAGCCGATATCATGGTATTGAGGTTTTGGAATCTTATCTGTTCAAGATCAAGACACATTGCAACGTGCTTGAACTACTGCTCCTCTGGCGCATCTGCACCCTCATCCATGACAACAGTCCGCCTCTTCTTTTTCTTCTTCTTGACTTTGCCTTCTACCCCACCATGGGCTTCGCCTTCAGCTACTTCTTCATCATATCCTTCAGGCTTGACCTTCTTCTTCTTCTTTTTCTTGATAGGCGTTGCCTTTTCCTCGTCACCGACTTCCGCCTCTGGTGGTGGCGTCTCAGCTGGATCGTCTCCTTCCACAGCAACCTTCCTAACCTTTCTCTTCTTCTTCTTGACTGCGACCTCTTCTTTGACATGTAACCTCTCACTTGCTCGCTGCATCTCAAGTCGTAATCGCTCAACTTCTTGAAGCGCCTTCTTCATTTCAGCATCCTCTTGGGCCTTCCTTTCAATATCGAGTTGTGTAAGCTTGCGATTCGATGTACCATCGTCGTCAAGGCTTAATGCTGCAAGACCGGAGCTGTCCACATCCAACAATGACTTCTTTGCTTTGCCTGGCTGTGGCCGAACAATATCATCTCTCAAAGCATCTGGAGCTGCAGGTCCAAGCGTCTCATCGCCCATAATATCGACCTTTCGCACCGGCTTGCGCGGACTCCGAGAACGTGGCAGATGTTCAGAAGACGATCCTTTACTATCGAGGTTGAGTTCCATAATCGGGATCGAATCGATGTCCAACTCATTGTTCTCTCTATTGCCATCCCGGACAATTCTACTAAGTGGTGTGACTGCTCCGCTGCCTTTGTCCGTTTCGGGATCGATATAGAATGGATCGTCTTTGTAGCGTTCTTTCCTCTCTGCTTTCCGACGCGCAATAATGTCAGCATCCAGGTACTCATCCTCGGTTGCGTTCTGGTATGATGTCGGTTCTTTATGCGGGGCATCAAGACGGTCTGCAGCCGGTGCAGCAACTGTAGGAGCTTCCGCGTATGCTGTTGGTGGCTCCGAGTAGGCCGCATAGACATCATCTTCCTCTGTCTCAAACCCTTCTGTGTCGGCTGTGTAGAGCAGATGCTGGAGATTGGAGTTGATTGGTGTGTCGAGATCGAGGTCTTCGGGCAACGGAACCTTGCGTTGTGCACCAGGAGCGACCGGGTTCAGCTCAGCACCAGAGAACAGCGCAGGTATAGCTTGTGTAAGTAATAGGGGTGGATCGGTAAACGTGTTCTGATCGGCGCTGGCAGCAGTTCCAGATGCAGCTTCTGCAGCGAGACGCATGAGTTCGAGGTACTCAACCGCTCGTTCTTGGACTTCTAGACTGGGATGCGTAGAGAGTGGCTCCAGGAAATGGATGATTCGAGCCATGAGTAGGGACATTAATGTTTTGCGCTCCGGAGTCCATGACACCTGATCATTTCCAGCCATGCTAGAGAAGACCTTAGGTATTGCTTGTAGGTACACAGCAAGGGTTCTCGAAGATAGTTGAAGAGAAGAGGGGTGTAGTAGGGACGTCATAACCGGCTCTGGGCGAGTAAGATAGTTGGCGTACTCTCCCACAAGCCAACCGGCGTATTCCAGTACACCTTGACCGCCATTGCCAGATGCTGGGAACATTTGATCTCTTCGATCAACAAGCACGAGCGACTGTGCGGCATCTATGGCTTCCGATCGGACGCTCTTTACCCGGATAGCAACATTCTGTAATTCATGTCCAATGCCGCCACCAATGTCATCTGAATGTTCTACTTCTTCCTCCTCTTCCATAACTGAAGATGCTTTTGTTGCCGGCGATACCCTGACAAGCTGGGTAAGGACGTCAATGTACCATTCAAAGTCGCTAATGTTGCTGTAAGTGTCGCGTGAGCACATGTCTAATATTCTCTTGATGACGCTGATGCGGTAATCATCTGGCAGCGGCGGCGGTTGGTCGGATTTCTGTTCGTGCTGCGGCAGGGTCTCTTCTGCATCAGAATCATCATCACCGTAGGGCGTTATGCCAGTAAGTCTGGCCCGGTCGTTGTTAGGATCGCTTGCCGCTGTCGCAACGGGTGCATTCCGAAGTTGTCGCATTAATCGACCCACGATGGCTGTGAGATTGTCTGGATTGACCATACCGACGACCAAATCCAAAGCACGCATTCGTATCGAGATGTCTGGATCGTCGATGCATTCGAGGATGACATCTTGCTGCTGAGAAACCAAGTATGGATGTGATTTGACGATCTTTTCGAAGGCGAGTAATGCGACATATTTTACTGCAGATTGATGAGAAGCGGAACGTGGGAGAATAGTGTACATTAGCTTACAGTTTGCATCTCCTTCTATTATCATCATGCCTCGTAGTTTGCCGACACATAGCTTTGCTACCTCGTCGCCTTCTGCGGTACCTTCTACGGCTTCCAGAATGCCACCCTGAATGATACCACTGATACATTCATAAAGCAACGACATAGCAGACGTCTCGCGTATAATCTTGGTTAACGGAGGTAGCAGTTTCTTGATAAGTCGAGGTTCCAACGGAGTCAATGTTGCGAACTAAGTTTGGTTAGTTGCAGCCTTTCTTAGTATGGCCTCAAGACTTACAAGTTTGATGAGTTTGATAGCCATCCAATTATTTCCCCCTTCTACTAGGAGATCAAACAATCTTGGTGCGAGCGGTAGGAAGTCTTGAGGTCTCCTCCATCCCAGCTCGCAGACGACGTTTACGATTGCCGCTGTGACGCTCGCATCCTCGTTGTCATCTAGCAAGCGCTCCTTGATCTTGGGCCACGCAGGTCGTAGCGTCTCGGGATACACAAGAGCCAGCCGGTATAGTGTCACGACCGTCTTCTTGCGGACCATTGCGTGCGAGTGCGTCAATCGTGGTATCAAGTCGGAGAGAACCGAATTGGCCATGCTCGGGTTTATGACGTGCGGGATGGCTCCGAGCGGGAGCGCGATGTATTGTGGACTCGAACTCATAATGTCCTTTTTGAGTTGGTTCTCTGCGAGCACCAGGACCTCGGTGTCTCGTCGAAAGCTTTGTACTGCAGCCAAGTATCCTGTACGCTTCTGCTTGAACTTGGAGCTTGACATGACTTCGAGGACGTTGAAGCTAGCCCAGGACATGTCGTGGCCGAACATCTCGAGATAAGTGAGCTTCATGAGTGCCGTGGCCTTGAGGTCCATGTCGTTGGTCCTTATTTCCTTGCGACATTCTTTTATGCTCTCGGCAATGTATTCGCGTTCGCTGCCCTTGTGGTTTCGGAGGCCCCGAATGAGGTCGAAGAGGGATTTCTCGAACCTGCAACGAGGTCAGTCACTGGTTGATGCAGGCCCAGGAGCGTGGGGGGAGGCATACATGTTGGATGTCGCTCAGGCAGCGTCGCGCAGTCGTGTGTCTGGGCAGGGAAGCGCGCGTGGAGGGGTAGACGGGCGGCGTGAGGGTGAAGGTGGTGAACCACTAGGCATCGTCATTGGGATGCAGTCGTCATGGAGCAGGCGTGTAGCGACGTGGAATCGGGTTGCATGCACTCGTCCGCAGCCAAAGCGAAAGCTACGAGTGTCAACAAGGTTGACGTGCACTTGGTCGATTCCAGATGGGGTCGACACTACCGAACGCCCGCTAGTTTCGCCGGCGGAAGCTTGGGACAACATCCCCAACGGCTTACCTAACTCCACATGCTTCTCCAGACACTCTGTCGCCATTGACACGCACTCCACACCCGTCCGCGACGCAAACAATCGCCAACATGACACAAGCCAACCTTCTCTCTCTGCCCGCACAAATACCGCCGCCCACCGCCCTTGCGTTGTCCCAAAAGGCCCCTCTCGTCCTCTCTACAACACCAACGTCGAACCTCCCATGGCCCCTCTCGCTCCTCTTCTCGCGCGAGACACCCGAGACATGGACCATCCACGAGAACCTCTTCCTCTCCACCCTCCGCACCGGCGACGAGAATGCCGCCCTGTCCATTCTGCAGCGGCTGGAAGCCCGATTCGGCGACCACAACGAGCGCATCGTTACACTGCGCGGCATCTACAACGAGGCCACGTCCAAGTCAGATGCTGATCTGGAAAAGGTCTTTGAGGCCTATGAAAAAATCCTCCGAGACGATCCCACCAACATGAGTATCAGGAAGAGGAGGGTAGCTGTGCTCAAGGCGCTGGGCAGGACAGGCGATGCCATTACAGCTGTCACAGTGCTGTTGCAGTACAGCCCAACGGATGCTGAGGCATGGGCTGAGGCGAGCGAGCTCTATGCAAGTCAAGCAGCTTGGGGGCAAGCGATATACTGCGCCGAAGAAGTTCTGCTCATCACACCCAACGCATGGAGTGTGAGTACCGCGCTGCCCCGACCATGATGATTGTATACTAATCAACCTTTAGGCACACGCACACATTGCCACGCTACACTATCTCTCTACAGCCTCCAACAACCCACCCAGCCTCACCTCTCTCGCCCTATCGCTAAAGCACTTCTGCCGCTCCGTCGAGCTCAACGACGGTTACCTACGTGGCTATTACGGTCTCAAGCTCCTCACCTCGAAGCTCAACAATGCACTCTCCGACTCGACATCCAAACGCAACGCACAAGAAGACGACGACATCCCCGTCCCGAATGCCCAAACTGTAAACAAGTTAGAAGAGATTGCTACAAACAAACTCGCCGAGATTATAAGACTATACAAGTCAGGAAAGAAGGCGTGGCAAGGCTACGACGAGGCGGAAATCATTGCTGCGCGGGAGCTGCTGGACAGGGACGGCAAGGCTGAGCGATAAACAATCTCTCTACGGCAGGTGACTGTAGGTCATGACATGGCGGCGTTTTGGGCGTCTCTGGTGTAGACACATGGAGGCATATCTGGACAAATGTCCAGTGCAGTCGCTAGATACCATTTCAAGTGACTTATTAATCATAAATCTTCAATCATCATAATGCAAACACCTAGAAAGTTGTGCCTTGCACAGAGTTGATAGGTTGGAGGGAAGATTCCAATGCAAATGTTTGTAAAGGATATATATGTATCCATATTATTATTACAAGAGGATCATATCCTCTCATTGCCGTTCCTATCCCCATCCCCATGCCGTCTGTTCCGTTCCAGCGTCAACCCCAAAGCACAACACCGAACCTTTTCATGCAAGAAACAAAAAATAGATAGGTCGTTCGCAATCTACCCCAAGCCACAAATGCCATGATGTGGGTATATCTCCCGATCGATGCAAGATAATGTCCAAGGTAGCCGAGACGAGAAGAAACAAGGGACAAGAAGAAAGTATGAGCGCGCCTAGAGTTGTAACATGTATGCTTTCCCTTATCGAACAACGCAGATAGTACTCTCTTGGCTTTCGCCAAAATAAACAAGAAAACGCCGCCGATAGATGCAAAAAAGAGAATACAAGAATTTCGGCCATCGGCCACTTAAATCGCTTCCATATGTCTTCAAGAAAATTGGTGGGGGAATGAGAAATTATCGGGACTCGTTTCTTCTTTCTTTTCCCTTGAACCATGAGATCCGTATCACGGCGTTTCTAAGTAATGCGCTTGCTGTTGCCATGAGAGAAAAAGTTTGCGTATGCGTCTTATGAGCGTTGCGAATGTGCGTGACAACATCTAGATGTTGAGACCGCGAGTAAGGTCTTCAAGGCCTGAGCTGGTGTTCTCCTTGCCCTTTGACCTGTTTTTGCGTGCTGCCATCTTGCCCCAGTCTTCGTCGGCATCGTCTGTCTGGGGAGCATTCATCTGTGGTCCTGGACTGCCCTTCTTCAGGATACCCTTGATGGTGCTGGTCCGGTTCTGGTTGGCGCCGCCCGAGGCTTGAAGCGTCATGGACGTTCCGTTGGATACGGCATCGGACTGGTTGACGACGGGACGGTACCTAGCGGACAACCCAATGTTAGAACGCTCGGATGGTGCGATGGAGGGAGTGTACCCTGGATGCGGGCCCATGAACGACATGGAGCGCTGCTGTTGCTGGTTTCCATTGGCCGACATAAATGACATTGGTCGATTTTGCCCATTTGGTACGTTTAGGAAGCCTGCGCCGCCCATTGTACTGCCCATAGTACTGCCTGCGTAACCGTTGTTGGGCATTGCCATTGACATCCTTGGGTCTTGTTGTTGGGGTTGCTGCTGCATCATCTGCAGTTGCATTTGCTGCATGGCGATCATCTGCTGCATCTGTTGCATCTGCTGCATGTACTCGTTCCCTTGCTGCATTGGGTACCCCATCTGACCCATGCCCATGCCCATGCCCATACCCTGCATCGGCATTTGTCCACCCATCATGGGGTTCATCATGGGGTTCATGCCGCCCATGCCACTCATCATGGGCATTTGAGACATCCGCGTCGAGTTCTGAAGTTGGCCGTTCGCGTTCATTTGTTGGCCGAGAACACCAGTGAAAGGTCCGCCTTGGGGCTTCTTTGCTGAAGCACCACCCATGTACTTCTGCTTGGACATATCTCGCATCTGAATCTGGTCCACGAGCGAGGGCTGCGACAGACCAGCATCTTGGTACATCATGCTAGGACCCATACCCATGTCCCCAGCAACAGAACCGCCTGCGACTGATCCAGGACCACGCGCGAAACCATTGAAGCCCATAGACTCACGGTTTGTTGGCCGAACCAAGCCTCCCCCAATGAAGGAATTGTACGGGTCTTGAGGCAAATGTCTCGCAAAGGCTGGCAGATTTGCTTGGGAAATGCCGCGTTGGCTCATAGCACCCGCAGAGGCTGGGCGATCGGGTATATACGAGGGCATGGAGTTTGTTGGCTGGCTGGGAAACCTGTTACGGGTCTGACTTGGAAAGCCATGTTGAGCGAGAATACCCAGCGGCACATCCTCGTCTTCCCATTCTTCGGCTTTCATCGACGTTTCCGATGGGAAACCCATGTGATCTACTCCCGGATCTGTGGGAGCGCCAGGGGCTGTGGTCGAGCGTCGCATAGCTTCCCGGGCAAAGTGCATTTGCTGGTTCTTACGCCTCATCAGTTCCTCTTCCTCTCGTCTTTTGATAGCGTCCTCCTCGTCTTCATAGTCTTCGTCGTCAGAGCTTTCCTCTGGTGGTGGCTGGTTCATCTGTCTCTTCTGGTACTCTCTGAACTCAGCTTGTGACATCACACGCCTTCCATCCGCTGTAGTAGTAGACGGTGCACTGTTGCCGTTGGAGGGCAGGGCTGCAGACTTCTTCGCTATCGGGATTTCCTGCTTGGGGACAGGCTTCGATGGTGCGAACAGGTCATCTTCTTCGGCATCGTTGTAGGAAGAGGCGCCCGGTGTGAGAGAAGCTTTTGGTGTTGTGTTCGTGGTGGTGCTCGTAGCCGTGGCCGATCGAGAGGAATAGGGGGTCTGGTAGGAGTTGGCAGACGACGAAGAGGTGGAGTTGGGTTGTTGTTCGGGTGAGCTTTCACGGTACGACTTTCTATCTGTGTATGATTTGCGAACAAACTGAGCATCGGTGTCTTCGAAGGTAGATGATGGGTGGAAGGTAGGGCTTTCTGACGCGACCGGCGCATATGAGGAGTACTTGTGGGGAGGAGGCGGCGGCGGCGGCGAGTCATTGTCTGAATTTGGAGAAGCCATTAGGTTGTCGGCTGAGTTGCGGCTGTCCCAACTCTTCAACGGCGCTTCGATGCCAGATGGTGGTGGTATCTTAATAGGTTCGGCCTGGAACGTGCGCTTTTCCGAAAGGAGTGAGCGTCCCGCAGTCTCTCGTGGTACTTCGGGAGATTCTTTGCGGCTTAAATGGCTGAACATGTCGTCTTCAAAGCCGCCGAAGTTTAGATCCCCTTCGAGTTTCGGCGGAACTGCTGTGCTCGCGTAGCTCGATGTGGTCATAGCCCGATTTCTGCCACTCCACCCTGACCCTGACAGATCCTTGTATGATGACACGCCAGAACTTGACTTGGGTAGCGAGGGTAAGTTCTTACGGAAGGCGTTTACCGAAGAAGGGGCAGGGGAGCTGTTGTGTTGAGAAACCGTCGGTCGGGGTATATTAGTGAAAAGGTTGTCGTCGGAGCTGGTGTCCGTGGAAGAAGGAAGTGTAGAGGTCGAGCCATGCTGGCCATTGGCGTAGGGTCTCGAATTGGAAAATTGAGTCCCACTGCTTGACTTGCTGTCGCTAATTAAAGGGTCAGTCCGGCCGACGCTATGACTAGCGGATACGAAGCTTACCGTTTTGAAGATCCTGGAGACTCATCGTCTACGGACTGGTTGCGGTTCTTGCTGCCAGCACCGCCAAAGCCGCTGAAGCGCGGGAACTTTGACGACCTGTCTTTTTCCTGTGTCTTGCGCTGCTCTTTTGCCTTTTCTACTTCCGTCTTGCTCAGCACCCGGAAGCCACCAGAATCAGCAACGGGCGCCGTTATAGTCTCGGGACTTGTTGCGATATCGACCTCTTCGAATGCATTGCCTTGAGACTTGCGGCGAGCGGTGAATATCCCTAAGCCTGGCTTGCCCATGTTGCTGGATTTATTTGTTTTTTCCCTCAGGTGGAAGCAGCGACCAATGCCTCGAGCGGCCTATTCTGATACGATTGGCAGTATCATGTACAGCAAGACGTGCGATGCGCGACGGTCGTGGTCGAGGAAGGAGCGACGGGGCAGTCACAAAGAAGCCAAACGTGTTACGGACAGAGAAGGAATGGATGGGGCAGTCTAGATGTCAGGAATTAGCTCTGCTATACGTGCAAGTGGCGGTGCAGCGTGTTGGTGTTGTGGTGTCGAGAGATGATGTGAGCGGGCGCGGCGAGTGTCGCTGCGAGAGCTGAGTCGGGAGTGTCGTTGATGGGCAACTTCGTATTACCGCGTTTCAACGTCAGGGCCGTGTCGATCTAGCCGCGTATTGATTTTATTATGCGCTTCGAGTGTTCCTCGGCCAATACACAGGTGGCAGGAAATCTTGTCGTGGCAACTTGCGCCTCTGCCTTTTTTCCAGCGCATCGCCTGGTCCACTTGCTGATGTCGAGTGCGGCGTCGTTCGATCCTTCCGAGGCACAGGACGGGGGTGGGTTGGGTGTGCGACTTACCAGACACGAGGCGGGTAGTAGCAGCAGCGGCACCTGTTCAACGAGCGACAATGTCTAATTGCAGACAGCGGAGACAGCGATGATGTAGTTTGCGTGCACGCGCGGAGAAAACGGCTGGATGATGAACGAGTATAAGGGCGCGCACGGATGGCACAAAGTCATAGTAAGGAGTGCGCCGTCCGATCATCTTCACTCAACTGCCCTCTCGCTCGGCCGGGCCTACATCCACCTAGGTACCGAACCAATGGCATCCTCCCGCAGTGGGCATAGCGTGATTTAGAACGGCCATTAACTGCCTTGTTGGGTTCTGCCATGTATAATCTAGTCTTGACAGCCATCGAAGTTTGTTAATGGCGCAATCATCTCTGGTACAGCTTATGCTGTCTTCTACGTCGCTGCCACGATTTCGTGCAGCTTCAGACGTATGCCCTACAGATTGAACCCAAGGCCGCAAACTGCTGGTCGAGGGTTGGTACAGTAGTGTAGCCTCTTAGTCCGATCATCATCCATGTCCGGGACCCTCATGCCAAAATTAGACGGCTAGGCTAAGAGAACTCATCAATGATGGTCTCTCCAGGGACGCACGCTCTCTGTTCGCTACCTGATAACAATGACTGATCGACGGTATTGACGCGCACCCAATTCGACGTCATCGTCATTCTTGCATGTTCTTCTCGCTGCGCCTGATGTTTCGGCCTTGGACACAGGAGACCCTTCGTATTACACTGCTCCATAGCATAACGGACCCTCACGGTCCATGCCCGCGGTCGGCGCGATACCGTCAAGCCAAAATTATGGGTAGCCCGTATCTGCCTAGCGGCTGCGCTCTGTAGACACCGTGGACGCTTGAATGGCTATGAGTCGAGCCACACCAGGGCTGTCGTTGCTTGTGATTTCTGCAAGCCGGGGTATGTGATTCTCCATTCAGCCTGGAGACTCCGAGATGACACTCCTGCGAGACGCTTCGCCGCCTAGGCACTCCTCTTGCTCGTGCCTAACATGCAGCCGCCTGCATATTCGCTACCCGGTGCGAAAACATCGCCCAAGCCCGGTGCGCTTGTCGCGATCCCTGCTAGATACCCGTCTTAATAACGTCTAGCTAAGAGAAGAAAGCCTGTTTAGACTTCAAAGTCGCCTCGCGGATAGGTTGTTGGGCGCACAAATTGCTTTGGATGATTTTGCTCCCAGATCGATTTCAGGAGGCTGCCGGTGGCTTGCCAATGCTGCCATCATGAAAGCACAGACACTGCCCCGGGCAGGCCGCTACTAGGTATTTCTCCTTATGGCTACACGCATGCAAGCCAATACCAACCTCGCTGATCTGAAGCAAAGCATCAGTTCGTGACTGTGACTTCCCTCGACCGCTATTTGAGGAACGTCATGATTACCTATACATCGTGATCGTGTCGCAAGGCAAAGCATTCCGACCTGCTTCTGGCACCTGCAACATGCGTTGTCGAAAGAGTGTTCTTGTTTTACAATGTGCTGCGCTTCTGCAGTTGCATGAGCTGAACGCGGCTCGCCAGCCTCCCGGGCGCTTGCTGTTGGCTACAACTTGAAGTAGTGTTCGATGCAGCGCTGCAGCATTACTGCGGGACATGACGCCGTCTCTGTTAGCTCTCCCGCCCCTCATTAATTCTAACCTCTCGTCTGCCTCAATCCTAACGTTCTGTTCACCCCGCCTGCGAACGCGTAATCGTGTACGGGAGATCTGGGGGTTGGCCAGCTAGCCTCACCCTACGTGCGTCTCAACACATGGTAGGCGTTCGATCGATCCGCGCTCGGCTCCTGGAGATCAGCCGAACCAAATTGGTTGGCATTCGCTTACATCGCAACACTTTCCAGCTGATGATGATGCTTTTCAGTCGCTACACAGAGTGTTCATTGTTCGGTCCTTTGCGTTTGAACCTACGTGGTCAGTTGCAATCAGGACCAGTCGGCTTTTCAATTTCGCTTCATTCACTCCACTATCACAGTTCCTTGTCTTAAAATCCTCAACGCCAAGGCGCAGCACCAGGGCTTTGGAAGGTGCAAAGAAAGAATTTCGGCGAGACCGTTGCAGGAGCACGATTCTCGATATTCTCCTACCATGAGCGCGTCATCTCTGCAGCGACCTTCGGACATTTTGCTTCTTTGCTGCCGGCTGTGCTAAACTTGCTTTATTCTTGGTTTCTGGCCTGTCACTATTCACATGGGCCCATGTGGGTATAGGGATACGATGCCCATGCAATTGGTGTTTCTTCGTCCGGTTGTAGTGCTTGAAAACGTTTTACATCCGAGCTAGGATTATGGTCGCATCTGACAACGTTTTTGAAAGCTGCTGTCAGCATGTTAGGAAACAGACAACACGCTTTTGCATTTTGCTCTGATGGCTCACACATTGCGCCCCGTGTCCGTGCCACTTTGACGGCATCTGTGGTAAGGTGGTTTTGACGCAGGGTAATGCTAGGACTTCGGTCGCCGTGACGTCAATCGAGATCAACAGGAAGGCTCAAGTTTCCTATACACGCGTAGGTCATAGTCGTCGAGGAAGAGCACAGGAAGCATAAGAGCACACCATGTCTAGTGAAGTAGCCGTCAAAAAGAAAGAGGTACGCTACCACAAAATGCAGTTTCTCAAATGCTCTCAAACAGGGAGCCCCGGACTCACCGAGGCACGTGGACGGTCGATAGGGGTCCAATGACGCCACTGTGCAAACGGAAAGAACGCTCATTCCACCCTCAATATTTGCTTCCAGCACGGGACCCGCTCTTCTCGCCCGCAATTGCTTCTCCCTCACCTGCTAGCCGAATCCCCACTTTCCCGAACTATTTGACGACTTTCTCCCTACATCGGCGGCAGTACTAGCAATCAGATGTCAGAAGACCCGTACGAAAAAAAAAACAATATCGCCCCAACCCCCGCACGCCATGCCCATTGACTTTCTCGAGCTTCTGTTTGGAACTCGGCAAGCAGGTGTGTCATGCTCTGCGGAAACATATGCCTTGTATTAGGGAGTCTGGTGACAATGATTATGATGTCAAAGAATGGCATCCCGTGGACACCTACAGGAGTTACAGGCAGAACTGCACTAGTGGAGTCACCTTATTGCCCTCATTCTCTTAGAGGACGGTGCAGAGTTTTAACTCATTGATTGTTGGCTGACAAAACCAAACTACGACTGCGGGCTTAAGCTTAAATGTAATCCGGGACTAATTTGCCCTCACGAGGCTCGTCGTGTCGTCTCCGTTCCGACTTCGACACCGTACCGACAGGTCCCAAGAAATCTACACTCCACTCAGAAGGTCTCGCTATCTTCATACGACGTGTTGGGACTATAAGCAGAACACGGGTATACTAGTAGCGCTCACGGTCTGTCAAAGTCCAAATATGGGTAACGAAGTAGACCGCTTCGGAATTGTCGTAACTGCGTTATTCAACAGCAAACTCACTGAACTACCAGTTGCCGTGTCTACCAAACAGGCTTGTGTAGGCGCAGTCAGAAGACTAAGCATTTCAGTTACGGGTGCTTTCACAGATCCCACCACCCGAGAGGATGGAAACGAGAAGACTATCACCTTTCATCGTCTCTCTAGCTCAACTTCAGCAAGCTAGGCGCAAGGTTTTTCAGCCATTTGAAAAAAAGGCAATTATGCGGGGATATATGCTATGCGGAAATATATGCTGTGCGTGAGCGGGTCATCTTCAGTACAACCTTATATCCCTTTGACATACCAATTGCCGCTGAAGTATCACATGGTAGATGGACCCCATTTGATTGACAACTTCCCCACCTAATGAAATTACGATATAGAAGAATTCCGCACATCGCCTCTTCATACAATCTGGAAAATGTGTGTATATTATGCTGATGCATGGATCATTAACTGCCGAACTTGGGCATATTAATATCTTTCATAGGTCCTATTGGCTGAAGAGAAGGCCCCATCCTTTGAGGCGATAGCATTGGGCTTTTGGCGATAATGATAACATGCCTGAGTCCTCCGTTCTAAGTCCGTCGAGAAAGAACTGTCTCACGTTCATGTCTGTCACCCGCGAGGATGCCTAACTTCATCATCGCCATTATCAGCGCTCTGGCAATACAAACATACGCAGCATGCACGCGCGAAGTCCTCAAAGCAGTGACTGATGAGCTCTTCGCTGCCCAAACCGCCGGGCAGACGAATTTTAGCTCTCTGTCAAGTACCGTCGCATATACGGAGAACCGCAAGAGTGTTGATATCAAGACCAGCATCATCTCCAAATCCATGAAAATTGATCATGCTCGATCCCAACACGACACCACTCAATGTGCCGCCTTCAGCGAATTCATTGTCACCGATACCGCTGCACCCTATGTGATCGCAACGCAACTACGACTTGACAACTCCACCAAAGTCACGCAAATCGACACAATCTGGACGAGCAAGGGAGACTGGCTCTTCAACGTCACGGGAACATACTATTGGGCTACTCACGAGAAATGGGACGCCATCCCTACTGAGAAACGTGACTCCCGTGCTGTCATCAAAGCAGCAGGAGACGCTTACGCCGACCTGTTCAACAACAAAAGCGTCAAGGTACCATGGGGCTCGCCATGCGCGCGTCTGGAAGGCGGTGCGTATACGGGTAAGGGTGAGGCGACGGACAGGTGTGATGTTGGTGTGCCTAGTGGCGTGCTGCTGGTTAATAGGCAATATGTTATTGACGAGGAGTATGGCACTGTTGATATCATCATGGATTTTGGAGGCATTCAAGGTCAGGTTGGGGCTGATGGATTGCCGGACAGTCACGAGTTTAGGGTTGAGGGAGGGAAGTTGAGATACGTGCATACGCTATCGAGTTGTGGGGGCAAGGCGTGTATGTAGTTTTTCTTGCCCTCAATGGTGAGGTGGTTGCAAAATGACATGAAGACTTGAGATTAGGAGAAAAACAGACGTCATTTCGTAGGAGATAGAAGATTTCAGTTTGAACTAGACTTTTCCCCAGAGAGTTATAGTTTTTGTGGCATAGAGTATCGTCAGGTTAAAGGACTTACGAGAAATAGTTGGATGTCTAATGTAGGGCTCACTTCTTGATCGGGCTTACTACACTTCGTCATCGTCATCGTCTCCACTCTGAACAGGTCCTCAATCTCAGTACCACATCTCGACGTCGCCATTGGCCCCATACCGTGCCTCCGAACAACCTCTTACATCCAAGTAATCAACCCATTCATCATTCTCCACAGCTAGTGCTCTAGGAATCCTCTTGAAGATTCCGGAACCATTCCCGTCAAATCCAATGGGAAACGATCTCTGTGCTTGAGACGTCTCAGTTTCGTCACCTGTGGGGTGGACATCGGCTGGTTTCCTGACCGATGTAGCGTGTGGTACGTCTGTCATGTTGACATCCCCGGCCTCTTCGGTAGAGAAGGAGTTATGTATAATGCCGTTTTGGCAGGCATACCTCTGGGTAACATGAACAGGCCTGGTGTAATCTTGTAGACGCCACGTTTTGCATCTAGACGTCTGCGTGAAGGCCCAAACCAAAATCTCCGGCTGAGTTTGTATTGCGAGCTCGCAGACGCCTACCAGCCTTCCGATTTCCGTGCCACTAATAGACAGAGGCCATATTGAGCTGTTGTTCTCAACCTCGTGTTGAGTCGATGGTTCGCAAGATAGCGGCTCATCCCACTAGTTGAGCCAATGATCCCTCTGGTGCCTCAATGTTAGATTCGTAGAGGCAGTGTAAGACTTCCAGCTCTTAACATTTTGCTCCATCTGTGATAGTTGAATGACATCCGGGGGGACGCTATACAACACGAGGGTTTCGCCGTAAGTCACAACGACGCGAACACCCTGAGACAAGTCCGCAGCCGCGATGTACAGCCTTGGTAACATATACTTTTCCGGTGAGATGAATGTGATCTTGCGAAGGAGTTTCGTAGGTCCACCAAGCGGTGCGTCGCAGCCTAATGTTAGTAGGCCGTTGGCTGGGTCGATGAACAGAATGTGGTATCCGTCGCTCAAGGGAACAGCATGATAGTGATCGCAGTTCGGCGATCCTGGTTGGTTCGACGCAGATTCAAACCCAAATGAACCCCAGAAAGCGCTCATAGTAAGGCGACCAAAGAATTTACGGCTAATGGCGGGCCGGTCTTCTGGATGAGCTGCACTAGATATGAGACGCAGCTTCTTGGCCGATTCAAAGCCTGGTCTTGGTGAAAGAAAGTACAGGTGGTCGCCTGCTGGGTGTTAGTCACGTAGCAGACACAAGGAATGTGTACTAACTCGGTGCTGTGAGCGGAAACTAACGACTCAGGCTTTGACCTGTGAGCGCATCTATCCAATGCAACTCGATGCCTGCAGAACAACCAAAGGCGACACAGCGACGTTGTGGGCATATTGAGATACTGCGTGGAGGATCGTCTTCAGCGCACAGGTGGCGATAGATCGTTGTTGTCCCGGTTTCAACAGGAACACTGTGAAGACATGAGCGGGAAATACAATTTGCCTGGGCTGTGTGATTTGGCGAGGGCCCGGACAGGATGAGGTTCCATGCGTGGTTGATGAAGTGTTGATCGTACGTCCGACAATCATTGGTGTTATGGAGATTGATGTGCTCGTTGTTCGACCTTACGCTAATCGTGTCAAAGCTTGCAGGATCTCTCTCTTGGGCGAACGGACGATGCATACGAGCTATGCTGCGTCCTTGAAGGTTCAAACCGGTCTCATAGTCGTTGACACAGCTGGTCTGAATAGATGCTGATGCGGTGCCCTTCTCTTGGCCACCAACGTCAACGTGAACCTCAACAGGATCGTTGCCTCTAATTGTGCGACCATAATGGAGCTCGCAAACAAGACCCATGCGTCCTTCGAGGAGGGCCGCGATTGAGTGCTGGCCGGAAGAGACGTCCATGCTTACCTCTAAGACCCTTCTTGGACAGATGACACTCGTGATAGGGACAGGAACGCCATTATCTAGGTTGTAGATGTAGATTAGAGTCTCTCGTGCTACGCACACGAATCTGCTGCAGAGACTTGTGGCAAATACCAAACCACCTGCATGTCCGTTGGCTAGCTCAGAAAAGTCGACTTCGGATCTTTCTGTAATGGCGACTCTGGTGTCTAGTCCGTTTCCGGTCCACCCAGATGACAACGCACACTGCCGAGAAAGGTGCCGATTGAGTAACCATTCCTTGCTTTGCGAAACAGTGTCTGCGATGGGATGAGAAGAAACACTGCGGGCTCTACAGTTGGTATCCTCAGCGCCACTCAGCCAGCCACCTCTTCTTAGCATCGTAGTCAGCAGTTTCTTATCAAGACTTGCCCGCATCCAGTGCTGACAAGTATGGCGTACGGCATTGAAGTCCTTTGGACTAAGGTAATCGTATACGTGGTGAAGTATTTCCACCGGAAGGTGGTACGAGCTCGGAAACGTCGGTGGTGCTGCAACGCTCAAAGCAAGGTACCAGGCACGATTTGTCAGGCGTAACGCGCTCCAAGTGGCCGTATCCAAATATGGTGAGACGAGTGCAGCAAAAGTACACACGGGAGAAGTGGGGTTATTTCTGGCGGAATGAAGACGATTGCGAACGACGTGCTCTTGTGTGTCACTAAAGACTGATGAGCTATCCCCGAGTGTAACGATTGATGAGCTTTCGTCCCTTTCTGTCGGCGTGCGAATACCAAGCAGAACGTCGTTTACAGTGCGGGTAATGCCTTCGTCGACACCAGGCTCCAATATTGCATCCTCAGTAACACTGCTACTGTCGAGCATTGAAAAAGAGTCGGTTCGTGCCCGACGTATTAATTGTACATCGCTATTTGTCTCCGCGAGACTTGGAAGGCGGGACAGCGAGTCGCTATGAGATCCTGCAGACCGGAGACTTGGTCCACTGAACATGAAGGCAGTAGGTGAGATGACATCCAGGCTAGGTACTGAGCCATATATGGAGGACCCCGGCCTAGAACCAAAGCTGGATGACCGCGATCTTGTCTTGGGAAGGTCTGCGACTAAATTACGATCGTGGGCACCACCGAAAAAGGATGTAATGTATCTGTGAAAAGCAACACGTGGCCTGGACTGTAGCCGAGACACGAGGGCAGTGTTGGGACAATCGGCTTTGGCGACACGAGGCATGTTCTTATGGTTGTGAGGATCGCGACTTCTTGAAGGTCGAGGAAAGACATGGCGGAGAACTTCGGAGCGTCTTGTAGCTGGTGGTTGCACGTCACTTGTAGTATTCGAGGAGTCTTCGTGCTGTGAAGTTGTTGGTGATCGGCTTGATCCTCCCAACAGTGGAGTTTTCTTCGCGTGGTCCTGCATGTGGGACATTCTTTCGTGGCAAGTACAGGACGGAGTGAGAGACAGTCGTTGCGTGGTCGAAGATTCGACGAATGAGGCCGCCTGGATGTTAAGAATAGGAAGCGCTGGCTCAGACTTGGTTCCGGCTACACCACGCGATAGGTATATCTGGGAAGACGTGGTTGAAGCACCCCCAAGGTGGAGGTGCACCGCCGGTCTGAGGTAAGTTACCGCTGAGGCTGGTCGGACGGGAAGTGAGACAAACACTAGCCACGTCGAGAATATTACCGCCTTTGTGTGACAAAAGAATACGAAAAGTAGTATGGATAAGATGTCCCACAAGGTTTGGGTGGTTGTGGTGAGTGAGTAAAGAATGTGAGGTGTCAGTGTTGTAAGCTCATAACTAAATTCATTGCGATGGTGGGTATCAACGAACACAAACCAAGGAAGAGCGACAAACAGTACAAGAAGGCCAGACTGTAGACCGTATACAAGAAAGTGCAACCGTAACCTTGCTGAGGAAAGTCCGCTTGGGCTACTCCCAGCTGCCGTTGGCACCGTTGGCACCGTTGGCACCGTTGGCATCATTAGATCCAGATCCGTGTGATCCGTTTTGAGGTCTACCATGTCTGTTCAGTAGCCATACATCATCCAGACTAGACATCCTTGGGTCAGTGAAAGCCGCACAGAATTGGGTAAGATATACATACGGCATAATGAGACTGGGGTTCTCGAAGCGCAGGCCCCGTTCTCGGGCCTCGTCTACTGTAAGTCTACCCACAGTTCTCCGTCCAGCCTGACCATACGCAACAGCTTCTTCCTGAACGTCGCGTCCAAGATCCGATTGTTCTGGACTCCGCAAGCTTCTTAGGGCGATGAATTTCATCAGTGGTCGATAAGTGCGCGCAAATACAACAAGGAACCATAGAGTACAAACGACCAGCGGCGCTACCATAACGGCCCGCTTGAACGCCTTCTTGAGAGCCAATTGGCCAGCGACAGTAACTTGGAACAGTACGACACCAACAATGACGCGGTCACACATCATCGTCCAACCCTTGCCAGTTGAGTGCTGACGGTGTTCCATGGCATACAAGAGTTGATACTTGTGAACGAAGTGGCCGATCATGAAATAGGCCACACCGACAAGCAGAACTTGCCATGAGTCTCTCAACACACTGTAGACCATGCAGATGATGAAAATGAGGATGGTTTGTGGTAGGAAGAACCCATAACTGAAGACTGGCGGCTGTACCAATTCAGCATAATCTCGGGGGGTCTTAGCCCCAATGAGATAAACCGGATACAGAGATAGGGCTCCGAACTCCATAAGTCGGAACGGGAACAGTCCGAATGCTTGAAGGATGATGAAGTTGGTGTAGAAGCCCAGTAAATTCGAGAGCGATGTTGCCAAGGCGTATGCGATCTGTGTGGCGCTGGTGAGCTTCTCGGCGAAGCGCTCAAGCATCGTCAGAAAATTGGAAGCAGTTCCTAGTATGGTGAAGAGGATGAAGAAGTTGAAGAAAACGAAGAAGAAGTTCTTCGAAATGACTGACAACTCAACATCGCCTTGTGAGATCATCCCTTGTTTATTGGCGAGCCCTGGAGAGCATTAGCATGTCAGATTTTGGACATTTAGAACCAGCAAACTTACAGTCGTACAAGAAAGGCACAGCTACATTGATCAGAGTAAGTGCCAATGTGGGAAGCTGGGTGTTGACAAGAGATTCTACAAACTCGTTTTCGTGCAGTACATGTGCCAGGCCCGGGAAAACCTCTTGGATGGAGCACGTGTTGAGAGCACCAGCAATGGGCACTAGCAGGACTGTCCAGAAGACACTCAAGATACCAATCGCGACGGTGATTGACCAAGATCGAAACATTCTTTGACGGCGAGACAGGTAAGTATTTGACCAGACCACATCCTGTGGTGCTGGACTGTTATGGGCTAGGAGTTGCAGTGGGGAAGGGTCAAGCACAGCTTGAATGGCCATTTGCGCACTTGCAACGCTATCCATGGTCACAAATGCCAGCGGGGTCGGTTCAAAGTCTTTCTTGCGCAGCGTGCGGATCTCGTCGTCAATCCTACGCAGCTTCTCCTCATAATAGTCAATGGCATCTACTCTCTTGTACCGTAGCTTGAAGCGGCCGTACCAGATCTTGGCTGTCGGGCGCTGCTGGGGGTAGGGAGTGATGTAGTCAGGATCCCGATCTGCGTCGCTTAGGAAATGACTTGTCTCACTCTCGTCGTTCCCGCTGCTTTCGGAAGATTGTGGCGGACGTGGCTGAACAATTGGGAGAGTCTCCAAGCTTCGTTCCACTTGGCGGCTTCCAAGATGGACAGTCCAAGCTTCCTCGAGCTTCCGCAAGATGGCCTGCCTCTCGATGACTTTGCTGTCGAGCTCTTTCCAGTCCTTGCAGAGAGTCACACTCTCAACCTTGCCGATGCCAAGGTCCATGATGAAGTTCTTGATCTTGTCCTCGGACCTAAGGTCAACTGGAATACCCGATAATCGGATGGTTCGGTCGGTGATGGTTGTCTGGCTTCCCAAGTACTCTTGCCGGATATCGATAATCCTCCTCGTCTCCGAGACAATCAAGTATAGTATGAGGGCGGTGAAGAGGTAGACAAAGACGAGATACATCCACAGGTAGTCGGTGTATTGTTCGTATTCGGCCGCGAACGTAGAAATGGTACTTCGTGTCTCAAGATGGTCCCAGCTGGGTTCTTCGTGGATCGGGGCTTTCTTTCCCTCCTTTTCTTGATGTGTGTCATGCACCGGCTTGATGACGGCCAGGGCGAAGAACAGCGTAACAAGCAGAAACTTGATAGCCATCTTGAAGAAGGCAAGGTATACATAGGCGTCGAGGCCGGCCGATGCCAGCACCTGTTCGTCGGTGATGTTCCATAGTGGTATGATCCAGCCGAAAAGGCTGTCCGGAAGCTCGGGCAGCGAGGTCGCAAGGTCGTTCTGCTTCTTGCGTGCAGCATAGAGGCCTTTCCATCGTGGGCGGAGGAACTAGGGTGGACAGTCAGCAGGCGGGCAGTAAGACGAGGCTGCGAAGACGAACGCAGAAGGTCAGAAATGCACCTATGCCAAGCGCGAAGGAGATGGAGATCTGGAGGTGGATGTCGCGCGGCCGGTCTTTGCCCCAAATGTCGTTGCTGCCATCCTTGCAAGTATCGTGGTGGTCGCTACTGTTGCCCTTGATCATCGCCGGATTCTGTCAAGTCGCCATCAAAACCGTCGAGGGCTGCGAGTTGTGTATAACTTGAGGATCGAGTCTGGTGTTGGCCATGTCATGATCCGCACGCTAGCCGCTCAAGCCATGCGACAGCAAGCTTCCCCCCTGTCGTTTACCCACTTCCTTCTCTAGACACCCACTCGCTCACCGCAAATCACACCGCATATACGTCGACCCAACGCAACAAACAAATGATTTCATTAAATAGTGATGAGAACGTCGAGTATCCTGGGTATCAAACGCCGCAAATCGCTAAAAGTTGCTCAACAGACCTTTGACTCGGGTACACCGAACAGCCAAACCATACCCCACAGCCTTGCGCGCTTTTCATCAATCCGTGTACTAAGTGCCAGATCGACCGCCCTCTTCAGAGCTCGACGCTTGGAGAACAAGTCCAGAAAAGTATAAGGCCGAGCCGGTTTGGGATACCTATCACCAACCTCAGGCTCATACGCTGCTTCGGGGTGCTCTGCAAGAGATTGTTGACCAAGTTTCTCTGTACTCATGTACGGCGCATCCGCAAGCATCCACCAAAAAAGTCTGCTCAAGGGTGTCTGGCCTTCGTACAAGGCTGCATTAAAACCATCCTCGTCAGCAGCAGAAGACTGAACAAACTTCAGGTACGACTGCAAAGCTCGTACCACATCGTTCGCACGGCAATCTTCTAGCTGGCCATTGTCTCTCCAAATGCGTGACGAATGATAGGGGTGTTCTACCTCTCGTACGTTGCCCAAGTCCCCTACCGCCCAATGTGACTCGTCTTGGATGAACACGTTCCCAGGCTTGACATCGTCGTGGCAGTAGCCTGCATCGTGAAGGATGCCCACGTCCTTCAGTAATTCGTTGAAGGCCGGTCGATAGATTGCATCAATCTGCTCGTAGGACATTGGTTGTTCGTCCAAGGAAAGCTTCTTGGAGAGCGAGGCAAGATTACCGCCTCTCAACAGAGGAGTAACAAGGTGCCATTCTGCCAGCTCACCAGGCGCCGTGGAAGCCATGAAATGTGCCTTCACAGGAAGGAAGCCGTTATGTGTCGCATTTCCGTAGTCATCAACTGAACCTCCAAACTGGAGTGATGCGGGTATCTCCGTGGGCCATTTAGACGCGTCGGGCGCGCAATTCCGGAACGGACTCCGCCCTGGCGTAAATGTCTTGATAACCCACTCTTCATAGGCGAATACCTTGCCTTCCCAACCTTCACCAAGCACTTTCCAAGACGCTCGATTCGCTACTAGCTCATCTTGAAAGTTTGTTTGTTCGTCATTAGGCGGCCAAGATCGGGCTTGTAGGTCTTCTTCGTTGTATGAGTTGAAGTTGGTTGCCGAGTACTTCTCGAAGAGTGCTTGTCTACTAGACAGGTACAGCTGTTGTTGCCGGAATAGCGCAAGTATGCAGAATACAACAGTGATCCGATAGCGCAAGTGGTACAAAGTCCGAGTGCTGTGTGGTATTGGATTAGAGAGAAGGCGACCCATATATGCTGATGTATGTCTCAGGAGACGATATTGGCTTGGTGACGAGAGAAACGTTTACTAGAGCTCAGGACTCATACCAAGAGGGTGCGGCTGCTATAACTCTTGTAGAATCACAAGCGGCACCCCCTTCGAACATCATAGGAGACTGTTATGCGCCAGCGCACTAGGACGGCGCGCGAGCGCAATCGAACAATTCAAGCTCCGAGTGGCTCTCGTGGGACCAAAGGGTATCTCGGCTCATACTGCCAGGCGCAAAGCGCTATTCTTGCTCTTCATACTGCGCCCCTATGACGTCCATCCCCAAGCTCTTGGCTTCTAAGTGGCTGAGATGTGGCTCTTTGAAGCGAGGAAACAGGAAGTCAGATAGTCCCATTCGGATCTCGGCTGAGCCACAGCATAGCCAATCTCCAAGTTATGTAAATTAGAGCAATGCTAGATCGTCATTGGCTACCAGTCGTAGACGAGGACGGCATCTATCCGGTAGCGTACCATATCAGGCTGTATATCCCCTAGTGCCAGGCTGGAGTCAGGAGTGTGTGTTACACAGCCGGTCTGTGCTTACTGTTGATGCTATATGTTTTCGACGAGTTGTTGATCTTCGAGCTACCACGCCGTTGGCTTGGTAGAAGCACTAAGCTCGACACAGCCTCAGGCTAACAGCTCCATGAGACATGGACCGCAACAAGATAGTTCCAAGTATTCCAAGCTTTTGCGATTCTGGAGTATGGTATCCGGATTTCTGGTGTTGTCAATAAAAAGGTGGGGTGACGTCAAGGATGTGCTGTCATCCAGTCAGGTCCAAGTGCCAGGTACCGAGTTAGCGCAGCGCACTGATCAACGGATCTCAAGTCTTACGGAAACGGTCTCACACTCTGCCGTCACATCCTGAATCCTTGCATCATTCCAGATCATGGCGTCCGAGGCCCGCTTCGTTGAGAACAGAACCCGTTTGGTTTCCCACTTTGATGAATACAAGTACCGAGCGCCACGTTCCGCCACTTCCGTAGCCATAGCTAACGGTTTCAGGACACGGGATGCGCAAGGCGACGGGTGGGCCAAACTATGGGAAAACAATGAGCAGGATCTGTGGGATCGAGGCCAGCCTTCGCCTGCATTGACTACATTTCTGGAAGAACATCCTTATCGTGAGACGCTGTTTCAAGACAAGACTAGACGACAATCGAAGGCCTTTGTACCCGTAGGTCTCTCTTGACGAGCAGGTCCACAAAAGAGGCTCATCATACACTAGGGCTGCGGGAAAGGACATGATGTGGCGCTCTTAGCACGCCATGGCTTCAAGACGTGGGGTCTCGAGATTTCTCAGGGAGCAGTGGATGTTGCAAATCAAAACGTAAAATCCTACCTGGAGCCTTCGGCTGGTCATCATGCTGACGTCGTGCTCGGCGACTTCTTCAAGAAGGATATCGAGGCCCATCTTGGGCCAGACTTCTATGGCTTCGATCTGATCTATGATTATACGGTAAGTTCCGAATGCCGGTCTTCGGCAGTTCGACGTACTCATGATGAGGGCTGATGGTCTCGATCCAGTTCCTGTGTGCCCTCCTTCCTGAGATGAGAAAAGACTGGGCTGAGCGCATGAAAAGTCTTTTGTCGCCAACTGGCGTCCTTGTATGCCTCGAGTTCCCTATGTGGAAGCCGTTGAAAGAGCAGGGCCCGCCTTGGGGTCTCAATGGCGTACACTGGAATCTTTTGGCTGAAGGTGCTGACGGTCTATTTGACGAATCCGGCAATCTCCCTGGAGGCGGCCAAGAAAAGGGCTCATTCGAAAGAGTCGTATACTGGAAGCCGCCAGTTTCGTTTAAGCAGAGCCGTGGTGAAGACATGCTCAGCGTATGGAAGTTAAAGCAGTGGGCCCCGACGTAATTGGGGCTTGTTGTCATGCTCCATCAACAACTTTCAGCAGCAAATTTCCACATGGTGACACTGTTCGCACACGAAGCCTAGAAGTCTTCCAATGTGACATTATGACGACCAATCAAGGTTCCATTGACATGGTAGCAATGCTAAACTCTTATAGTCTATCTAGTCCCGAGTACCATCTCACATTCCATCAGTCAGCATAGCCTCGACTATCTGCACATGCCGGTTTGCATTTGTTTCGCTCCACTCCGTCTCATAGTTCAGCCCTACATATATGGAAGTATTAAGTAAGTGTATGTCTCACGTGCATTCTGTACCATGGGAACTTACCATATGGCCAGAAATGCCCACCACCACAAGTAATCTTCGCATTCGCCCCATCAAAGCTTCTCAACAATGGTAGCGCTGTCTTCCAATCACCCGCTGCGCACTTCGTGTTGAAAGCCGCCGTCTGACCAACTCCCAACGTATGGGATATTTCGTGCATCGCTGTCCTTTCGGTCATGTAAGCGCGATCCGAGCCGAAGCGTAGGTCGCCGTTGTAATTTGCTTCGGCAGTAGGAACACCTGGTGCATATGCTACACGGATCGTTTTGTTGGCATCAGAGTACTTTTCATAGCGCGCAACGGCCTTGGTCATCGCGGCTTCGATCTTGGTGTATGCATCTCTTTGGTCAGCAGTGGGGTTGGAAGCTTTTGCCAAAGACCAAGTCAGGCGTGCAGATGCGCTGCAAGCATATGCCGCGACGAGAAGAAGAGAGAATTGCATGATGGTAGATGTGATTGTTCGTATCGACACAAGAGATGTGGTTGCTAGCTGTGGAAAGCTTGCATCTCGGGGAGTACTACGGTATGCCTATTGATATATCTCGATTTCTCTTTTGATTTGTCCCCACTACTGATTACCACTCACACCTCCTTTGTTGTAGTGGTTGTAATCAGGAGCGGCTATACAACCAGATTAGGGAGGCGGACATATGAGATGGCATGTGGGTCGAAGCGCAGAAATATTACTCCCATCCAGCAAACACTATCATTCGACCACGCATGATACCTTTCCATGGCGCACGGATGATGTTTAATGTACATTGGCTTGGTAGTGCGGTGTACAAGGGCTGAAACGATCAAGCGTCGGAGATTTGATTGTATATAGATGCCCTCCCCGCACTTCGGAAGATTTCCAAATCGGCAATGATAAACACCTGACGGTGCGCAAACACTAACCCGCCTGCCGGTGCTGACTCTGGCTGACCCAAACTTCAAGATATCACTATATCGTTTACTTCTTCGTATAGGTCTTCGAACCCTCTTCCACAATCAGCTTTCTCCTAATAGCGGCCATGATCTTGGGCGCTCTATGGGCAGATTATATGTGCGTACCAAACACTAGTCGTTATCCAGGAAGGACGAAGTCTTCACTGGCAAGAAAACATAATTGCTTTTATACGGGTACTCGCAAACACAGTTTCTTGTGAGGCATAGTTGTGCAAGGCTACAAACTTGTGAAGTCTGAACGATTGAGCCGAAATTTGGGCGGGCCAGGCCCATATATAGGTAGGATTTTACCATGATTATAGAGGAAGTGGTCCGAGTATCGGTTTACCATTCAGCGCTGACGTGGGAAGTTACGCATTACATGTAATCTCACTGCACTGAAATGCTATACAAGATCAGCTATACGGCAGGTTTGTCTACCTGGGTGCTGTTTTACTTGCTTCAAAACTCACGTCTCATAAATGTATATACGAAGTATCATCATAAATATACAAGAGAACATCTTCGTTACGCATGCCATGTGACTCCCTCACATACTTTTCCGATATCTGGTATGATGTAGCATTTCCCATTCACTAAACTCGCACTGGATATGCAGAGAACAACCCGAAGCAGTTGGTATGCAGGCATCGAAGAGCAGTGTAACTTCGTTCTTCAGAGTTGAGTCGTATCTTAAAGGATTGAGTGTGGTGTTTGTGGATTTCTAAGCTGGGTGGGGTCAGCCCGGCAAAGATCGACTCAGAGTTGACCAACTGCAAGGTGTTCTCGACCCCGCACGTGAGCCGATTGCAATTGCTAACCTCTACAATAAACAATAATTATATGTGTGATATTTTTTGTTGAGCTTCCATCAAACAACAACAGGTCGCTTAGCTCAGTTGGTTAGAGCGTGGTGCTAATAGGAACTCATTTCCTTGTTTACGCCAAGGTCGCGAGTTCGACCCTCGTAGTGACCATCACATTGATCTCTTTTTGCAAAAATTGTAAATCTCGTTATAAAGTTGTTGCAGCAGCCTTCCTTTTTGCCAGGTCACTCGGTCTAGAATGGGAAACATAAGACACACATACGGGAAGAAAAGGAAAGCTCGGCAAAGAGAGACAGAAGAAGCAGCTAAGAAATCTATATATCGAGCAGATAGTTAAGGTAAATACAGCACAATGTCCTTGATATAGTGTAGCAGTACCTTCTTCATTACTGTATACATCACTTTCCGAATGTCAGCTTTACCACAGTTGCAGACTTTAACTCACTCCTTGCATATCGACGCTTCGGCAGTTTGAATCTCAACAGTATAATGTCATCGCTCGAGGCTATATTTCTCGAAGTAATATAAGTGTGTTGTGTGGACTATCCAGGCATTGACTCTAGTCTTTTGGTAGGAAGCCTGGAGGATGTACCTAAGCACTGCTAATATTTTATAGCTCTTCTGCCATGTCCTGCCACTTCAAAAGTAGGAGATTGTAGTATCTCGTATCTTCAACTACAAGTCTTGTTCCGCCATGTATAGAGCGAGCGGACACAGTGTCTCATCTCCTTACTTCCATGTCTTGGCTACGTAGGTAGCTGGCCTCAAGTAAGATGATGATGTGGTACGCTTTTTCCATCCAGGCAGGCAGATCATAGAAGAAGAGATCTCACCAGCGACGCGGGCCGGTATGTTAGTCGTTTACTGAGCGGAGATATTCTGAAGGAAGACAATCAACATATGGAAAAGAACAACGTAACGAGGGCGGGAATGATAGCCGACACTCTGTGAAGAGAAATTGAAACGACGTGTCTTAGAGAGGAAAGTAAGGAAGCATATGGTACGAAGCAGAGACGAGAAATAAACATAGCAGAGAAAAGAGGAAGAAGAGAGTAAAGTATACAATTAGAGTCGACCCATAAACCGATCAAAATGCCTCTCCAGCGAGATCTTCTGCGAGACCTTCCAACTCTTCTTGTCTAAAAGGCACCCACAATCTCTCTGTACCCATAGCATCCTTCCTACTTTCAATCATCTGGTGATCGTGGAACTCCTTAAGCAGTGTCCTGAAGCTAACTTCACTTGTGCAAACGAATGCTTCGACAGCCTTGTGGTACAGCACACGGTACTCAACGCCTTGCGCAGACTCTGGAAGAACGTTCTTGGTTTTCTCCACTTTCTTGGACCTTGGCGTAGCAGTGATTTCGTCGTCTAGTTCCATATCACCACCCTCCATGAGTGACAGTGCTAGCTGCTCCATGACAAGGATACGGAACAGTTCTCGGGCTTGTTCTGGTAATGACCGCAAGACGAAGCCTACACCGTCTCTTCCGCCGACACGTCTACCGCTGCGTCCCAAGAGTTCATTCACAGTCTCAACCGTGTCTATCTCCGCGTCATAAGGGGCGAAGGTTGTTGCGTCGTGGAAAAGGAATTTGTATTGCGTTTTCATACCGACATCCCACAAGAGAGGGAAGTGGGGTGTATCGGCCGTGCACAGGAGGTTGATGGAGGGATGGGTAGCTAGACGGGCAAGCATGGAGGGTACTGGCGTCTTCCGGAGGTAGGGCGAGTCGATGGAGTTCAAGATGACGGGTACTGGATGCGACGGCGGGTTGCTTGTGAGATGCTCGAGAATAAAATCGAGTAGGAGTGCAGGTTGATTGGGCAACTTCAGTGCTGCTGGTACCACTGCTGATGCAATGGTCGACAACAGATCTTTGATTGTTGTACCAGCTGTGTATCCATTTATGACCACAATCTTCGGTGTCTTCTTCGTCCCTTTGTATGGCGCGGAATTTATAAGATGTCGATAGAGGCGTGCGGTGAATCGCTCCGTAATGATGCGCTTCGAACCGTAACCATAGAGACAGATGTTGAACCCTTCCTCCAGCTCGAAGATCCATTGGTCGTATGCACGGCCATGCAGTTCAAGTAGGAACTCTCTCTCGGATTGGTGACGGTCTTGGTAAGTTTGTATTGCTTGGAAGTATTCATCGTGGTTGAGTAGGCTCTGCGCAGAGAGGGTGTTGTTGGAGGTTTTGGTGCCGCCGGGACGGTTTTGCCAGAAGTACTCCTCATGCGGTGGCAGTTCAGTCGGAGGCGTAGGTGAGCGCTGCTTTCGCGGTCGTCCTACCTTTCCTGACCCCTTAGGTCGACCTCTTCCACGCTTTGAAGGTGTCTCTGGCACAGGCACCTCATCTTGTACTGTTCCCTCTTCACCTTGCTCAGTGTCGTCTGCGTCTTCCCCTAAGATATGTTCTGCAAGGTCTTCCTCCTCATCCAAGGCATCCTCGTCGCTCTCATCACCATTCAGTGTGCGCTCCAGTATCCGTCGGTTGCTTTTCCTTCGTGCGCTGCGATCGGCGTTGCGAACAATGGTGGGTGTGCCGTTTGGCGAGTCTCGTTTTGCGGACTTTGTAGGGGTTTCAAACACCAGTTTCCGGTTGGACTTGGGCGTCGCAGCGATTCCATTGATCAGGCCAGTTTTCTTCAAGATGGATCGTGGTGTCCCATGCTCGGCCAGATGTTGTGTTCTCCCCTTTCTGGACGGTGTCTGCGCCTCGGGCGGTTCTACCTCATCGGGGGCATCTTCTGCAAATCGTGCGCGTGACTTCTGCGGTGTCCCCTCATCAACGTCTTCTTCGTCGCGTCTGCGCTTTGTGCCGACCATGTTTTGTTCGTTGGGTGGATGTTTGGGCAGGATAGGGTGACGCGACTTGCGCGACTTGGGTCTTGGCGTGATGGTTGAGGCTCAACCTTAATTCTTATTTGCGAGAGACGACTGGGACCTGGCTTATTGCCACTGCACATTCATTGCTACTACATGTCTTGTTTGCCTATGCCTTTGCGAACTGCGTAGGATTTGATGTTCACTGTACAGAGTCATCGTGTTTGCGACAGGCGATAGCATAGGGGCGAGTTTACTACTACTGTTCGTTGCTAGTAGACTCGCGCTGACATGTGATCGTGGGCCCAGCAAGCGTCGTGCGGCGAGTGATGCCTGACTGAAGCCTGACTGGAGCCACCCGCCCGTCTTGCTTGAGAAGCTCACGACCACAGCATACATGCATCCAGACTTGGACGGGCTGCAAACTGTTGGTCCAGGCTACGTGCATGCGAGACACGAGATGGCTTGGAGGAGCTAGATTTGGTCATGCAGGATTATGTCAAGCAGCCTTACGAACTATGCTAGCGCAGTCGGAACCTGGTCCAGGAAGCTGAGCAGGATGTTCGCGGCCCGTTCGTAAGCGGATACCTGGTGCCTCCGGGCGTGGCAGTCACGCCGTGGTGCTATGTCAGACGTGACGAGACTGTGATTCATATGGCAAGGCAGATGACGGCTTCATGTGCGATACTCGAGGACATGTCTCAGAGCGTGAGACATGTCAGGCTGTGGCTGAGACGGGGTTACAAATAGCTGTAGGGCTCCACGGGATATGCATTCAACAGACGCTGATAGGCGTGGCTTAGGCGAAAATGGTGCCCAGCCAGGATTGTGCTTCTTTGATGATCTCACGCATGCCGGCCGCTCCTTCTCAATTTCCGTCGTCGTGTTCGTCCGTTCCTGCCCCGCACAACCCCAAATCTTCAGCTCCATACTTCTTGCTCCCGCGACAACTCCCGCAACAACGCCCCACTCACCGCCACGAGACTGCTATCGCGACTCCCGCACCGTCAACGTCGACAGCCTTCGAGCGCCTCGCCGCGACACGATCGCCTGCCAACGCCGCCCGGCGCATTACCCGGACTTCTGCCCACGCTTCGGGTTCCAGCACAGCACATGCCAGCATGGACACACGGAGGCGACCAGAGTACAACCTCGAGATCTTTGCGGATGCGGCGTGCGTCAAGGATGTCGTCAAGGGTGAGTCCCTTTTCCCCTTTCCAACCTGTCTGTTTTGAGCATCGGCGCGACTTTGTCACCCCACTACACGTCTCCCCGCCCGGATAGCGCCGTGGACCATAGTTGACCTTGCTCCAGCGATACTGCACACGATATTCTTCCACCGATACTTTACCTCCATCTCGCCCTTGACCCGCGACCTCCTCGACCTTACCCTTCCCGCCATCGACGATGTCGATCTTGAGACACTCATCGAACAGAAGACGTTTGCGCTAGTACGGGCGATAGACAGCACACACCAGCCGCGAGGAAGAGGGCAGATTGTCGTGCAGTTCTTTGAGAAGAAGCGGAAGAAGACGTCGTATTTCTTCAGCAAGGCAGACGAGGACGTCTGCTGGGAGCAGTGGACGCTGGACGTTACCCTCGCCCAGCCACGGACCGAGACTGGTACGCTTTCTTACACTCTCTGCAAAGCAAGCTACTGATTATGACAATAGATGTGCTAAAAGTCCGCCGTGCCATGACAAAGTCTCTAGAGAAAGCAGCGCATAAGATCATCGCCATCGTAAACCGAGAGAAGGACCACATTCCACCCATCACCACCACCGATGCCAACCCCTTTCCTTACCAGATCGTCGTCAACCCAAAATCTGTCAACGAGAACGACTGGAGGCCGCGCATCGGCCTTTTCTGAGACCTTTCACCGTGACGCTGAGTGTAGTAATAACCCCGACTGTATATACAATCCATGATGTTATGAGGAACAGAAGATTCAACACCGCTGGGGGTAGTAGTCGTCACTGCGTGTGACGCAAAAGAGACGGAAAAGTTCTGGATTCTTTGCAACAACCACTTGAGAGACCGACCGCGCTTTTCACCCCTCTTCACCGCCACCATTACCACTACCAAAAGCTCCGTTGTACAGTGTCCGCTACGTCGGGCAAACCCCCATACCTGAATTGCATTCTGAACCCGCGGATATCGGGATGTTTGCTAAGAATACGAGCCTTTGTCGCTCTTGATTGTTTAATTGCTGCTATAGCTACACAAGATACCCAATTCCCCAATAAGATTTTTCTCTACATAAACCTACACGCACCACACACTGTTGATTATGACGTGAACGTCTGGCTACAGAAGAGGTAGTAATACATGTCGCGAGAACCAGTTTAGGTTTAACAACCCTCTCGATAATCGGTCTCATAGCGACTTTGCCCAAATCATCATACCCAAGCCGATGTCTAAAACATTACGTATTGGTCTTCTCGTCCCAGTCAACCCACCGTTTCACAACCTCGTCCACCTTCTTGACCCCATCCTTGGTAGCCTCGACTTCGAACCATTCTTTATGCGTCTTACCACAAGCATCGCACTGCTTGATGACACGCTGGTCTGCAAGCTCGAGATGAATCAAGCGTTCTACACGATGCGCGTGCGGCACTTTCCTTGCGATATCGGTATTCGTACTTGATTGGCGTCGAGACTGTGCAGGCGAGGGCTGTGGAGAAGGCGTGGAAGAAGAGACGTAAGGGTAGTATCGTACGAGAGATAAACTGTATCCACATTGGCGGGTCCATTCGTTCATACGGCGGTGTACATTGTTTGCACGTCCGATCTTAAGGAGAATGGTGTCTTTTTCTGGTAAAGAGTCTGCCTCTCCGGATCGGGAACGAGCGGTATTGGATCGACGTCGTTGTCCGCCTTTGACCGAGTATTGTCGCATGACATCTGAGGTTCGTCGACCTTGATCTGGACGTGTTGGCGGTGCTAGCAGTGTGGACGCAGCTGAGGATGGGGCGGGACCAGCGGATTCGGGTGTGAGCCAAAAGATGTAGATGTAGCCTTCTTCGTCGTGGGGAGAAAGGGGCTTTGAGAGTTGTGCAAGTAGAGTGGAGGCGAGTTGTGGTGGTAATGTGTTTGGGATGTATCGGAGTAGCTTAGCTGTCTCCGATTCTTCTCTAGCTGTTCGGTTTACAGGTCGAGCAGGTTTCTCCCCTAGTGGTTTGCGAGCAGGTGGCTCATTGATTGGCCGAGACGAAGACGGTGGTCGCGATGATGATGGCGGCCTGGAGCTTTGTGCGCTTTGTCTTCGATGATCTTGTCGTACTCGAGGTGGTGGTTGAGGTATTTGTTCCGTAGGTGCCTCTTGTCCTTCATGATCCGCGATTGGCTTTTCGTCCGTCCTCCTCTTATGCCGCACGACTTCAGCGTAGTCGTCGTCCGCAGAGCCGCAGCACAATGACGCCCAAAAACTCTGCTTCTTCCTTTGTGATGGTGGTTTCGACGGACGATGATCCCGACGCTTCCTCTCCGCCATAACATCACTCGGCACAGACATCAACGGGCCTTCCACGTTATCCCAAGTAGCTGGCCGGTTGATGCGCCGTGGCGGACGGGACCCAGATGTTCTCCTTCCTTGTGTGCTCTTCTTCTTCTGGCGTGTAGTGGCTTCATCCGGCTCTCCAAAATCAAGGACACCCAGTCGTTCAACAAGTGTGTCGATACTGTTCCTCTCTTTCAGCGGGTATAGTTGAGTTGCCGGTCCGCTTGTTGCTTGTGCGGCCAGTTGCTCCGCCTGGTCTTTATGTTGCCAGCAAAAGTAGGCCGCAGCGCCAATCTCGTCGTCGTCGCTACCATCGCTGAGAACAGATACTACGGCTATGACACCATCGTCTTCAGATACTTTTGCATCGATTGGACGTCTACACGGTCGCCCAGATTTAGTAATGCCTTTGCATGTTGTCGCTGGATTGCGCGAATCCGAGCGAGGGATGAGCGATTCCGGTGTTGTTCCTGTGAACATGTTGGTGTATCTGCAGTGGAGTTGCAATCAATGGGACTAGAGTCAAAGATGAGCTGCTAATATAACGCTCAGACTATGCTTGTATAAATCACTCGCAGCAACCTTCACAGCCTCACCGCCACGTGAAGGGTAGGGTACTTGTGAACCTGGTGCCGATGGCAGTGAACCTCGACTACGAGGACTGGGACTACGAATGCGGTGTGCCAGCGCATTATGAGCCAGGCAGACATCGCCTCGAAGTGGGCGCGTAGCTGAAAAGAGATGGCGGGTCTCGAAAACGCGAGGTGGGCACGTGGCGGTGCATGTGGCGCAGCGAGCAAAAAGAGTCAGGCGTGGCACAGGGTGCACGGATCAGGATACCAAAATTCTTCTTGCTCCTCCAACCTACTTTAACCACGATCGTCCACAAGACCCACGAACGAAAAAAAAAGACCCTACGCAAGCTGCATCGGCCGGGAATCGAACCCGGGGCTAGCCGAAACTGTCCTATGATGGATGGCAACGGCTAATTTTACCACTAAACCACCGATGCGAGGTTTGGAACCGACGAACTGTTGATTGTTCGATGGAGGTTTCGCTGTAACATTCATAATATATTACTAGGATCAATCTTTCTCGGGATGAAAGAGGCAATTAATTCTATAGGTTTTCGCAGTCGGGTACAAGCTGCAGTAGGCTGGAATTGGACAAAATCAGGATTCTCCGACTCGCGTAACGTTCTAGATCAAACATTAGATTCCCTCCTGCATTTAGCAGTAGTTTTTATGTGTCTTTTACATCTTGCTAGGGTTATTCTGGAGAAATCCAGACTACTGTACGTGCCAAATAGGGCGAGATTCTGAATGCCAAACTGTATTCATCCCGTCAAGTTGTTGGGTATGCTTGGAGTATGTCGCATTGTTGAACTGTCCACACCAATCTGGCGATATATACCTAGGTACGCTTGAGAGTACTCTGAGCCAGAACATTGCGGACCACTAGAAGCAAGAAGTTTCCAATATCGAACACAAGACCCAGGTAGCGAGCTGAACTAGTTGTGTGAAGCCTTGTCTGTCATGTAGGCTGTTGGAGGGCGCTGAGACTTGTACCTGGCCAAGTTGTTCTTGGGTTGAAGTATCCAATGTCGAAGCACTAGCATTCTCTGCGATTCTGCAACTCATCCATCTACACAATAAACGGTTGCGTCGATATGACAGTGATGTGAACGAATATCGGGGCTTGTGCATGTCTTCCGCTTGGATACGCCAGACCGTAGTAGCGGCTAGTATGCATCAAATATGAGCATGTGGCGTTGCTCACCAGGACAACCCGTTGCCACTCCTAAGAGCTTGGCTATTCATCTGCAGTCATGCGCTGTAAGCCTTGCAGTGGTGCCATTTCGAGAAGTCGATTACTCGAATAGAAACCCGATGCTCCCAATCTGTCAAGGTAGGGTCCGCGGTTAATAGTGTCTACCAGCAGAAGCCTGTTTTTGGATCAGCCACGCACAATTGCAGTCGCGTATTTCGCCTGTGGTTTATTCGTTTAGGTTTGCCAACCAGTGGGGACGTGTTTGTAGTGCAAACACATTCATTCCCGCAGTTAGCAACTTTTGATCAATCGTTTCGCCTGAAGTTTGAATTGAAACATTAACAACACAATGGATTGCGATGATTTCGGCATGACGTTTCTGCAGACAAACTCTAAGATGAACGGTTGGTAGACAGGTTACCGGGACATAGTCCCCTCTGGCGTGGCCTGGACTGACTATCGGAGCCCGCCCCGATACTAGCGCGCCACATTATCGCGGCAGATCCCAGCTACGATCACGATCCGTCGCTCTTTTCAGACAACTATGATGCTACGTTAGCCACATTTTTACCGCTTTTGGTTCAACGTTGACCCAACACCAAAACTTACCAGTATACCTTAGGCGTAGCAGGCATGGTAGTTTGGGATCCAGACGTGCGGCCGTCGCGTCAACGGCTGAAGCATGACGACACTTTGCTTTGACCATTCGAGTAGCTGTCAGGTGTAGAGCCAGAAGCCGACTATTCTGGTAATCATGTGTGTTGATATTCTCGTGGATAACCAAGTGGATAATGTTTTCTGTTTACTGTCTTCCCCATCTTCCTCGGTGAAACGATTATTTTCCTTCTTGACCTGAACGTTTATCTTCCCGTCACCCCTGGCTCGGAGCCACATCATCGCAATGAATATCAACGTACGTTTCGAATGCTGGGGTATCAGCATGGAAGACAATACTAATATTTGTGACAGGATCCTGTCCAAGGGAAAGCCTTTGCGCTTCCCTTCACGAAGGCTGCCAACCCAAATGCCAACCTCACCGATTCAGATCTTCGCATGCCTTTCATAAGCCGCGTCCCAGACAACATTCGAAACCATTTCATTGCCATGTGCGGAGAGTTTGTTGGCACGGTCCTTTTCCTATACTTTGCATTATCCGGCGCACAAGTCGCAAATAGTATACCTTCATCCGGAGGTCAGACAGTAGCGGAAGCAGGGAGCAACCCTCAGCAACTGCAGTACATCGCACTATGCTTTGGCTTCTCACTTGCTGTCAATGCTTGGGTTTTCTTCAGAATCAGTGGTGGCTTGTTCAATCCAGCCGTAAGTGATGCTGTCCCACTGCACTCTTAGTCGAGTAGATTTACTGATGCCATAAAGGTCACATTCGGAATGTGCCTGATTGGTGCCCTCCCCTGGGTTCGTGGTGGCCTTCTGTTCGTCACTCAAATTCTTGGTGGTATGGCTGCGGCTGGCCTGGTCCAGTGCATGTTTCCTGGTGACCTTAACGTTCGGACTACTCTTGGTGGAGGCACCAGCATTACGCAGGGTCTCTTCATTGAGATGTTTCTTACTGCCCAGTTGGTATTCACCATCTTTATGTTGGCAGCTGAGAAGCACAAGGGTACTTTCATCGCACCAGTGGGTACGTAATCATTAGACCTAGTCTAGTACGACGCTCATGCTAACATCTTAAACAGGTATTGGTCTTGCACTGTTCGTCACAGAGTTGTCCGGAGTGTACTTTACGGGTGGCTCACTGAACCCCGCACGCTCATTCGGACCTGCTGTCGTTAACCTTGAGTTCGCACCCTACCATTGGATCTATTGGCTTGGACCCATCCTTGGATCAGTCATTGCGGCGGGCTTTTACAAGTTCATCAAAATTCTTGAATATGAGACGGCCAACCCAGGTCAGGACATGGACCACGCTGCCAAGATCGAGAAGAAGAAGAATCTGTTGCTTGCTGCTGGTATCAACGAGTACGATGCCCACGTGGTCGCTACAGAGCTCACTGAGAAGGCCGCTGTTGCTGAGTCTGGCGGTCCGGACGGTGGCATCGTTGCTAATGGTCAGGGTCGACGTAGTCAAGAGATTAGCCCTGGCATGTACGGTACACAATTCCGTTCCAACTCTGACATTAGCGACAAGCGCGGCTCCGGGAGCTCGCAATCGGGGATTGTACAGCCCCAGCGTCCAATGGCTGTGACTACAGGTAGTCAGGTTGGGAGGTTTAGTTACCTGGGTAGCCGTGGTGCCGTACCTGGTAACTCTGCACAAGTCCACGCCTTGAGAGCGGAAACGAGGCAGGAAAGCCCCGCTATGACGACGAACGATGAGCTTTACGCTCCTCTACAACATGGCGCTGACGTACCTCTGGGGGGTGCTGTTCTGGAGGCCGAACCTAGACAGAGGGTCAACAGGACACCGTCTAGCTTCGCATGATGAGCGAATGTACAAAGAGATACCTCCATACCACTTGGCATGTCGATGCATCCTGTTTTTATTTAGCGCTTTCTGTATATAACAAGTCAGTTCCATTATCCATTGAAAGGTCGCCAATTGCACGAGTGATTTCACACAACCACGTTCTCATGTCTGCTGGCGCTTGTGGTTTGAAGTTTCCAAATGCCGATGGTGCATACAGCGGGTATGTCAAAACTGTTGTAGCCAGATGAGAGCTGAATTCAATTTCATCGTTTGGCGAGACCGATGTTGGTATTGTTGATACGGTGAGTGCGCATCGTAGAAGAGTAGGAACTTCGTGGTCACCACTCGCTATCATCGGGCAAGTTGAAGCGATTGCGCTAGTACGAAACAGTCTTAGCCCATAATAAATCGCACCCCCACTCGTGACTTCCATATCCAGACACCCAGAGTCAGAGTCCTCCACGAGTCGTCGTCTCTAAACCGGGTACTTCGAACAATAAAATCTGCCCACCATGGCGGCGATGACAGTGACGGAGACACAACACAAGAGGAGGCTACCGAAAAATGTCAAATTGCCACCCGAGAACGAACGTTATATGCGCGCATGTGCAGATATCGCCTCTGCGCTCATCCAGGACTATGAATCACAGGCCGATGGCTCAAAACCCAAGAAGGATCTCAACTTAAACTCATTGCGAGGCCAGATTGCGAAGAAACATTATTTGAAGAGCCAGCCCCCGCTTACGGCGATTATCGCGGCGGTACCAGAGCACTATAAGAAATATATCCTCCCAAAGCTCATCGCCAAGCCGATCCGTATGTCTTTCCAGATGTTGTCGAGAAAGTGCTACAGAGCTGATGCATCTTGTAGGTACTTCCTCCGGTATTGCAGTGGTGGCGGTTATGTGCAAACCTCACCGTTGCCCACACATCGCCTATACTGGTAACATATGTGTATACTGTCCAGGAGGTCCAGACTCAGACTTTGAGTATTCAACACAATCTTACACAGGTTACGAACCCACATCTATGCGCGCGATCCGAGCGCGATATGATCCTTATGAGCAGGCCCGTGGACGGGTCGACCAGATCAAGTCACTCGGTCACAGTGTCGATAAAGTTGAGTACATCATCATGGGCGGCACGTTCATGTCACTGCCAGAGTCATATCGGGATGAGTTCATCTCACAACTGCATAACGCGCTTTCTGGGTACCAAACCAAAGACGTTGACGAGGCTGTCGCCGCCGGCGAGATGAGTAATATAAAGTGCGTTGGTATTACCATCGAAACACGGCCAGATTACTGCTTGGACCAGCATCTCTCTTCCATGCTACGGTACGGATGTACTCGTCTCGAGATTGGTGTACAGTCACTCTACGAAGACGTAGCGCGCGACACCAACCGAGGCCACACTGTCGCTGCTGTAGCAAAGACCTTCTGTCTCTCCAAAGACGCTGGCTTCAAAGTGGTATCACACATGATGCCTGACCTACCTAACGTCGGTATGGAGCGTGACCTCGATCAATTCGTAGAGTACTTTTCGAACCCAGACTTCCGGACCGATGGGCTGAAGATCTACCCAACACTTGTCATCCGCGGCACAGGACTATATGAACTTTGGCGGACGGGAAGATACAAGAACTACACACCAAACGCCCTCATCGATATTGTGGCAAGAATTCTGGCACTGGTACCACCATGGACGCGTATCTACCGCGTACAACGCGATATCCCTATGCCGCTTGTTACGTCCGGCGTCGAGAATGGTAATTTGCGAGAGTTGGCGCTGGCAAGGATGAAAGATTTTGGTACCTCGTGTCGCGATGTACGGACGCGTGAGGTTGGTATCAACGAAGTAAAGCATAAGATCCGTCCCGACCAGGTCGAGTTGGTACGTCGGGACTACACAGCCAACGGTGGTTGGGAGACATTCCTTGCGTACGAAGATCCGAAGCAAGACATCTTGATCGCCCTGCTTCGTCTACGACAATGTTCGAAGGAACACACTTTCCGACCAGAGTTGACTGGTCAGCCTTCTTCACTGGTGCGTGAGTTACACGTCTACGGATCTGCCGTACCTATTCATGCTAGAGATCCGAAGAGATTCCAGCATCAAGGCTATGGTACGCTTCTGATGGAGGAAGCAGAGCGCATAGCTAGAGAAGAGCATGGAAGTAGTAAAATTAGTGTCATCTCTGGTGTCGGCGTAAGGAGTTACTACGGAAAGCTAGGTTACTGGCTCGATGGTCCGTATATGAGCAAGACGCTTGAGCCGCTGTGGGAGAGAGACTGGTAGAAAGAGAAGTCCTAATTGGGACATCCTGGCGTTGGTGTATGGGTCGGTCATTCTGCTTGGACGGATGGATATGCATGGCCCATGCATAAATACAGAGCATAGATTATGCCAAATCAATGTCTTGCTACGGAAATGTATGAACCCGCCTGTGCCTGCTAAACGCCGTGTGTCATATTACAATGTACAAGTGCTCTTTGCCTTTCCTCCACTGGCGCAACAACGCATGCATGTTCTGATGCTTTGTCGTCGCCTCCAAAGATCTTTGGATGGTCTCTCATCTTGCGTTATCCCTCAGACATGTTTCGCACGCTGTTGGGGCTCATGACAGGCTTATCGCACCGCGGCGGCTTTCGCGCATGTGAAGGAAGGCTTGCAGTCCGCAGAAGACAAAGAAGCCCTGGAAGCTGTTAGCAAGCTGGAAACTTCTTGTTCGGGTCAATACATACAATGTATATGAAGACCGCACCGAAAACCGCGCCAGCAACTGCGCCACCGTCCTCGGGGTCCTCATGTCCTCCCATTACGGTGCCGCTGTGTCCCTGTGAATTGCGTGTTAGCATATGTCTTAATCTGTAGACATGCGCCCTTCAGCATCAGGGTGGGTGGCGAGATATCTTCAGGAATCGGATGCTTGGGCGTGCGGAAGACGTACTTTGAACAGCGCTCCGATTGTGGAGAGAATGACGATGGCGAAGAGGGACACGACGATGCTATAACTCCATCAGCTTCCTTGTTACTACTATTGCTCCCAGAACAGTTCGCGCGTACCATGTCCAAGCATTCATCGCGGAAACAACGGGCTTCACCATGATGGGCGAGTTGTAGCTTCGGTATCGCTCGGAGGCGGCTGGTCTATCGGCGGCGGCGGTGGGGGCAGCGCTTCGATCGCAGTATCTTGAGGTATTGCGCTACCTGTATTGGCGATGTCGTGGATGCTGTAGGAGAAGATGGAGTTCGGAGGTGGACGACGTTGGTGAAGGTAGCTGGAAGAGGTGCCTGAGCCATCGTCATGTCCTGCGACGACCAGCCGCGCGTTGGTCTGTGCAGTGCATATGCAAGTGAACCGGGAACTTCCCGAACATCAACATCGTTCTTCCATCCGCACCATTCGATCCCACAAAAACTTTAACGGAAAACTCTCCGGAGTTCAACTTCTGGTACAATAATTTCTGTTAGGCGTTGTTTATCACGCATCCCTCATTTCGTGACTTCATGTCCGCATCTCGGTGACGGACATTGCATGTATTGCTTTCAAGCAAAACATATACACGTTTGGGAAGATAAAGACGCAGATTGACTTTTGAGTTTCTGCACAAAAGTAGCAGAGCTTGGGTAGTAATTCTGTTGACTTCGTCTTAGGATAGCTCGGGCTTCCAGAGGTCCCCTCTAACATGATGACGAAGCGCTTTCGTGATACTACGATCGAGGTTTGGAAGCTGGCTTCTGACCCTACGGGAATTACATCGTGTAGGCTTCGAAGTACGTATTGAAAAGACCAATTGTCTCCAAGATTGCCTGGGCGATGCCACGATAGTCGAGGGGGATAAATGTCAGCATGTAGGACTCATCTGTTTGGCCATATCACGTAGCGTGGCTAGCCTTCAAGTTGACTTGATCACAGACTTCAAGAAGGTCCACCTCTGTTGACATGGTGCTGTAGTATGAGTTGTCAAAACCGAAAGGAATCGCACGTCAGATGTTAGCTGGAATGCTCTCAAAGATGAAACGCTACACATTCCATGGTAGATAGACTGGCAACCTGTTTGGCAAGTTTTTTTTTCGGAAGATTATCGATTAACGGGTTTATCACGAAATGTAAGTCGAGATGTGTCTGCAGTTGCTTATAATAAACACAAGAGACTTCAGGTGTAGGAATTCAGTTCTAGTGAAGAGGAAGCGAACCTTGTTGTAGCAGCAAGGTGCTATAGCAAAAAAGGCCGATACATGCACAAATACAAAGAAGAGACTATGTCTAATCACATCATTATGTAGAACAAGAAGAGAGTATGGAGTTGATTGTTCTATGTACGAAGGAGAAGTCCCTTGTTTATATAGGGACGAGAGAGTACGCTAGTGAGTGAATGTAAGTGGATCACGTGAGAGGATGCAAACCAACAGATTACTGGTATTAATGTAGCCGTCGCTGAGCTTCTACCGCCACAAAACAGGCGCTATGTAGTTGGGTACTAAGTCTGCAGGAAGCGTTGTCCTATCAACATGGCTGTGACGCTGAACGATGACTTCAGTATATTAGACGGTACAACAGAAGCGGAGGGCATTCAACGAAGGAACAGCAGTGGAGATGTACTGGCAGCAGTCCGAGCTTTGTGCACTGATTCTGCAGAAGGGCTGACAGTGGGGTGGGCAGTCAGCGCTAATCTGTAAAGAGTCGAGATAGATCTCATCACGTGCTTTCGTCGCCGAGACGCGACGCGTCTTCCCCACCTCATCTGGGCGATGTGGCAAACTGGGAGCGATGAGATATATACACACGAGCGAGTGTTACACAAGACGATCGATCTGCGCAACTTTCCTTCCAATCCTTGCCGTCACTAGACTCTGTCCCTGAATTTGCCACCGGAGGCGTGAACGCGCGACAGACTATCGGCGCGAAAGAGCCAGGGGTACATCTGCCTTTCCACATTTAGTGCTTCTTGTCATCTCACCCCTCCGTCGAGGTTACAGTCTTTCATTCAATCTGTTCATCAGTCCTGTGTTCGCTGCGCGTTCCTCGATCTCAGTCCCAAATTCGTTTGCTTTTCCTTTCCCTTAATCGATCATAATGGCACCTCGGCGATCAACCCGCAAATCGACCGGTATCGTGAATGACGTCGCCACCGCGCCTTCACCAGCGTCTGCAACTGGTATGTATAGGCTGTCTCCGGCTCTCACTTATGGACAAGCAGTCATTTCTGTTCCTCACTTTAGTGCTAACGCGGTCACAGCCCTAGTAGATTCCCCCATGGATGATAGTCGCCACAAACAGAAGCGCACTCGCGCCTCTAGATTCTTCGTACCAAACTCTTCCGACCACGAATCGGACTCAATCGAAGTCGAAGCGCCCCAAACATCCGCCAACAATCGCCGCATCCTCAAAGAAGTATTGATTCCCACCAAGACCAAGAAAGCGCCCGCCACTCGCGGAAGGCTAGCAGGACTCAACGCAGAACAAGCAGAGCAAGAGAGCTCAACTGGCTCGCCTTCTTTGGAGAACTCAGATTATGAAACGCCTGGAACCAGCATCTCGACCACACCAGCTGCCTCGGTCAATCGTGGCAAGATGCCCGCCCGTAGCCTGCTGAACAAGGCCACAACGCCTTTGCAAAGCGCCTCATCTAAGCGATCTCGTAGCGCCGTACTAGACTCTGATTCTGAAGACATGACACTCGACATGGATGCTGAGATTGCTCTACAAATGCAGTTAGAGGACGAAGAGGATGCGCCACACAGCAAGCGTCAGAAGATTGAGACGGATGAAGACGAAGACATGCTATCTGAAGATAAGCCAGTCGCACCTTCGCGTCGCAAGAAAGCGCCTGCGTATATCGGCAAGGGAAAGGGCAAAGCCAAGGTCGAAGAGATCTTAAGCGACGACGACCGGGATTCATTGGTAGATGAGCTGTCCTCACCCCCATCTTACAAAGGCAAGGGTAAGGGTAAGACTCAAGAACCTTCAACAAAGCGTGGTCGCTCTGCGCGTTCTAGTGCGAAGAAGAAGAGTACCTTCACAGAGGAGGACTTCCTTGATGACGATGAGTCCGATGGCGGAGAGTTCCGTCCTGACGACGCAGATGATGCCGATTCTCTGCTCAATGAAATCGAAACACCCATGGCTAGCGATAGCGACGAAGAGCCTTTGATGACAACAAGTGCGCGTGTGAAGAAGATTGTCGCGGCAAATCCTAAAGCAGCTGGAGGCCGCAAGAAGAAGCTCACTCGAGGTGAGAAGGAGGATGCGGCTGGTCGTAGGGCAAGGTTCGCACATATCGCGGACAAGTGGGAGCGAAAGCGCGCCATGAATCGTGAGCGAGCAGAGCAACAGCACCCAAAGCTACGCACTATGTGGGATGATCTGAAGAAGATTCCGATCCTCGAGACTCTGAAGGCAGAGCAGCCTGCATCAATCACCCGGCGATTAAAACCGTTTCAACTGGAGGGCCTCAGCTGGATGGTTCGACAAGAGAAGACTCACTACAAGGGTGGGCTACTCGGAGATGAGATGGGTATGGGCAAGACTATTCAGGCTGTCTCTCTAATCATGTCTGACTACCCTGCGAAGCAGCCGACGCTGGTTTGTGTTCCGCCAGTTGCTCTCATGCAATGGTCCAATGAGATCCGCGAATACACAGACAACAAACTCAAAGTCTTGGTGTATCACGGCACGAATGCTAAATGCAAGAAGATGTCTATCAAGGAACTGAAGTCCTACGACGTAATCATGGTGTCTTACAACTCTCTGGAATCACTTCACCGCAAAGAAACCAAAGGATGGTCTCGTGGTGAGGACATCATCAAGGAAGCATCAGCACTTCACGCTATCCATTACCACCGCCTGATTCTGGACGAAGCGCACAGCATCAAGTCCCGCAACACCGGTGTAGCCAAGGCTTGTTTTGCACTTACCAGTAACTACAAGTGGTGCTTGTCCGGTACGCCGGTCCAGAACCGCATCGGAGAGTTCTTCTCCCTTCTTCGCTTTCTGGAGGTTCGTCCTTTTGCAGACTACTTCTGCCGTTCGTGTGATTGCGAGAAGCTACACTGGGCTACCGACGATGACCACATGTGTGTTGCTTGCAACCATGGTGCATCTGAGCACATTTCTGTGTTCAATCAGGAGCTTCTGAACCCGATCACTGGTGATGACGTACAGCTTCGCGAAGAAGCTTTGACGAAGCTTCATTTGATCACTGCTCGCATCATGTTACGGCGTATGAAGCGCGATCACACCAACTCGATGGAGCTTCCAATGAAGGATATCATCATTCACAACGAGTTCTTCAGTGAAGTAGAGCGCGACTTCTCAACGTCGATCATGTCGAACTCCTCGCGCAAGTTCGATACGTATGTTGCGCAAGGTGTCATGCTAAACAACTACGCCAACATCTTTGGTCTCATCATGCAGATGCGACAGGTCGCTAATCACCCTGATCTGTTGCTGAAGAAGAAGGCGGTTGAAGGTGCTGGCAACGTCTACGTGTGTAACATCTGCGATGAGCCTGCCGAGGATGCGGTACGCTCTCACTGCCGTCACGAGTTCTGTCGCGCTTGCATTAAGGACTTCATGGATACTTGCGAAACATCCGGTATGGAAGCAGACTGTCCTCGCTGTCACATCGCTCTTGCCATCGACTTTGAGCAGCCTGAGCTCGAGCAAGATGAAGACTCCGTCAAGAAGACCTCTATCATCAACCGTATCAAGATGGAGAATTGGACGTCTTCCACCAAGATCGAGATGTTAGTATACGACCTCTATAAGCTTCGCAGCAAGAAGCAGACACTCAAGTCCATCGTCTTCAGCCAGTTCACGTCCATGTTGCAACTCATTGAATGGCGTCTACGTCGTGCCGGTTTCAACACGGTTATGTTGGATGGTAGCATGACACCCGCCCAACGCCAGAAGAGCATCGAACACTTTATGACAAACCCGGATGTTGAGGTCTTCCTCGTCTCTCTCAAGGCTGGCGGTGTCGCTCTCAACCTTACCGAAGCTTCCAGGGTATTCATCGTTGACCCGTAAGTACTATCCTTAGGCATATTCTGTGACAGCTTGCTAAAACAATTTAGATGGTGGAATCCAGCAGCTGAGTGGCAGTCTGCCGATCGATGTCATCGTATTGGCCAACGTCGCCCTTGTGTGATTACTCGCCTTTGTATTGAGGATAGTGTAGAGTCGCGTATGGTCGCGCTGCAAGAGAAGAAGGCAGCTATGATTGCTGGCACTGTGAACAACGACAAGGTTGCCATGGATCGCCTCAGTCCTGAAGACTTGCAGTTCTTGTTCCGTGGTACCTAGTCGTGCACGGGTTTTGTGTCTTCCTAGGAGTTCGGGGTTTTATGGGGTGTATGGGTAGAGAGTTCAGGGCTGGCACACTGCAGTCATAAGGCGTTTGTTGGTCAGCGGCGCGTGAGTTTGTATTTCTGTTTGAGGTTCCGGGACTACTAGCGTTGCACATACGGAGTACAGCCCAAGCGGGATCCGACGCATGGCGCAGTCGTAATTTTCGACATCTTCTCGATAGATTTATACCCGTTTACATCATAGCATAACACAGTGTCGGATGTCCGCGTGTCGCCGTGTCTCGCCGTATGCAGCTGTATAAAACCTTTGGTCCACTATCTTTTGCTAGTCATGTGTGCTTTTAATGCGAGATCTGTATAGGCAATTAGCGTGGTGAGCGCAGGGATGACGTCGATCTTCAGCTGTTCATCCTGGACTTGCTGGTACATCCTGTAGTACGATACCAGGCACAACCATACTGGGCACAACCGGATATATACATAGAGATGCAACATGTTACAGTCTTCAAAATGTTTGTGTCAGACCATTTACTGGGTACCAACATCGAATAGTTCAAGGACTACAGTCGGGCATTTCTTTGTTTGCACTCTGACTGCTATTATCAGCGCAGCAATCATAACAAAAGTACTTTCAATGAACTAGGTACATGCTCAAAAACACTCCAGACTCTCATCAATCACTACACGAAGCGTATCCGCGGCACCGAGGAGATGTCAACGAAGCCATATTATGGTGGTGTTTGTGGTACGTAATTTTACGTAAAGCCCAACTTGTTGCGCGTGAACCTTCAGCTCAGATCGCCGCGCATGTGCCAGGTCAACGTCAGGGTAAATGCGCGTGTTGTGCAATTCAAATCGTGAAGGAGCGACCAAAGGCACCGTTCTTTAACGCTGGATCCGGGAATAAATGGCGCGATGAGGTACTTGGTTGCGCAAGAGCTTTTGCGGTCCGTTCCCGAGGCCTTGAAACTTAGTTTCTTATAGATGTCGTCGACCTGTTGCTTGCCTTGTTTGTATTTTGTGCATAGACTCCGTCTCTTTCGATCTTTCTGATCACCATGAGTGTGTTTTCGGGTGCAAGAGAATGGGACCTCGATATCGATCGCTACCTTAATCGTGTCATTCCTCCTTCGCCGCTGTACAAGCTTCCGACGTCGATATCAAGGTTCCTCGGTTACAGAAAAGAATCGCGACAGGATGTTGGGAACATACTTGGAGCGTTCTGGTCGTTGCTGGGCGCATTCTGTGGTCTGGCGGTTGTGGCAGCAGTCTTCAACAATACGGATAGTATACAACGGCATCAGCCACCAGCGTTGATCGCTTCATTTGTACGTTACTCATGAATGAGGCCGTGGCAGTGTGTTGTGCTGACTACACGCACAGGGTGCCTCTGCAATTCTCGAGTACAACTCTATACGTTCACCTCTCGGCCAACCCCGCAATGCCCTGCTAGGCCACGGCATCTCCGCGCTTATTGGCGTCGGCGTGTCGAAGTTGTTTCAATACTACCCAGAGTACGAGTCAATAAAATGGATCGCGGGTGCCATAGCATGCGGCTGCGCGTCTGCTGTCATGCTTTTGACCAACACCGTACATCCTCCAGGCGGCGCATCCGCCGTGCTCGCCGCCACAGACCCGGTCATTACGGCCATGGGTTGGTATTTTGTCGGGCTTGTTCTCTGGGGCGCCACCCTTATGGTTACAGTCGGGCTGATCATCAACAACATTCAGAGGCAGTTTCCAATATATTGGTGGACACCTGTGGATTTACGCAAAGCGAAGATTGAAGACGAAGAGGTAGTGCCAGACGGGAGAGGCGGATTGGAACCAAAGAAGAGTGCGGAGGAACAACGTTACGACCAAACAGGGGATATAATAGAAATTAACGGTGCAGAAGTCTTACTACCCGACGATATAAGTCTGAATGAGGAAGAGGCAAGGGTATTAGAGAAACTACGAGAGAGGTTACGAAAGAGAGTAGACGTTAGGAGAGAGGGAGGGGACATGGAGACAGAAGAGGCAGACAGTGGAAGGAGTAGTGCTGAGTGCACTATGGTTCCGAGTAATAGTGGGAGCAGTCAGGCTGGTATATAGCACGGGCTTATCGTTGTTGAGTATGGTGAAGATAAGAACCTGCGTATGACGATCGTGGCTTTTCCGAGGAGTATCCACAACACTCAACAACTAGATACATGATATCCAAGACCAACGATAGTCAAACTTGATAATTGTTCCTCGCACCGTGAAAGTCTGAAGAGCATGGATTTCCAATACACGAAAATCTTTCTCGGGAGACATGAGTCTGTCGACGCCTTGCCGTGAGGTGTATAGCGCAGTACTTCAGATATAGAGCAAACTCGTACCAAACGCAGATGCAAATGTTCTGTGTCCCACCAGACTCCAAGGCTGTCTGCGTGTCGCAAGGTCTGGTCTTCCAAAGAAACACACGTGCAGCGATGTCAGCGTGCAGCCTGACCGCTGAGCGCCTTACTTGCCCTATGATGATGGTGGGGGAGCGCCCATTGGCCGTGCGCAGCCTTCGCCACAAGTAAGAAAATTGATTCACAGGGTCGCATTGTTTGATCGGGCCTAACGATTTCTTATTCTTACATCCTCTCCTTCTACATCATCAGCAGCGCTTCAATACTCCACTCGTTTTTCCATCCGAGTGTTGCGCTCTGAAGAGAACCTGAAACAGAACCTTTGGGTATCGACAATCGATAAGAGACTTAGCGGGGCACAGATTGACGTTGTTCCCAACCCTACGAAATTTCCTCCTCCTTCCACCATCCCAGAGTCTTCACTCATACACCACTAAGACACCATGGTCTCCGCCTCGAAAGCTGCCCGCCAAGCGAAGCGCGCCGCTGACGGCGATGCGAAGCCCAAGAAGACGGCCACTTCCAAGTTGTCGTCCAAGGCCAACTCCAAGAATGCCTCCAAGGCCAACTCTGAGAACGGCGACGATGCCGAGGACCTCGAGCTGAACGAGGAGGTCAAGAAGCTCACCATGCAGGAGGACAAGCACGGTCTGTCTGACCGTGTCACCACCGGTGTGCTCGCCTCGCTCGAGCAGTCGCGCGATGTCAAGATCATCTCTGCATCACTCGTCTTCCACGGAAAAGTCCTCTTCAACGACTCCACCCTCGAGATCAACTACGGCCGACGATACGGTCTGTTGGGTGAGAACGGTTGCGGAAAGACCACTCTTCTCAAGGCTATCGACAAGCGCGAGTTCCCCTTCCCAGAGCACATCGACATTTACCTGCTGAACCAGGGTGCCCCCAAGACCGAGCTGGGTGCCTTGGAGTGGGTCGTCCGTGAGGCTGAGAACGAGTTGGCCCGTCTCGAGAAGCTGGCCGAGGACATTCTTGAGAAGGATGGTCCCGAGAGCCCTCTTCTCGACGACATCTACGAGGTACGTACCAGTCAGATCGAACCAAAGTAAACCTTACTAACCCCTTGCCAGCGTCAAGAAGACATGGACCCATCAACCTTCCATACTCGCGCATCTCTCATTCTCACTGGTCTCGGCTTCAACAAGAACACCATCAACAAGAAGACAAAGGACATGTCTGGTGGATGGCGTATGCGTGTCGCGCTCGCCAAAGCGCTGTTCGTCAAGCCCGCCCTCCTGCTGCTCGACGACCCCACTGCCCATTTGGACTTGGAAGCCTGTGTGTGGCTTGAGGAGTACATGAAGAAGTGGGAGCGCACTTTGGTTCTCGTGTCCCACTCCATGGACTTCTTGAACGGTGTCTGCACAAACATGATTGATATGCGTCAGAAGAAACTCCTCTACTACGGAGGCAACTACGACACATACCACAAGACTCGTACTGAGCAGGAGGTCAACCAGACCAAGGCCTACGAGAAGCAGCAAGATGAGATCAAGCACATCAAGAAGTTCATTGCTTCCGCTGGTACCTACGCCAACTTGGTCAGGCAAGCCAAGTCTCGACAGAAGATTTTGGACAAGATGGAAGCCGACGGTCTCATTGAGCCCGTTGCCGTTGACCGTGTCTTCACTTTCCGTTTCGCCGATGTCGAGAAGCTGCCACCACCTGTACTTTCGCTCGACAATGTCACCTTCTCTTACTCTGGAGACTCAAAGGATAACCTGTACGAGAACCTCGACTTTGGTGTCGACATGGACTCTCGAACAGCTCTTGTCGGACCTAACGGTGTTGGAAAGTCGACTTTGCTCAACATCTTCACTGGAAAGCTCAGCCCCACATCTGGTGTCGTATCGCGCCACACTCACTTGAAGCTCGGTGTGTACAGCCAGCACTCTGCTGAACAGCTCGACCTCACCAAGTCTGCCCTCGACTTCGTCCGCGACAAGTTCCACCACATCAGCCAAGATCTTCAGTACTGGCGTCAACAGCTCGGCCGTTACGGTATGACTGGTGAGGCCCAGACCTCCAAGATGGCTACTCTGTCCGATGGTCAGAAGTCCCGCATTGTCTTTGCCCTGCTTGCTATTGAGGGACCCAACATGTTGTTGCTCGACGAGCCTACCAACGGTCTGGATATCCCAACCATTGACAGTTTGGCGGATGCCATCAATGCTTTCAGCGGTGGTGTCGTCGTCGTTTCTCACGACTTCCGGTATGTTCCTCGCTCGCCTAACACTGTAATAGCCTACTAACAAACAACAGATTGCTCGACAAGATTGCGAAGGATATCATGGTCTGCGAACACAAGACCGTCCGCCGGTGGGACGGAAGCATTGGCGAGTACAAGAACCATCTCCGCAAGAAGATGGCATCGACTGGTGCTCTCTAAGCGGATTTTGGGAGTGTTTTTGCTAGTTACACGCGTCCTCCGAGCTGTGGAACGCAGGTACAACAAAAAAGTAATGGCCTTAGAGCAGGTTTTCAGGATACCTCTGCAGTAGGCCGGCAGCTCATCGCTACCTGCGTCAGTGTCGTTCTGCATGGGTAGAGACATCTGGATTATGCGTTATGATGCATTGGTTCTTAGAGGAGTTTTAGATTTGCCTTACGATCAGAATGATATCACATAGAAGCATATATTGTTGTTACCCTTGTTGTGAACGCTGGCAACGTAGCTAGACGCCATGTTTGTGGTCGTCGCGTTGATGTATGCGCATAATCGGACAAAGGAGCGCTTGCATAGTCGTTTTGAGGTAGGGAGTGCGTGTATGCAGCCTCCGGGTCGTAAAGTGTTCGGCACGTGCCGATTGGCGAGAGCTATGAGCGTGACGAACACCCCCGCAAGCTCCGCGGTAGTGGAGCTTGAGCATCTACACCCAAACCTCTCGTTGCCATACTTCCAGACTATCGCTCTCCAGGCCTTTTACCCCCACTACATTCACTAGAACCCACAATAACCCCCAAGACATAGTAGCTGTTGTAAGCAGAGTGTGATTGATTGAGATCACTTCCAGCCCGCCATGGCTGAACTCACAAGCACGAAGCTCAATGCGGAGTCGCATCTACTCCTCGTAATGCCTGTTCAGATACCCCAGTGTACCCACACCCCATACTAACGCGATTGTAGGATCAACCTCTCCTTCGCATGCCGTACGAGCTCTCCCGGCGCAATTTCAAAAACGCCCAGCGCGTCATCGAGCATTCCTCCAGCAACCTTACCACATCGTTAACCGCCGCCACCAAAGCCGCCTCTAAGAACGCCTCTCCGGAAGCCACACTCGATTCCCTCGAATCCATGATAAGCAAGATGCAGGGCCTAAAGCGCAAACTAGAAAACCTCCACGAAGAAGAAACGCGCATCCACCGCTCTGCGAAGGCGCGCTTACAACACCTGCAAGATCTCTACGAAATCCAGAGCCTTGTCGATGTCAAGTACGACGAGTGGTCTCGAACGCGATTAAGTCGTTTGCTCGTCGATTACTTGTTAAGAGAGGGTTATGCGGAAAGTGCGTCGTGTTTGGCAAAGAGCAAAGGGATTACAGAGCTTGTGGATGTAGATGCGTTTGTGGCGTGTCATCGGATTGAAAGGAGTCTGAGAGAGGGCATGAGCACGTCGTTGGCGCTTGAATGGTGCAAGGAACATGGCAAGGAACTCAAGAAGGGGGGTAGCATGTTGGAGTTTGAACTCAGGTTACAGCAGTATATCGAGCTAGTCCGACAGGGACACGAGGCTGGATTGAGCGGGATGGATGGATTAGAGACGCAAGACGACGGTATGAATGGCGTTAGCATTGGGAGTGGAGGCGGAGAAGCAAAGTTGGTTGAGGCAAGGGCTCATGCCAAGAAGTATCTCAGTACGAGTGGGGATTTCGAACTGATGAGGAGGGCAGCGGGCATGTTGGCGTATAGGCCTTGGGATGAGGTGGAACCCTATGCTGTAAGTTTGTCCAAAACAGCATATCGTTCCATATCTAATAACCTTCTAGTCTCTCTACTCGACTTCACGATGGTCACATCTAGCCGACGTCTTTGTCCAGACACATCACAACCTCTACGCTCTACCTCCACGACCGCTCCTTCACGTCGCCTTGAGCGCTGGTCTCTCCGCTCTTAAGACACCCGCTTGCCATTCCGCCTACACACCCTCTTCCACGAATGCTGCTTCGTCTACTACAACCGTCTGTCCGATATGCAGCACAGAGCTCAACGAGTTAGCGCGCAACGTTCCCTATGCCCTCCACACCAAATCGATTGTCGAAGATGGACCTGTAGTGTTACCAAACGGTCGCATATATGGCTCCGAGAGGCTGCGCGTCTTCAACGAAAAAGTCGGAACAGAAGAAGGCTTCGTAAGAGATCCGGCTGGCGGACTAAGCGGCGAGAGATGGCATGAGAGCGAGGTCCGAAAGGTTTACGTTATGTGATGGTTTCTCTCTGTCTCTTTTAACGGCATTTGTATGATTATCGGGTATAGCGTGGCGTTTTGGTATGTGCATCTACCCAGCGCGGGATGGGTCTGCGTCTTTGGTCCTATCATGTGGTACAGTAGGATCTCAAAGCTTTCGCGGTTGGTGAAGTTCAATTACCGCTTTCCGCTTAACCTGCAAACATGTACTCGTCCAACATTGAGAGTGGTGCCCGACAGTGTTCGTATCCGCGATTGCAGGCTTACTCATCGTCGTCTTCCTCTTCCTCTTCTCCTTCCATTGCTCTCTTCATTGCTTCTTTCTGGCTCGGTAACCGTCCACCCCTGCCCACCTTTGCCTGCCGCGCCATCTCCTTCTCTTCATCGCTATCAGCCACAAGCGGAATTTTCTCAAACATGAACATGCGTGCAGCTCTGTCCTCGCCCTTCCATCCGGTCTCCATGGCCCCCAAAGTCCTGACATGATGGTAGCCGGGATACTGCTCCCAATCAAACTTCCAGCTCTCCACCACCCTCAACCCAGCATGTCTCGCCAGATCGCGGATGTTCCACAATGTGTACGGTTCGCCCTCGAACAGCGTGACAATGATTTTTCCGCCCATGCGTAGGAAGGGCCTTATTGTCTGCTGCGGAGTAGCACGTTTCTCCTTATCTGCTTCTTGGTTTCGCAAGATTTGTAACCGCCGTTTCTGGTTCGACGTGTCGAGACAAGACTTGAAGAAAGATACTAGCAGAGCTTGGTTCGCGCGGACTTGTCTGTTCACGTCGGTGGAAAGACCGCCTGTATGGGGAAACATGAATGTGATTATATCCCAGCCCTGGTCGTCGTCATCCTCATCACGTTTACACCGTAACTGTTTATAGCTTGAAAGTTTGGTTGCATCGATGTCGTGGTGGAGAGGTACCGGCGGTGAGAGTGCCGAAAGTTCGGCTTGTATCTCTTTGAAGGTAGGGTATTTGCTGTGGAGGTCTTCTTCGTCGTCGTAACTTGTTGCGGTTACATTTGCGCAGCCGTGTTCTATGGCTAAGGAGCGGGTAAAACTGAAGTCGCCTTCACCGACAAGGAGGATGTGGTCGTATTCGCCGAATGGCATTTTGCGCTTCTGCGAGGGCTGTACGTGGGCAGATGTGATCGTAGATGTAGTTGCTGCTGCGACTGGTGCGCTCGTCATCCCGTGTTTCTTCTTCGCAGGTGTTTTCGCAGTAGGTTTCGCTTCGGCGGCTGCTTTCGCGTTCTTTTTGTGGATCGCGAAGATCTTCTTGTCTCCTTCACGTTTGAGCTCACGGCGAGCGCGCTTAGTCTTTGTCTTGGACATGTTGCTGTGCCTGCAATTGCTGGACGATTGGATGCGCCTCGGAGGTTTGCGGGGAACGGAACTTTGACGAAAATCATGAGCTTGGACCACCCTGTTAAGCAGGGCTCAGGATCTGCATGTGAAAAGAGGGACCGAAGAACGTGGCTATTGTCGGCTGCACAGAATGCAGTCGGTTAGCCCTTCAACTAATATTCAGATAGATGCAGACATGGTGATTTGCTCTAATGACTAGAATGTACAGTGGACCTGGTGCAGCAACCGCAATTTGCAAGCCGGCACGTTCAAACAGTTCAATGAAACATTATTGCGACCGCTTATATCAAGTCGCGCTTGACGAACTGGTCGTAGAGAGATGAACCAAGCTTGGCGGGGGAGCGCTCAACGGTGACACCAGCAGCCTCAAGCGCGGTGATCTTGGAGTTGGCATCGCCCTTTCCACCGCTGACAATAGCACCGGCGTGACCCATCCTCCTGCCTGGGGGCGCGGAAATACCAGCAATGAAACTGACAACGGGCTTGTTGGCAGTGTTGTACTCCTTCAAGAAGTCTGCAGCATCCTCCTCAGCGGTACCGCCAATCTCACCAATCATGATGATACCATCAGTCTCTTCGTCCTTCAAGAAGACGTTCAGGCAGTCGATGAAGTTGGTTCCAGAGAAGGGGTCACCACCGATACCGACGACCAGCGACTGGCCAAGGCCTGCTTGGGTAGTCTGGTTGACGGCTTCGTATGTGAGAGTTCCGGAACGGGAGACAATACCGACGCGGCCACGCTTGTGAATGAAGCCTGGCATGATACCGATCTTGCATTGGCCCTGTTCAAGTCAACAACATGATCCAACAAACAAGGTTCGGTGGAGAACGCACGGGAGCGATGATACCAGGGCAGTTGGGGCCAACCATGCGAGACTTGCTCTGGGTCTTGAGCATATCTGTGATACGAACCATGTCTACTTCTGTCAGTCCGTATACCACAGTGTGCTAGTGTGTTTCATACCGTGCTGTGGGATACCCTCAGTGATACTGTGTGTTGTAAGCCTCCATATACCCAAGTTTGATATATGCACCTACGTCACAATCAGGGGAACCTCTGCGTTGATGGCCTCCTCGATACTGGCGGCAGCGACCGGTGGGCTACAGTAGTGTCAGGTCACATGGTCGGTATAGAGTCGTAGAGGTGTTTAGCGTACGGAACGAAGATAGCAGTAGCGGAAGCTTGAGTCTCCTTCATGGCCTCTGCTACGTTCTTGAAGACGGGCAGTCCAAGGTGCTCAGTGCCCGCCTTCTTGGGGTTTGTGCCTCCAACAACCTTTGTGCCTGCCGTCCCGTCAGTCCTCCCCCTCACAGGTTTATGTCATCGGTTTCGATGGGCGCATACCGTATTCAATCGCCTGTTGTGCGTGGAAGCTGTTCCTGCATTAGCATCTCCTTCCCTTGTCGAATCTTCCACTCCCACTCACGTTCCCTGCTTTCCAGTGAAGCCCTGGAACAGGACCTTGGTGTCGCCGTTGATGCGAAGGTTCTTAATCGTCTCGGCATATTGCGAGGAAGCGGTCGCATACTGCCTGGTAGCGGCCTTGGAGAGCGCGGAGCGCATCGGTTGCCGGATTGCCTGCATCGTGACGGGTATGGTGGTCACGAAAGCAACTCTGGGGTTTTTGGAGGGTATCGCGGGTCGGTTTAGTGGTGGTTAGCGGTTTGAGCGAAGCTGCGACATAGCGGGAGTTCTTCGGGGGAGCTTGGCCAGCCTAAAATCTCGTGCCAGGGTCCGTCCGCGCCCGACAACTTCACGAAAATAACTCGTTTATGTGACACCCTTTAGAAACGGGATGCAATCTGGTTGTACATAATAAGGGGACAAATGGATGCGCTTCAAGACACTTCGTTCATCATGCGTAATTTGTACGTCATCACTATTGAATGTTTGTTGAGTGTGGTATTACTAGCTGTGCATGTGTTCAACTTTCGATTTCAATCATGTTACACAGTACGTCTCGCAGTAGTAAGATATCTACAATCATCACATAGCATAGCCAGACAAAGACGAGTCATTGCTTTGGCTTGTAGGTCTGTGATTGCGCCATTTGCTCTTACTGTACAGTTCCCGACACACTGAGCTAGGTCTCTGACCGACGATGGAGGGATATGTCTCTCAGTTGTCAACTCCACAGAGTCAAGATGTGAGACCAGTGATGCAGTACGGGCAATCTAGCGCAAGGCGTAGTCAACTCTGAAATGTTCTACACGTTTTATACACCACAGATGGACATCTGCGCATTTAGTCATTGAGCTTGCCGTAGAATGGGATTCCGATGGCCTGGAGAAGTAAACGTGCGTCCTTGTTGTTGGTGGCATCTGTTTGGATGGTGATGTGGCAGCCAGGAATCATCTTAGGCGGGTACCTGAGATCTGTTAGTCAGGAAACGGACCATGAAAGAAAAGCGAACTCACGCATCATAGTTGACCTCAATTTCCGGGAAGAGAGCGAGCTGGTCTGGGGTAAGACCAAAGCTCATGTTACCGTGTCCGTCTCCAGACGAACCTGGAACACCCTTCCACTCCTTGATTCTCGGCAGGACCACATCGATGAGCTTTGCCAAAAAGTGCTCGGCATCTTCCCGCTCCATTTTGGCTGTCACGGAGACATATCTGCCCGCACGCAACCCCCACCCAACGACATTGTGCTTTGCCTTGTGGGATGTAGCTCGTACATTACTAATGGCTTGTAGAATCATACCCGCAACGTGCAGATTTCCACTGTTCTCTTGGGCTTCTGGTACCATGGAATGAACTGTGACGCCTGTGATCTTGGGAACATTACGGAAAGTGCGGGGCTCTTGGAGCAGCCGAAGTACCTCACCCTTACCTCGTGGGGGCCTTAGGGGACGGTTTTTGAAGTATGGAGAGTCACCAGTCCATTCTCGCAGTCTTTGATCTGTTTTGGGAGCCCGGTATCCTGGGGGATAGTGCTGGTATGTGAGGGTGAGCAGGTCGGATGCGATCTTGCTCTGATATGTTTGCTCGAGGCGGGAGAGACTAAAGGGTCCGGGTTGGAAGAGTCGCGAAGAGGGGTCAGACTCTGGAGGCGGTTGATGAGGGTGAAGAGGCCCCCGGTAGTATTTGGGCGAACGGTATTGGTATCTGATATCTATGAGCCCATGCTTGAGTGGTGTCCTATCTGAACGCCATACCTGCTTGGTGGCAGCTGCTTGTTTCCTCGTCTCCGCAGTCTACTCCTTGCTACGGGGTCGTAGTTCTTTGCGAGTTCCTGCGATGGCGCCGGGATCTCGAGTGATGATGCATCCTCAATTTCGCGGACTGCTTCGGTTGAGGCATTGCGGTGGCACAGGGGAGCGGCTGCGCGGATGGCGGGTCTGGTGCTGTTCCGAATGACCGCGGCGGTCCGGAATGGCAGTTCGCGCAGTGCCATGGCTGTGTGATGCGACGTCGTGGTGGGTATGGCCCTCAGCAGCATGCTACACAGTCTCGAACGGACTTTTCCTCGGAATACGCTATACGCGAGACGCGAGGGCTGCAGGGATGGGCGGCGTCTAAGGGCCGCGACTAGCCAATAGGGCTACCCCACTCGTCCGCACCTGCCTCTTCTCCAGGTCAGCTTGCGACATGCGGCTGATCGGGATCTGGGACCTGTATGTTTCTTTTGCGGTCTTGGGTTGAGGTCATTGTTCACGTCTGCCTCCTTTAGCTGTGCGTCATAGCTACCCTTCACCGACAAACCCCGTCTCCCACCAACCAAACACACAACCACCCTCTCGCTTCCCCACCGACCACCGAGCTCAGGGCTCGTCTGCACCTTCCTCGACCACCACACCCCGAGCTCGCTGCCTACCCCGCTACCCACCTGGCTGCCCTCATTCTGCCAGCGGCCGCGCACCTCCACTGAATGGGTTTCACCTCCACTCACCACCACAACCACTATGAACGGCATGTCGCGATTCCTCAGCCGGCGCGACAAACACCATGAAAAGCGCGCGTCCAAGCACGCCAATACCAAAGTACGCCTAAGCTCTTTCGCTTCCGTCAACTCCCTCAGTCCTCTACTATGTCCCGCCGTTGCTACAGTGCCGCAAGACTCTCCTAGCTGTCCACGGCGGCTGTCTGCAGGCATCGAGACGCTGTATCATAAGCTCCCATTTGTATCTCGAACGTCGGTAGAGGATAGTCTTCTATTTCTACACCAAAAGCTATCATGTCGCGTTTCTTCTCTTACTCCCAGCGTCGATCAAACCTCAACATCGCATTCTTCTGACTATGTACTTGTGCAGTCTAAATCCAACAACCCCTCGCCCGATCTATACAAAATATTCACAAACGAAGGCCCGAGGCCGCCAGCCAATGTTGAAGCCGAGAAGAAGGTATGCAAGGAAACAAGGCTTAGCGGGATCATATTGACTGGTGTAGGTCAAGATGCTCCTTTCACGCCTACAAGGCGTCGGCATAACGAGCATGGGCGAGGAGCAGGCGGAACATGCTCTTGCCTGGCATCCCAACGACATTGACAAAGCATACGACCTCCTAGTGCTTGCCAACGAGTCACTCGAAGGTGAACTAAAGGACTACAACCCAGACGTAACCATGTTGGGCGCCATAAATCGAAACATGGTGACATGTTACCTCGACGCATTATTGTTTGCCATGTTCGCCCGTCTCGACAGCTTTGAGGCCATGTTGTACGACAACTTCGAAGATGAGCCAAGAAAGAAGCTGGCGGCTGTCTTGCGCCTATGGGTCAACCTCTTGAGGAGTGGACAGCTCATCAAGGTCGATCTGGTACAATATACCTTGTAATCCAGCATGTGCATGACTAATGCGCATCGTAGACAAAGCACCTCCAAGATTCCCTTGCCAAGTGCGGGTGGGAAGATGCCGGACAGGTCCGCCAACAAGACGCTTCAGAAGCCTTTACTTTCATCACCGGTGCGCTTGAACTGCCTCTGCTCACACTCAAGATGGACATTTACCATACTGGACGTGAAGACAAGGAAGATGACCACAAGTTCGTCAACGAGCGCCTGCTCGAAGTCGCCATTCCAGAACAAGAAGGCGACGATGTTGTCACATTGGAAGACTGCCTGGAAACCTACTTCAATAACAGAATCGAGGTCAAGCGCTACCTGCAACGGCAAAATACGATAGCTTCTGTCAAATCCAAAGACGACGAATTTGTAGACAAGGATCCTGAGAAGAATGAGACCATCCATATCGAGACCATGGAGATGGAAGGCTCAATGACTCCCATCGTCTCGACGCCGATGACTTTTGAGCCCACAACCCCAGTGACTCCAACACGGCCCAATCTGGAGGGTCGCCGCCGTGCTGATAGTATCTTCAGCCAGCGATACACACGCCAGTCCCAGGACACAAGCAAGTTTGACGAAAAGAAGCACGTGCAAGACATGCTAGACAACAGCTCTGGCGGCCGACCGCGATCAGCTTCTCTGCTTAAGAAGGAGATTCTAATGCCAGCTTGGCAGTTCTTCAGTCTTATACCCTGGTATACCGACAATGTCCCGAAGACAGATGCTCAAGTTGCTGCACATTTCTCAGTAAAGCGTCCGGTGCTCGGTATATGCCTGAAGAGATACACGATGACCCCAAATGGCACTCCGAAACGCCTTGATACTTATATTGATATTCCGCTTGACATTGGCTTGCCTCACTTCATCTCTGATGACAGGATGAAAGAAGAGGGACCATTATTCGGCAATTTCAAGCTAGTTCTCCAGTCTGTCGTATGCCATCGAGGTGTGTCAGTCGATTCTGGGCATTACATTGCGCTTGTCCGCGCCAACGCTCGCGAACGCCCAGGCACCGCACAATCAGATTCTGAGCAAGAACAGGAGAAGTGGATACGCTTTGATGATCTTTCACCTCAACGAGTGACTGAAGTCGATATCAAAAAAGCCTTGCGAGAAGAATCACCGTATCTGCTCTTCTATCAGGTACAGCCCATTGACGAAGAACTCGCTTCTCGGGGAGATCCTCCGACCTATGCAGAGGCGCAGTCTGGTGTACCGTCGGTAGATCCTTCACGGGAAACGTTATCTTCCCTGAATTCTACAGCGGTAACGGATGCTGAGACTGGTGCAAACAACGAAAAGGTCAACATGGCAAATGTACATACCGAATCCAACTCGACAGACGAGCCGGCTAGTCGAACCAGCATGTCCAGCAATCGGCGTAGTAGCACCGCGATAGAGGATGGCGAAGGCAGCTTACGTGGCCGAACGGAACCGCCAACGCCAGAAGACCAGAAGGGCAGCTTTTTGTCCGTGTCTCGACGCGGCTCTCGGATATGGTTGTCTGGGAACAACAGAAGTCGGCCAGGTAGTCCAAGCGGCGAGACCCGTTTGTCTCTTACTTTGTCGAGGCTAACGGGACGCGGTAGCAAGGACAAGCTGGTTACGACTGAGGCTACTACCAACGACGAGCCTACCATTGTGATTGACAGAGTGAAGAGCGAAGAGAATGATCAGCAAGACAATTCTCCGACCAAAGACAAGAAAGAATCCGGCCTTGGACGCAGCAAGAGCAAGAAGGAAAAGAAAGACAGACGAAGAAGTAAGAGTAGAGATCCCGGGGCTTTCCTAGAGAAAGGCAAGCACAAGGATAGACCAGATCGCGAATGCCTGGTGATGTGAGGGAGTCAGGACTTGTGTATACGGGGGAAGGCCTGTCCCCAGTTTTGTTGTTTACTTGCTTGCATTGCATATCGCCTCGACACTATTCTACTACAAGGTGTCTGCGAAATCGGCGGAGGAGTTTTTTGCATCATTAGCGTGGCGTTCTTGGAACATAAGATTATCGCTCCATGTCGGATCTGCGACAGGGCATATGCATATTGGAGTACTATAGATGAGATACCCTGAATCGAGACGGCCGGAAAGAATGAGTGAAGGCTTCGGCTCGAGACGTCTGTACGTTCGATAATTTGTGATACGCGTTGGAGTCCTTCTGTGGCGCCTGCTACCATGTGTTCAGAGAAGGTATTAGACAAGACTAGAAGAGTGAATGCCTGTTAAGGCTAGCCAGCGGCGGGCAACCTTGGAACAACCTGGCCTCTTGGGTCGGCGCGCTAATGACGACCCTCGCCCACCACAAAAGTCGTCCGCTTGTTCCCTTACCCTCTCACCCACGTTTTGCGCAACCACATCTCTATCCCCAGCCTGTTGTTAGACGATCGCGAAAGCGAATCTTAGTCCTCCCCTCGAACCATCCGCTTCAAACGTCACAATGGCGATCAGCCCGCAAATGTACGCCGAACGTACCCCCGAGTTAGCGAAGACAGTTGGCTAATTCCATTGCAGTTCCAACCTGGTTATTATCCTAGGGTTTATGCAAATTTCGAAAAAGATACCGTTCGACAACGAGAATGTCCTCAATGGCGTGCGCGCGCTCTACATTGTCTCCAACCTGATCATCGCGAGTATCTACCTCTACGTCCAGGCGCAGATCAACAAGAAGAATGGTGCGTCAAATAAAGCCTAGTGGTTCCCCAGGCAGTTGCAGCGGCTAATACAGCGCAGATATGACCGTCGTCAAATACGTCGAGCCTGCTCCGATGGGCTCCGGCGAGGAACCAAAGTTCGTCGCTACCACAGTCAAGGCCTACGATCTCCAGAAGCTGCGCGAGCTCTTCAAGGCCCAAATGATGGGTGTCGGCATGATGGGTGTGATGCACCTCTACTTCAAATACACCAACCCGCTCCTCATTCAGTCCATCATCCCCCTCAAGGGCGCTTTCGAAGGCAACCTCGTCAAGGTCCACCTCTTTGGTCAGCCCGCAACTGGCGACCTTGCTAGGCCATGGAAGGCGGCCGGCGGTATGATGGGTGCTATGGGTGGTGGCGAGATCAAGACTGACAAGAAGAGCATCGAGGCTGCTGAGCGTGCTGGCCGCGGTGGCGTCAAGGACGAGTAGACGGATTCTCGTATCTTCTAAACGGTTTCATGCAAGGGATTTTTGCATGAGAGCTGTCGTCTTGATAGGGAATACCTGGTCTACCGCACTTGTTGGTGTAACTGAGCGACTGATGCGCCTGCTAATTGTACAACATAGACGTTTTATGCTGCTATTGTTCTTGACTTGTGATGCTTTATCTTTCTCAAAATCGTGTACAACCATTTCACCTCCTAGGGCCCAGCCCTACAGCTCTTTCATCCAGAAAAACAGTTATCCTCTATGTACAGTCTATAAACTCCAAATTCACGATCAGCCATGAGTTCCACGCCAACCAGTACGCCGCTGATCACACCGATCCCCATGCTGTGTAGGTCTCCAAGAAACGCCATATTAAACATAGTACTGCCCCAAGAAGAATGGTGGAAAAAAAAGCGCTTCAAGTTCCCATGCAGCTAGTATCGAGAACAGAAAACGATAGCAACAGCGTTGTCGACCAGGAACTTATCGCCGACGTTTCCGTCGGCCATGGGTTGGAAACGGTAGATATGGCTCTCGTCTCTTGTTGCGGGGTCGAGTGCCACCTTGTACGAAGTGAGAGGACTGCTATACTGATTTCTCAGCTCTTTGCGTAGCGTATGTATCGTTCAACGTGTCTCGATGTTTGGGGGTGGTTCAGAATACGGTGAGTATTGCTTGATCCGCTTCTGCACTGCGAATCATCCAAGCCACTGAGGAAAGTAGCCGTCTTGTAACGGCATTGCAGCAGGCTCGTTCTCGTAGTTGAAAGGGTCGCCCCAGAACCCCTGCCTAGTTAGCCAGATACACTCAAAGATCCCAAAGTATCGCTTCACTTACAAAGTCGAAGTCGGGGATTACATCTGTGTTAGCTTGTACATCGCCTACGATGTTATTAATGTTGCTAAGGTTTATATCATCCCAGCATGGTGCACGATCCTGGATGGACTGCATTGATTGCAGTAAGTCTGGCTCAGTCGCCATTGCTTGAGGTTGAGAACGTCCTGAGATAGGCTGCCGGTCAAAGGTCGCAGACGAGTTTTGGAAGGCGTAGCTTGGAATAGCTTGCATTGCCGGATATACGCTCGTGTTACTGCTCGATGCATTGTTCATCGGCACGGATATGGATGGCACCATTGGTGGATTGATGTAGTGGCCCGTAGGCTGCGACGTGCTCCTTGGGGAGAGATTATGTTCGGATACAGCCTTGTCGATCATATTCTTCACAGCTTGCCATGCTTTGGCACTGTTGTTTTCTCGAAGTATTCGAGACATCTGTAGAGCTCTAAGCGCGCGTTGCCGGTCCGGTGCGTCGAAGAGAGGGTTGCGAAGTTCCGATAGGATGTGCATGATAGCCTGGAAGGAAGCAATCCCACCTTCAAGGATTAGCTCTTGTGTCTAGGAGTGTTGGTATTACTGACCAATGTGCCATTGAAAGCGAGCGGCGTCAACATCCGCGGCTGCTCCATTTAGTGTCTCTACACAGTTGACTGATTTCTCGAAGATCCTATCATGGTCAGTTGTTCTTGTTCTGCGAAGTAGGATATTGTGCTGTAGAGGTACGTACGACCGGCGAATCTCATCCGAGAAGACTACATCACGATAAGCACGCGGCATTCTAAGCCAGAACAGTAGGTAAGCGCGCCACTCCAAAAGCGAAGCCAGTCCCAATGTCAGCCTCTCCATTGGTACCTCCGGGGTTAGATATTGCAGGAATTTTCGTTGGTTCTCTTCATGAACTTCGTCAAGCATGACCTTGATCTGTTCGTAGAGATCTCTAAGCTCTTGTGCAGGGTCAGGACGGGATGTTCCATGGAGCCCAGAGTCGAGCATTCGTCTTTCGAGGCGGTAAGTACTCTGGATTATGCGTCGTAGGGCTCGCATGCCGTTGAATCTGACTAGTTGAAACGACATGGATGTGAACTTTTGTTCGTTATATGGGGCCGGACCAGGGCTTGCGCCATCTACCAGGTCTTCATCATCGATATTACGTGGCAATAGCGTAGTGTAGAAGTCTTCGGTGATGCTCGGTTCCTGTCCCTTGCATTCTGCGGCCCGGAACTCCAAGTGGCCTAGCTGATGCCACATACGACGACGTAATTCGATAGTTAAGGCGTCCATAGAACCGGTTGGGAACAAAGACGGATCTCGGTGCAGACCCTGGTTCAGAGCGATGCGAAATGCAATACCTATCAAAACCCACGCTTTGCCTACTGTACGTGTAAGCGTTATTACATCACAGAGAAATGGTTGCGCTTACCCATGTCCTCTTCCCTGGTGATACAAGTTAACCATAGTACGAAACCCTGGAAAATCTCCAGACTTGATGTCGTGAGATAGTTTTCCCGGGCCAGCGAGATTTCAACACCCAGCTGAAATCGATCGAGAAGCGATTCCTTAGTCTCGCCAAACTTGTTGTGTACTACCTTTGGGGGTAGCGAGTTGATAGCAGAGAAGTAGATGGCATATGCGAGAGGATGTGCTTCGTTGTTGTAGGTGGAAAACTTGCGGAGCACTGTTGGTCTATGTGTGATCCTAACCATCGGGTCTACGTTTGCGAAATAGACGTCGAGGAGCGTATCACGATGCTCTTGGGTGCTGGGCAATAGGTTTTCCAGATCTGATCCTGCTCCTGCACGACCCAGGGAGAGCAGATCAACCAGACTGCTCTGTGGTACTTCCTTTCTCTCTTCATCGGTTTTGTCGCCAAGCAAAGCCTTGATGTCTTGTATCTAATATCCCATCAGCGATATTCCAGGTTTGAGAATTTAAAACCCAATGGTTCTGTATGTACCAGCTCTGTGGCGCCATCTGCGAAAGAAACGAGGCTTTGGGAAGCGACACTCACCTCATCAGCGAGCAATGCGAAATGCAAAGACGAAACAAATTGAGACTGTCCATCATTCAACAACAGTGTTCCATCTCCGCCATCGGAAGCTATTCCTCCTCCATGTGAAGTTTGGCTATTCGATGATGGGGTTAGTGCTTCCGCCTCTTTCCTATCGAAATCAACACTGGATCGTACGGATCCCGTGGGCTTTGCCCCCTGTCCTGCAACGGCTTTCTCTAAAAGATACTCCAGTCTGTCTAAGCGAGCTTGCACGTCACTGCCTTTTCCGATCTTTCCATTGTTGTTCGTGGCTGTAGGTTTCGAAATCCTTCCAGTGGCGGTGGAAGCCGCTATCTGATCTGTCCAGGTACACACATGGCTTCCTCGCGTACAGGAACCACAGACTGGATGAACATGATCACACTTGACCTTCCTGCGTCGACACGTCAAGCATGACGAAATGACGCGGTGCCGCCCTCCACTGGGTTTGCTTGTTGAGCCTGGCGAATTAGACGATGTGCTGGTCTTCGTTTCCACCATGCTCGGGTAAGGGTTGTGACAGTCTGCATATGAGACTTGAAGTTTTCAACAGTGTGGATCGGTCGCCGGGAAAGAAATGGTTCCGTCACACCCTGAAGTTCGTTGCGATTCTCGCCCCACTAGCTGAACGGGCCGCCGTTACCCGTTTCGGCCTTAGTGACGATCAGCCTTGCTCCGAGAACGATCCGCCGAAACTTTGACACCAGACACCTCGGTACATACGAGAGCCTCATATGTCGAACATCATCCAGTGTCTTTAGGCTTTGCTTACGAGCCCTGTGTCGTCATGGTATCACATGTCAAAGTATAGTCTTATTTTTGTTGGACAGTGTACAGATCTCACACTACAGCTTAGGTAAAGTTAGTAAGCGTGCGTCATATACCAGCGGGTGCGGTAATAAATCGCTATCAGTTAAGGGGTTTGATAGGAATCTCCGAGGTATCTCGCAGGTGTTTCATTTGTTTCAACAAAGGCTTTTCTCAACATGATCCGGCGTAACAGCAGATCGTTTCTCTGCAGTCTTCCTTTCTGTGTCGTTGCCATGATCGATCATTCTTACTGAAGTCCTCAAGTCATTTCGACTGTTCGTTATGTTGGAGCATCTAGACGAGCGCGCAGCCTGAACGGTATAGAGTTGTAAGAGCGGGAAATCTCTCGAGAATGCAAAGAAAGAAGCCCAGCTGTTTACAGACAATACGAGAGAGGATTTTGGGGATTTGCACATCGAGCCGCGTCTACGAAAGAGAGTCCTCCAGAGCCTTCTATCCATACTCACATTCGATGGAAGATTCGAGCTTTGGTTTCACTGTTCATAACGAGGAAGGAGATGGTCTCATGTTATACATGCCTTCGCAACACGACCCCAGGTACTGCTTATAGTCAGCGTCAGCCGCATGCTCACGATATGATCCTTTCCAGCCTCCGTTTTTGCTGGAACACTTCCCAAGCCGGAAAAAAAAAACACCTGTGCTGACACCTTTTGCCCGCGGATGAGAATGACTGCGATGGGTTTATGTCCTCCACGCGTCGCATTAAGCAACGTTCTCTACCTTTTTGTTACACGACATCGGATCTAAGCCAAGCGTTTTCTTTTGTTGTACTGCGGCAGGGCCTCTTGCGAATCGAATCGAAGTTAACATTTTGTGGCATTGCTCAAAGGTGCTAGACAGCGATCTAACCCTTCGAGAAGGAGGCTCTTGTGTAGAGATTGAGATTGAGATCAGTGCAGCGACTTTGAGCACTAAGGCATGGTCATAGAGGATTCCATAGTCGCCAAACATCAGTCGCGATATATGGAGGCTTGCAGAGGAAGCTTTTCTGGTCCATGCTTCTTCTCGTAGGCCTCCTCGTGATCAGCGCGTTTGTGGACGGAGCTGTAGGCAGCTCGATAGCAGCCAGAGGGAATGGTGACGGTGTCTTGCAGTTGTCGTCTGCTCATAGGTAAGCAGCCCGAATCTGGATGCATGTTGTCGGTGTGTGTACTAATGTAAACAACTCCACTAAGCATTGTAAACGTGACTTGGATGGAGACGGGGGGTGGTGAGGGGGGTGGTGAGGGGGCTGGGGAAGGTATGCGACAATGATTGGTGTATACGAGATGCACAGTGGGGGAGAAGAATTGCGGAGGCCGGGAGTATTGTGTACTCCGGGATGAGGCTTGCTGGCAATGGCAGAGTGCCTAGGTGGCCTTTGCACGATATGCTTTTGGAATCGGAAATTGCGTGTATCGATCAGGTACCATGCCAGTCAGCAGAATTGAGTTCGCAAACACGGGCAAGTCAGTGGCAGAAACGTGGTTTAAGTGGAGCCCGAGGTCGTGCCGTCGCGTTGTCGCTTTCAGGTGACAGGTGCACGCTAGATAAGCGAAGCTGCCGAAAGCCTCCCTCTTTTCCACCCAATCGTGGACCCATCGCCGCCTGCAATGCACTTGGTCACACGTCACTGGTGTGATTGCAGCTCGTTCCGTCGCCTGCTCGCTCTGAGTGGTGCATGCTGAACCGCCAGGGCTTCGTTTCGCGGCGAGGCTGGGCCTAGATAGCAGCAAAAGCTTGCTTGCGCCATGCTGCCGTCCTTGGTGAGGGCCTGCCCACAAAGTCGTCGAGAGCCTCCAGTCATTTCTCCCCAGGCCATAGACATCGTCGGCCCCGCTGCAGCTTTGTCCGAAGCTGATCTGAGATGAGAGTGCGGGAACGGATAGCAGCATAGACTACCAAGAGGCTTCACCGCTGGCAGGATCATCACTGGCAGGATCAACATTGAGCGCATACCACAAGAGCAACATGCTCGCTCTTTGTTGAGATGGCGACTCTATCTCCTGGTGCGTGAGGGCATTGGGGCTATTGGAATATAGTGCGCTGACCAGGTCGCACCCATAGATGTCCGCGACTCTACTCTCAAGTCGCTCAAGCTCACCTGCCCCTCCGCCGAAGTCATCCAGGAGCCCCAATCTGCGTCGACGGTTGAATCGCCTGTCATGGAGCAACAAGGCTACCCATTTCCCGAAGTTGGCGACGAATGGTCCGACGAGGAGGTCCTGATTCCCAGGCATAGACGGAAGGCGCCCTACATACCACCCCTCAAGTTCGAGAAAGTCACCGCAACGTCGGCCGAAGATACATCGTCGGACGGGTCTGCAGCCTCACCTCGTCCGCACCGACTAAGCGCGACTATCAGCCCCCTCGTACCGCCCAAAAGTCCCTCGCGACCGGACGCGTCGAGGGGCAACAGTCAAGATGACCTCATACAGCGATACTATTCAGTCACCAAAGAGCGAGATGCGCTGAGAAAAGAGCTACAAAGAAGGAGCATGGGTTCGCATGGCTTACCCGCCAAACGTACTGTCCTGTACAAGTCGGAGGAAAACACTCTGGTGGAAGAGCTGCACGCGCTGCGATACGAGATCCGCATATGGAGCGAAGAGTACTTTGGTGGGTCTGTCAAGGCTTCGAGCAAGCGGCCATATCTGCACAGAGCAAAGGAGCTGTTTGGGAACCTCACAGACAACTATCACATGTATCTAAAGGATCCAGAAGAGCGACCGCTTCTCATACAGGCCTATGTATGGATGAAGCTGCAACAGAAGATCTTCAACAACTGGCAGAAGGGAAGCGGATATGTCTGGGCAGGAAAGCTGGGGGACAGGAAGCTACGTGAGATCAACGACACACTGCGCAAAGGTACAACCCCATGTGTGCTTCGATCGGGTTGTAAATGCAATGCTAACAACACCTAGCTGTAAAAAATGAGGCTGAAGCCGAAGAGTACCACCAATGGCGCGCCATGACTGTAAACCTCCTAGTCCCTCAAGTAGACGGGAAATGGCGTCCCACCTTCGATGCTGCGCCCGTCCTAAAACGAATATCTCGCTTCTGCAGTCGCATGCGGCGCAAACTACGGCCCTGGTCTACACATTCCTTGCGCAAAGGAAAGGAACAGCTGGGAACAATCATCTCGGCGTCTGTTGCGTTGGACTTGAAGATGAAGCGCCAGCTCGCCGACTATCGATTCGTTACATTTACTGGTGGTAAGAAGGACCAATACTGGGGCTATGGATTCTATGACAGCGAAATGGAAGACGTGTATGAAGATGATGACGGAAACAGCAGTGGAGGATACGGTGGCAGTGGCAGCGCAAAGGGCAGAAGAGTAGAATTGGCACTTGCGCCTGCACTCGAACGATGTGGTAATGCTAATGGACATGTCTTTGATCAGAGTTTCATGATGGTAAAGGCGGATGTGAGTTGTAAGAGGCTGGAGAAACCAAGGAAAGAGAAAAAACAGCAGCCTAGGTCTAGAGGGAGTGGCAGTAAGGGCTTCTCGCTAACTACGTGGAGGTAGAATTAATGCAACTATGAGACGAATAGCAACACACCACTCAGCTTTATATCGGCTCCTTTCCTTTACGTATCAAGTGTCTCGATTCTTATTGTTTCCTGTCTCCAGATACTTTACGTCCGTCGGGTTACAGCTCCGGAGTGCGAGCTTCATCGTACAGGAAGGGTCCAGTGATGCTCATGCAGCTGATGTTTACTAGTATGGATATTGTGGCATAGAGTTCACTCAAATCTAGCTTAGTGATGAATCGTGTACACATCGATGGCCGTCCAATGTTTAAATGCTCTCATAATTTGGTATTGAAATTGAATACAGTCTACTCCGCGTTAGGCACAACGTGAACTTCCCAGTCAGCGCCATGCGGGCCCTTGACCGTTTTGCGTGGTGTTACGCGATGGAAAGGCCCTTCGTCGTTCGTGACACCACTCTCTATAACGCCCTTCTTCTCGCCTGTTCGCAGGTACTCCAGGAAGGCAACCGATGTGTCGATGTACTCATGAAGCGCATCCTTGCTGTTCAGCGTTGTACCAGTGACCAACTTCATGATCCAGGGAACGATGAGAGGCGCATCAGTACAAGACGGATGAGCGGTGCCCATCAAGGTCATAAACCATCCCTCTTTTACATTCTCGATGATCTCCTTGACGACATTAAAATGCCATCCCTGTCCATAGAAACCTGTTTGTTTCTCTGTCCACTCTCCACTCTGCATTACAAGTATTGGTACGTCTATATCTTTGTTGAGTGGTCCTGATCCCTTTCCAGGATCTAATGCAACACCGCCGTTAATGGGCATTTCCTTTGAGCCAGCAGATTTGAGCGCTTGCATCACGCCTGTCGCGCCATATGAGTGGCCTCCGACTGTGACTGCAGACAGATTGAGACGGTTCTTGAAACCAGGTAAGGCATTGCGCGGTGAGCCAGGCTTGAGGTTCATAATCGGTGCGTCACCTGCATTGAGTTGCGCGAAGAGCTTGATTGTTTCGCTGATCTCAGCTTCACGGAAGTTGAGTTGTGCGGCCTTAAGGTCTAGGTCGGTCATTGGCGGGTCAGCTGCTAAGTCTTTGAGCTTCATGTGCCAGACTTTTCGTTCCGACCCATCAGGACGATGAATAATAGTACCGGGTCCGCTTCCGTCACGATGTTCGATAGCAGCGACGACATAGCCGTGACTTGCAATGCTCCCAAGGTAGTGAGCATAGCTCTGGCTCATTCCTGCCATTCCGTGCGTGAAAACCATACAAGGCAGCCCTCCGAGATCGTTGCCTCTTTTCAGCTCTTGATGTTCCTGCTCTGCTGCCTCCATAAGCTTTCCAAAGCCGCCTGTGCTACTACCATCTTCCCCTAATATCTGTTCAGCGCTGGAAAGTATGGGCGCGTCAACGACACCCGGGATGACGGTGCTTGAGCCAAGGAGCCAGAGGGCAAATGTGAAAACCGAAGACAGTTTCGACACGCCAGCAAGTCGAGCATATCCCTCGCCAATGAGCGAGACTGGTTGGGGCAGCCATGGTCGTGCCCATGGTCGCTGACTAGGCGACGCCAAAGGCAAAGAAGAAGGGTAGTACAAAGTGATAGCCAGTGTATCGAGTTCGAAAGCCTTTTCCCCAGTTGCTTTCAGTACGGCATCGTGGATGGTTTTCTTTTGGACCTCGGTCTCAACATCCAGTATGCCAACCTCATGCGGTCCTGTGTAAGTCGGAAGTGGCGAGGTGATTGGGGCTAAGCTAAAGAATAGGACGCCAAAGAGCACACCTGCCGATGCGATGAACAAAAGACGTCGTGGTGTGAGTCGGGCAGGCCGGGGTGTTAAGCGGGCCATCCGGAAGACCATGATTCGCGACTTGTGTTACAATTCTCTACAAACACGAATGAGAGTTGCCGAGGGTTGGGAAGGACTGCGACGAGTAGCCAGAAATCTGTTATGAGCTTCCCAGATCTATAAAGTAGTATGTGAAATCAACGGGGTAATTGTGGCGTAGCAAAGAAAGATGCTGCTCTGTCAAAGTGTTGGCCACTGATGACGTATGCGAGATCGGAGATAAGATTGCCCAGATGGACCATGCAACTGGGTGACACCTCCATCCTCGAACAACACGTACGATACATTCCATCTACAATTGACATGTCACCACATCGTCTGTCGTGATTTCAGTTGTCTCGTTTTCGTAATTGAGAAGTCGCTCGTTGAAGTTTAGTTGGGACCGGATCGACAACTAGGAGTTGGTGTCTATACAACAGCTACAGTACGACACCACCCATTTCTTCCCTGGGAAAAGGATAGCAAGAAGAACAAGAGCAGAGCGTGTAAAGCAATGGTTGCAGGCGAAGCTGGAGCTATAAGCTATTTTCGAAAATGTTAGAAGAGCACAACATCAAGCTCATGCTGTAGCGCAATACTCAAGCAGATATTCGGCACAAACATTGGTCAGCAGCATGGCTACAGGAGGGTAATGTTGTGAAATTATGTGCAAACTCAGCAAGCGCCTCGTCGACAGTTTTTCTGGCATCAATTACATTCCCACCAGACCGTCAAGGCAACCAACTGTTTCATCTCATTGCAAATACACGGACTCGATGCTTAGCCAGGATTGTATAAGCGATTGTTCTCTGGAAGCTTACTGCACAGCCATCGCAAAGGAGTAATGGAAGTTGTTGGGAAGAGTGCGTTCGCTATGGTCTCCCAAGACCAAGATAGTGCATTAGATGTAATGCAAATCAAAGCACCAGTTGTGCTGAAGAAACACATGAGAACGCATCAACCGCCGATCGAAAGGATCTGGTCGGCGAAGTCAAGACACTTCGCATAGGCTGAATGAGTGCTTCACAAATCTTCACGATCCTTCCACCGCAAATGGCAACCACATCCCGAACGACATTTAGGCTGGTTGCATCATCCCTTTCAGAATGATCATCGCTCTTCTACCCTCAATCCGTCTCGATCTCTGTCCGAAATCGCTTACATGTGCATGTGCACATTCCCGCTTACCGATGGGCATGAGACACATAAAACAAAAGTTCCATGTACGAGCGCAGCCGGCATCGCTTCAGGCACGTTCAGCGGTCCGGCTAAATCCAAACGACCTGTCTATTACCCGAGCCACACACTATCTACGCCTTGGCCCTGAAACAGAATCCACAACGAACGTCCCGCTCCGCGTGTACGCCCTGGTAGCTGATTTGCATACGACCAGGGACCTTGAAGTCTTTTACCCGGACGATCTTGTTCGGTTCGGCATATCTACGGATTTGCACACGTTCAGTTCCGGGGTTTGGATAAGGGACGTCTTGGTTCCTGCATATTCAATCTGTTGGTATTAGGCGCGGTTGGTTACGTGTAGAAGCGCGGTGCAGACAAAGGGGCGCATTGAGATCATAGCAAGACTTCGTCGTAATACGCGCTTCCTGATCGAATGCCCTGGTGGAGCTGCCATGTGGGTATAGAGTGGAGCACTCCGGTCTGTTTCCTATTCCAGTACCCTTACTCTTACTATCTCAACAGTAAGAACAGGGTATTTATCAGATCAGATTGTGCACTCTGCTGCTCGCTTCCCCAGATTCTGCGAGCCGCGGACATGTCGATAAGCGTGATGCAAGGTAAGGACCTTGACTCTGCGGACATCATAGCCACTTTCAACACGCTCTCGTAAGAGTTCGTGTACCTACGGTGCACTATCTGGTCGATCCGAAGCTTCCATGTTCGTCAAAAGTCGTTAAGAGCCTAGATGCAAGCGACCCACCAGCAAACAACTCGCCTCCGATATCAGCACGACACGAACCATATCCACAGTCAGCCTGCCACTTAGTCATTCGGTATCACGGCACAGGTCTCTTTGGGCAATTTCATTGCGAAGGAATCGCCTCAACACATTGGCGCTGTATCCAATTGGAACGACAAGATCCATTTGTTTACATCCTTTTCAGGACGACGCGTTGCGTCTAACCACATGAGCCTATACGCTGCAGGCGCCGCAATTAATATGAACGATATGTCAATCTGCACTATTTCGTGGTCAGCCGTGTTCTATAGGCAACACGGTCTTGACGAACACCACGCGATGAAAGGCTACAGGAGCGGCTCCGATGCCCTGTTTTAGTCACACCAGTTCCCGTGACGTTTGACTATAGGATCAAAACGTCGAATTAGCCGATATGTACTGCACGACCTGTCGCGGATCTCCCATGCTGTTTGTCTATGCTTGCGCACGCTGGCGTTGATCACCCGGAATCGCGTCATGCTGTACTTGCTCCGCTCATGTAATCGAGTCTGGCGTTCATGCAACGGCACGGGCAAGCACTTGAAAGCAGCATAAGCCTGCGAATCCCATAATAAGCTGCCGTGTGGATCGTCAGGGTCCGATCTGTGGTCGTTAGGAAGGTAACAATCATAGGCACAAGGAACCGCATAGGCTAAGGGGATGCACCATGTACCTGCATAGCTCAACGCGAGGGTTATATAATCAGTCACCTCTTCTCAAGTCATAACATCCAGCTGGATATAGGTAAATCAAACACGAAAGGCAATAAAGATGGTGAGGATGGCGGTGTGGTTATATTGATTGATTTTGTTCTGCAGTGATCGCAAGCATCTTTTGATAGAGGAACAAGATTAACACAAACAAACATTTGTGCAGTGGTTCCAACATCCAATGGTGATTAATTTCGTATTCCCTGTGATAGACAATTCTCCTTTCCAACATAGGAGACGATTGTTGCGCAAATGTTATAAAACAGATCTATGTAATGAGACGAAAGTGCGCCAACGAGATGCACGTAAGCGAGCCGACGAGAAGCTGAGGCAAGGAAAACCGAAACGTGCGAAACTAAATGGAACGCCTCCGACTTTTGGCCTCCCATTGACAACGGGACAGGAAGTAGATACACAAGAAAAGAACATGACTCGTCAATATATACATCGAATGCAATGTTGTCGTTGTTAACGTGACAAGAAGCATAGCCAGCCATGCTTCAGAAGCCTCCCGGGCTTCAGTGTAGAGACGCTGTTGGTGAGACTATTATTAAGGGCGCCGTGATGATGGATTGTTGATGGTGGTGTTTTGATTTACATTTGCGAAGTGGTGGATGTGTTGCGTGGTGGTGCTGGGAAGAGGCTTAGCATAGGGGAGCGTGCCTGTGCTGTGGTCGCTGAGCGATTGCGTAGCTTGGCCGATTGATCCTCGTTTGGGACAGAGACAGAAAGTAGTTTGGCGGCACCGTCAGACAAAGCTTGCTTGTGTTGACGTGCTGAAGTACGAGCAGAGCGCTGCGACCCTTGACGCGCAAGATTGAGGGATGATTTGAGCTCTTCTTCGACAGTGGGATGATTCGTACGTTGAGAGCCACGTCGAGCCAGATCAAGGGAAGCCCTGAGCTCAGTCTCAATAGAGCTGCGAGATTGCTCCTCATCTTGTGGCACTTCGTCGTCTGAAGCGAAGAATGTTCGCCCTTCCAGAGTGCGCCCTGGCGGCGTAACATCATCGTCTTCCTTGTCCTGGTTAAGAAACGCAATCTGCTCAGATAGTTGATCACCTGCTAGACTGTAGCCAAGTGATTTTCGGCTACGACGAGAAGGAATCAGCTCTGGCACACTTCCTGCAGAACTCGCCGAACGCCGTACAGGGGAGCTCCAGAGACCAGAGCCCTGGACGGAGGACATAAGGCTACTATCGTAGGAGCTTCGTCTGCTAAGTCGGACACGACTACTACGAGCCGAGCTAGTCGCGCTTTGGCTCGCGTCAAGCATTGGAAAGTGCCGATCGGAACCAGCGTACTCGTCAAGCAGATCCTCGTAGGTGACTTCTCTATTATCTTTGTACTCTTGAGGGACGAGGAGAGAGGGGCTGAGTATGAAGCCAGTATCTCCACTAAAGCGGTTGGCATTGAAGAATCCTGATGGTGTTGGTGGTAGACCAGTACCCATGGTAGATGTGGATATTGCAGAAGCTGGGACAAGCTCTGGTACACTCCCTGTGCTAGGAACAAGTAACGACGAGCGGAAATTGTCAGAAGCGAAGCGCTCTCGATCAGCGGACGTGATTCTCGAACTGTCATTGTTCGCTTGCTCAGCAGAAGGTGTTTCGCAACAGCGTACACCGTCATCAGATGCACGATCCCACTCAAAATCACAGTCAGCTTCGAGTGCGTTGTCGTAGATATAGTCAACGTCTTCTTCCCATGACTCCTCTATTGCGCGCCATGTGTTCGACTGGCGACGATGAGTAGGCCTCCGAATGGACATTCTCCTTGGGATACTACCCGAACCCAGTGTATCTGACATCTGTGATGAGGGCCGCGAGACAGACGGCGCTGCCCTCGGCGAGGCAGGAGATTGACCCCGACCGTGTGCTCTGGAGGTGACCGGTGATCGAGGGCTCTGGAAGGAGAACGATCCAAAATAGGGCGATCTTGGCGAAGTTGGGGTCTTCAGCGGCGGCTGTGGTGCAGGTCTTGGGCTGACAAACCTTTCCGGTTCCTCAGCGACATCTGCGAGACTAGGGCTAAACGATGGCGGTGTGGTTGCGTGAATAGCTGAGTCATCAGGCGTTGTTACTGCATGGCCGAAATACGACGAGTCCTCCAGTATCTCAGGTATTATATCCGGTGTGGAGACAGCCGATAACGCAAACGAGTCCCAGATGCCCGACTCTCGCTTCGATCGAGACGATCTACGTGGGATTGATCCTGATTCTTCGTATGCGAGCTCAGGTGTACCAAAAGGAGGTCCAAGAGGAAGATGGGGTGACTGAAGAGGCGCCTGTACCGAGGAAGATGTGTGAGTATGTTTACGAGGGCTAACACCAGGCTGGGAGAAACTCTCTATGGACCGGGCTAGGCGAAGTGGTCGTCGCGACGTTGGAAATTGGGATGCATTTTCCGACTCGTGGCGTGCTTCTGGACTGCGGGGCGGTGACCTAAAGCCAAGGGCAGATGAGGATCTATCCTCTCCAGTTGCAAGGTTCTCAGAAGAAAAGTTCCTAAAATGGAGGCTATCGGTTGGTGTATCAGGGAGTTGCTTTTCGAGAGCAGCAATTTGATGCCGATCGGTGTGGGAGAGGTGCTGAAAATCGAATGGGCTGGAAATACGGCTTATTAGGCTTGGACCTTGTATGATGGTAAGCATGTAGGCTCGGTATTGGGAAACTGCCACTTACCAGCATCCTCAGCTTGGCTGTTGAACCTTTTGCTCTTTCGCAAGATTGATGATCGCCTCTCGTTGGCGTCCCCTTCATATTCATCGACGTTAATCATGGGCGTCTCGCTCAGCCTCTTTCCCTTCTTTCCACGGAACAAAGACCTCCTCGATCCAGTCGACTCTTTATGGCTTCTGTTGCCTATTTGTCGATGTCCAGGTGGTGAGCCATGCCATGAACCTTCATGTTCAGCCATTTCGGAATGGCTAAGAGACAGTAATGAAGGGGTTAAGGATGTCGCGGTATTACTCCTTGACCGCAAGTTGAACACGGAGCTTCGTCTGGCCGGATAGGCTCTGGGTTGCTGTTCAGGCGAATGCATACCAGCATGAGACGAGTGCGTAGGATACTGCTCCAGCCAAGACTCTGAACTTGTGGTGGGAAAGTTAGGCCCAGTGGCCTGAGAGTCTACAGATGACTGTCGAGATCGAGAGGCATCAGTCTTATGGAATGAAAACATGGCTCCAGAATCCAGAGGAACTCAAGGAAGATAGGGCCTGTTACAAGCAATGCGAACCGAGTAATGCTAGTATGGCGTGTGCAGGTCCCCACAAGTGGCCGGCAAATGTAGTTATGGCAACGACCATTGAAGTCGACAGGATATTCTGGGGAAACCTGTCGCGCGCACGCGAGCTCGGATGTTGTGAGTTGGAATGCCCGGGTTATACGCCTACTGAAGGCGTTAGTGATGTATGCGAAGGACTTGCCATTGGTACCCAAGACCTGTGAGGGGTTGAGTTGGACGAGGCGAGATGGTTGAACTTGGGCCCGGTCTAGGATACAGGCGCGACAAACGAGGGTAAAGGTATAGTTGAGATGCAATAACAGTCAAAGTAATATATGCGTACCTGGTCAGGTAGATAACTTATTTGCAGGGGAGTAGAGAACGCAAGAGCCTGGTCACGGACCACTGCAGGGCGATGGCTGATGAAGGGGTTCTGCCCTTCTGTGTGGGAATAAGACGAGGATGTGGTCAAGGAGTTAGGGTCGAGTGAAGGTTGGCGAACTGCACAGACCGAAGTGAGACAAACGGTGGTTGCGAATCAGAATGAGTGGTGGATGGTCCAGGTAGCTGAGCAAAGATTCGAGTAGGGATTGTAGTTGCTGAAGAGCGATCATTGGCATATCCCGTAGTATTGCATGCCGTGACACGGGAACAGGATGCTTTGTGGCCGGTAAAGTAACAACAGGTGTAGGGATGATCTCACTATGTAGGAACATGGCCGGCTTGGTCGAGCAGCGGAGAGTATGTGGAGAAGATGGAAGGTGCTCAGTGTGCTCCACCAGGTTAGTGACATCTAGGACGAGCAGGGACAGGGCTTGCTGCGCGCAAGCAGGAGTGAAAGACATGGGTGTCTGCCGCTGAGCGACGGCGCCTGAGCGTCTGTTAGTGGCTGGGGGAGAGCGGAACCAGGGGTGTTGGAGACGGGGGATGCCCGACTTCACAGGGCTCATGAGCCACTGACGATGAGTGCACCAGTGAACGCGGCCCGACAGGTCGGCCTGCGCAATATAACGTCGCAGGGGCCGTGAAGACCGATGCTGATTGGACATGTCAGCGAAATAAACGGTTAAATCTGCTGCATATCTGCTTTGACCACATCTAGGCCCGCTTTGCTACGAGGACGTGAGCTCCAATTTGCTTGGGATGCCGGCCGTTTGTTGTTGTGCACCCGAGAAGGATTCGACAACGCGTAGCAAGACATGTTGTGGCTGAAGTCCGTTGTCATGCTGTTGTGTCCGCGCACAGCAAATATTTCGTAACACACGACGCGTAAACTGTGCTGAGAATACGAGCAAGTATTCATCCACAGGCGGGGAATGAAGGATTTTGGTGGTTACATACAGCATTTGTGCTATTAGTGCCGAACAGTGCCGGTTCGCATTTTCAGGCGGGCACGGCGCAATGCCTGCAGGGTTAGGCCTTGCTTGTGCCATGCGCCTGGGCATGCATAACGCCTCAGCCTCGACATGTCTGCCACTCTGACCTGGCTGTCTGGCTAAGCATGTCGAAGAGAGGCGCAACTATCGTTCTAAGTATTGGTGCATGCTGTAGTTGCATGCCAGCGTGGATCAATAAATCTGTCACAAAGGGATCGCGATACGCGTTCGCGCTGAGACGAAAGGCTAGAGCAACGTCCCATCTGCAGATCTTCGCTCGTGAGACGGCGGAACCTGAAACAACCGAAGACAGCCCCTACACCGTGGCCGAAGATGCGTCCAAGGACTCGATACCCCGCCTCACTCAGACGTCTCAATCTACACAGGGCTCGTCGGTGGATCGATCCGAATCGTGAACAGCCCTCATCGAGGTCAGAGTACTTGCGATCATGTGTCGGAGCCCAGGCAAATCCCAAACATGTTTCAAAGCCTCTTGACACCCACGGTCGAGTTCTGGCTATCGTGAGTTGTGAGACCATGGTGGTCTGCCTCTTCGCTGCTCTCTAACAGATTCAGTGTGCACAAGATACGACCTCGGCCGGGTCGCACGGCCAGCGAAGCATAACCTCGAGATTGCAACGCTTCTGAATACGGCTTGTGTTGCAACGCCGCCTGCTCGTATCATGTTGTGATGTGGTCTCGTGCAATGGAAGTAGAGGCTGTAGATCTTCGCATCAGCCGCTGTACAACAGCGCCATTCGAGTCTGCACAAAGACGTGTGACAAGCGCCTATCCTTACATTTTTTTTGTTCTTCCTGGAAGATGCACTCGTAATGAGGTCCAACGCTCAAGGCATGAGCCGTGTGGGGGTTTGTGGGCCGTCTGCTTCGACTTCAGCTGCATAGATGCGAAGCAAGCACACCGACAAATTCCGTAGCGCCCGGTAATGGTGGCACTGGTGTTAGTTTCGTGTGCAGTTGTAAAGACCCAACAAGTAGCATTGCGAGTTGTTGGGCTGTGATTTCTCCGAAGCTGGGGTGAAGGTTCTCTCACGTGCGCTACTCTGCCAAGGATACACGTGCTGTGGAAGAACCTCGGGTTCATCTCATCATCATCACTGTCCTGTTACCCTGCACACGACTGTGCACAGCGTCTCCTATCACTGCCCAAGCTGGACACATCTCCAGTCTCCAGTCCCTAGTCTCCAGAGTCCCAGTGGTTCTTGGTCGCTGCGTAGTTCCCCTTGTTCCTGCAGTGGTCGCTCATGGCCGACCATAGATCGGCGAGAACCACTCGGAGCCTCCACCTTGCTGCTTCTCCCACGCACTGGCGGCCCACGTCTTACGCACCACGCCTCTGCGCGTCCAACAACGTTCTCCTATCAATCCTTTTCCCGTTGTAGATGACGTTAGGTGCATGACGACTGCGCTACTTCCTCACGAGAACCTCTCTAGCGGGCTCGTAAGTCCTAGGTTCGGCGCCCGAACCTCCGGACACAATCTTCACCGGTGTATCCACATGGCTATCCATGCGCTGTGGTCCGCTTCCATGGAAACCGTCTGCATACGGCAATTACCTCATTGCGTCCAATTATAGGTGCTCGTCTTCGCTCCACTTTCCACTCGTCTCGAGGCACTGAGCATCGGAATTGAGGTTATCCCCCAGGGACATGCTGCCATTCTTAGGGAGCAACTGCGGTGCAACTCGTACCTGTTCTGCTACAGTGCTCCCGTGGAGCGTACCTAAGTCTGCGTTTCCCGGACCTATGTCCACGCGAAAACCTTGTTTCCTGTACCTGCAGGTCGTTCGCTCTGCCGTCTAACCATTTTCGTCAGACCGGCAGTCTCTAGTTGGAACCGTCCATACCCCCACCTGATCGTTTGGCCCCAACCTCAAAAACTAAGTAGAGCATCTGCGTCACCCAAGGATCTTTACTCCTACGGAATCGAATGCGGATTCAATGAAGCCGATACCTAGAGGACCTCGCATTCGGCTCCGCTCTCACTAGCAAACTGTGATTTCACCATCGAGACATACAAAGTGTGACGGCTGTTGACAGCTGTAACCACGGCTTTGTCGAGTGAACAATCTGACTGCCATAGAACACCAACTTGGAAACGTCGGTTGTTCTCGTATGGCATCTTACATTGTATGCGAAAACTGTCTTCGTGCAGCCTCCTGAAGACCATGGGAGATACTCAGCAAGTTCCATCTCATGACATCTATAAATACAAACATCGTCTATACAGCAACTGCGATGGTACGTAGCGCATGGTTCCGAACTGAGAACTACTCCGCCAATGAAGCGAATGTGGCGTTTCGCTTATCAACCTTGGCAACTGGCGGACATAATGGCCTTCCATCCCAGTGGTTCAACGCGGGCATTTACAGCCACAGTCGTACCCGCCTCAACAGGAGAGGCTCTCGCTTTCTCATACAAACGGTGCACTTGCGGATGAGTCGAACCTTATCTCACAATCTGTGGAGACAGCAGCGGATAGAAGACTTCGAGTATTCGTCCGATCCGATCTGATAGGTCCACTGACGCATAGCCCAGAACGCCGTCGAGATCCGGAGCAAGAGATAGAGTTCGCTCCAGGCCAAGGACCTATTCGCGAACAGAAGTACCCGGTTGTCGGTTGAAGAGTCACTCCCACACGAAGCAAGCGACCACTGCCTAGGTACATAAGTCTATCGATAATCTGCACTCTAATCCTTCCAGAGCCAGAGTGCGGGACAACGCTGAGGTCCAGACGACATTCAGCTGCGACTTTTTATTTGAGGCGTCAAGGTCATCATGCACGAATGCTCCCAACGACCTATCTGAGTTCTGGCCCACAGTTCTGGATCATACGTAGAGGTCAAATCTTCAAGGAGCATGGATTTGCAGCTTGGTCACGGCACGTCTTGAGCATAGTTTCGCCATTGAAGTATACAGTAGTCAACATCACATGGGTCAGGCTCTCTCTCTTCCTCACGCAGACCGTTCTTTTGTTTTCTTGATGCACGGCTGAAGGAGAGAGGGGCAATATGCATTGGACGGGGACTCCGCCGTTATTCAACAATGCTCCAGCCCAGGGTCCAGAAAATCTTGCGTCGCTCTCTTGGTCTCGCACTACCCGTTGATGCCCAAAATCACGAAGCGTAAGTCCGTTCAGATGCAAAGGTACTTTGAAAGCTGCTCCGTTGCTATTGGATGGCGTGTATGAAAGGTCAACGACGGAAAATCTACCACACCGGATGCCAGACCAATTGATATATTTGATGCAGTCATACAGACACTACGCGGCCGAACGGGTGAAATGGTGATTACAG